CGCATATCAAATGATTCAAATCCCATTCAAATCCCTTGTTTTCGTTTTCATCCACTTAGAAAGATCGAATTGAATATCGCATTCCGATGAATTTACTATTCTCGGCGATTGATTGAAGCTTGGCTCATATTAGGTTATGGGTCGCCGGTGAAAATAGAATGCAAAGGAGCTTAGTCTCGCTCTGGCGTTTGTTTGTTTTCTTATCATTTCTCTGATAGTATGTGCACCCAACACCGACCACGGAAATCCTTGGGTCAAGTGTCATACAAAGAGCAATTTCAGCTCTTCCGTTTCTTCTTCGCAGTAATTGAAAATTTGTGGTGAAACCGCTATGAGCCTTCCACTGGCGTTCCGTATCTTCTTCTTTGCTATGTCAGCTTGTCCAGACGCTTATCCTTGATACACTTGTTGCTATACATATCTTTTTTCTTTTCGAGTGAAATAAAAAGTAGCCCTTCGTCCTGCTTTGTGGCAATTCATACGTAGTACTTCTAGATATTCAAACATTCAAATACTTGTCTACTTCTACCTACACTTTATTACCTTTGACTAGTATCACATCACATCACACTACATCAACTTAGTCATATTCTAATTACATACTTGATGACAACAATGTATGTATCAAGGGTATCTACAAGACCCCTCTCAAATCAATCAGCAGCTCAGCTATCAAAAGCTGTAGCTTTCTTTGCTCAATCTTATGGGCTGTCTTCGAATGCATGTACCGCACATGTACCATCGAGAAGAGCATTCACATCTGCTTCGAAAATTCAAGTAAAGGGAAGAGATCTCTTTCCAGAACCTGAACATGGACAGATTAAGAGAACGGAACCTGCTTGGCCTCATCCACCGTATGTCTTTCACATATTGCTTTGAGTTTTCTGGTGGAAAATAGGATACTAATATCGACATAGCTACACCGCCGAACAAATGCGCAGTAAAGTCTACTTTGCACACCGCAAACCTCGAGATTTCTCCGATCGTGTTGCACTGGGAATGGTGCGTTTCCTGAGATGGTGTACGGATTTTGCAACGGGATATAAACATAATGTTGAAGCACCCAAGAAGGCATCCGATAGCAATGCACTTACGGCCACAAAACCATATCAGATGAGTGAGCGGAAATGGTTGATTCGTTATGTGTTTTTGGAATCGGTGGCAGGAGTGCCCGGGATGGTGGCGGGCATGTTGAGACATTTGAGGAGTTTGAGAGGGTTGAAGAGAGATAATGGCTGGATTGAAACGTTGCTTGAAGAAGGTTTGTTTTTCCTAACCCTATGTGGAACTTGTGAAAAATTTGTACGAGATCGATGGCTAATGATTTCAATTTTAGCATACAATGAACGCATGCACCTCCTCACCTTCCTTAAAATGTACGAGCCCGGCATCTTCATGCGTACCATGATCCTTGGCGCTCAGGGTGTCTTCTTCAATTCCTTTTTCCTCTGCTACCTCTTCTCCCCCCGCACCTGTCATCGCTTCGTCGGCTATCTCGAAGAAGAAGCTGTCCTCACCTATACCCTCTCCATCCAAGATCTCGAAAATGGCCATCTCCCAAAATGGGCGGATCCGAATTTCAAAGCCCCGGATTTGGCGGTCGAGTATTGGGGTATGCCGGAGGGAAATCGAAGTATGAGAGATCTTCTGTATTATATTCGAGCGGATGAGGCGAAGCATAGGGAGGTTAATCATACGTTGGGAAACTTGAAGCAGGATGAGGATCCAAATCCATTTGTGAGTGTGTATGGGAAGGAGAGAGCAGAGAAACCGGGAAAGGGGATTGAGAGTTTGAAGCCTTTGGGGTGGGAGAGGGAGGAGGTTATTTAAGAGGGTGGATTAGGATCTGATTTTGGTTTTGAGATTGGGGTTGGAGATTGGGTTGGGTCTTAAATTTATTGGGAATGGCGTTTTTAGGGAATGCAAAAAGAAAGGAAGATACCACTCTACTCTGTACATATTTGGGGAAGTACCATGGGAGTTTTTGTGCATGATTTATAGAGAGGCATGGGAGATAGATAGGGATGGATTAGATGGAAGAATCTTTAATTTGATTCACACTTTACTTGACTAGATTAGATGATCAATTGCAAAATTGAAAATTAATCTTCATCGCATTTTTCTCTCTCATGAATGATATGAGATGTGATCCGCATCTACGTATCACCGAAGTCTCAAGTGTAAGACTAGGTTGGTAGGTAGCGAGTTTCCTTGTATCATCGCGACGAATGTCTTTTTCTTCTTTTCTTCTTTCTTTCTTTCGTTCTCCCGGTCTTTCGGTCTTCCTTGTATCCCGAAGCTATAAAGGTCGAAAGGTAAAGGAAAACGAAAATGAAATCCAAACGAAGATCCTGTACCTTATTACCAAACTCATCAATGGAAATTTCCGAGATGGTATCTAGGTAGTCATAAAATGAATAGATAGATGGATGGATGAATAGATGCTATTTCGACTCCAGTATGCGCGAGGGGATTGATATTGTGTCAGTGATTTCTTACATATCGATCTGTTTATACCTGGGTGGTGTGTTTTGGGGTATGTAGTCTGTGGGAGCTTGTGTGGTGGGTATCTTTTGCGATGGTGATGGTGGTGGGTACGTTGGTGGAGAGTTTGGTTTGGGTTGTTTTCTTCGCTCGAGTTGCGTTGAATTCCTTGCCTGCCTCTTCTCCCTTGCCTTTCTTTGCTTGCTTTCCTTGAGTTTCCTTTCCTCCCCTTCTTGTGCTGATTCAGGCGCCCCCTTCTACCCAACACCAAGCGCATGTACATGCATCGCTTTGTGTCATCTTATCCAAGATTCCCAATACATCTTCTCTTTTCTTTTCGTTCAAAAAAGAAGAAGAAAATAAATAAACCCCCGCCGATATCTCATCCCATAATATCCCATCTCGTCACTCTACAACCCCTATTCATCCATCAATACACCCCCAATACATCAATATGATCTCAATCGCAAACCCAAGCGAAACCTATAGGCTATAGGATGCATGCCAAAGAAAAGATCCCCATCATCGACGACCAGTATGAAAATACCCCACGATACCGATTCCGAGACCGACGATGCCGAGAACGCAGAGGGCGATTAGGAGAGCGCCGATGGGTTCCATGGTTTTTCTTTTGCTCCTTCTTGTTTTTGTTTGCCTTGGAGAGGGGGGGGAAAGAGGGGAGGGATAGAGAGGACGTCGGTAAATCTTCGGGTGGAAAAGGGGGCGTGGGGCGAGGAGAACAAGGTAGAAAGGAGTTTGTTGTGTTGTGTTGTGATATTGAGGGAAGTTTGGGAATATGTATTCTGGGACTTCCTGATTGACCGGAAGAGAGATAGATCCGAGATTGACGTTGCGGAAGACGTCTCCTTTTCCTTTCTCGGGATTACTCGAACCTCCTTATCAATTATATCCAATTTCCTAGATCTGGAGATCCCAAAAGATTAAAAAAAAAAATATGGTTCTTTAACTTCTATTCGCAACACCGTATTCGTATTGTATGAAGAGTGGAAAATACACGCATACATTTACTTTTTTTCCCTCCCTGTTTTATATATATATCATTTTCCTGGAATCCGCAAACCCGTGCGTGGAAAGGAGTGTGATGGGATGGATATTCATGAGGTTTGATTTTGAATCAACCAATAGATCCACAGCGGAGCGGGGAAATTGGCAATTATTGATGATTCAGGGTAATTATATAGACATAATATATGGATGGGTAAATCATCTCGTGTATTTTGTGAAAGAGGTTGATATTTTTTGGGGTACGGAATCTTGGGATTTAGGAGTGTTGGGGGGGGTTTAGGGTGTGTAGTTTGCGAGGGAGGGGGTAGGAGATGGGTGGACTTGGGGGATAATTTAAGGTTGGTATGCATGTCTGTGCTGAGGGGGGAGTAAAAGGGGTTGGGGTGGATGGATTTTACTGTCTTTTTGTTAATGTATTGATTACATCCATTAATCTACGGTTCTCAATTCACATTTGCGAGAACAACGATATATCCATTTCGCCATCTGAAGAAAATGATGATCATGGGTCTTAAATCGGCATTCAATCATCCACAAAACTCATAGCTCATGAATAGGGATATCTGGACTAGTGCTCGGCTATTTCGCGTTATCTTTCTTTCGTTCTTTCTCTTTTCTTCTTCTTTTTTGTTTTGTATCTCGTTCTTGGGTAATTACTTTTTGGAGATGGATAGATGGGAATCGTGTTATTAGTAAAGATGTGGGTGCTAGTAAAAAGAATTGTGGTTTGGGATGGCGTTACATCTTGCAGGTGTGTGTAGTACTGTGTTGTGAGTGAGGGAAGGAGATGAATGCTTATGATGATAATGCTGGAGCGTACTCACTTTTTTTTTGCGAATGTGAAGCAATAGGCTGCGCAAGAACCATCTGTGTTCGTGGGTAATCTGCAATTAATCCACTCCGCGGGTTGCCCGTCAGAGGTCCTGCCCTTCCTGCCTGCCCTGCGGATCATCTGTTGAGGCCTTGAAATTCCCTGCACCGAACAGATTATCCGCGGACACTCGTTGCGCAGCCGAAGATGGAAGAGAGCTGCTGGAGCGCGGTACAGAGTTGCGAGGTGAAATTTCTAGTTGTCGAGAGAGGTGAGTTTGATGTTGAAAAGATGACCAATTTAAAGCTCGAACATAACAATGCAAACGGGTAGGGGGAAAAGCGATAATACTAGGAGCTCGTATAATGATACGTGATATTGATAGAGCAGAGAATGATTTAAATGGCATACAATTGGTCGGCCAGTTGAAAAATCGAGATAGTACTTTTCATAGAAGGCAAAGTGGAATACATGTTGGTAGTTCGAATCGACAGATGTTCATGATGCGACACGCAGAAGACGGCGAAAGGAGATATGGATATATAAGCAAGGAAAGATTCTTGACCACAGGAGGTCACTAATATCATCCAAGCTCCCAAGACAAACAAATTCCAATACAAATACATAAATATATTATGCATATCATTTATAACCAAGCTTCTTACATTTCATGTATACGCTACAAAGCCTTTTCTCTTGGCCCAGAAAGTCTTTCAAACTTGTCAACGCTCATGACAAATGTTCCTCTACCACCAGTCATACTCCTCAAATGTTTCAAATACCCAACCATTTCCTTCAATGGTACCCTGGCAGTAATTTGGCGCTGTTGACCAGGACCCGATGAACCAGTGCTGGTCCCTGACGCGAATGGATCTGGAGGAGTATAGACTCTTGAAATATCGACTGGAGGCAGCTCATTTTCTGTGTCTTCTACATCACTATCATTCTCCAGTGATAAGACATGACCACCACGAGCTGATGATAGATCGTGCACAATTGCACCAAGGGATGATTCGTCGCAACTGATAACCACATTCATGACTGGTTCCATTAGTCCGACGGAGTTCGCTTGGAAAGCTTCTTTGAGAGCAGCTTGTACCGCATTTCTTGACGCAGAAGATAATGCGGCAGATGTGGTGTCGGAACCAAAGACATCCTCAACGGTATCAAACTTCAATAACACATGCGCAGAATGAAGCGGGAATGCACGACGTGGACCACGGGCTAGACCAGCAACAGCTCCATTGGTCAATGCTGTATGAACTTCACTGAGGGTCATATCGGAGGGGAGTGTCAGAGTTCCATCACCTCCGTCATTCTTAGCAGGTTTCGGGATGCGGATTGTGATTGTATTTCCATCAATATTCATAGTATGATCAGAGTCTTCTAGCGGCTGCTCGTCTGGACTGATACTAGCTTCACAACCTGCTTTTCCTTTTTTCCCAGCAACTTCACGATCAAATATATACCTGTGAGGTGATGTTGGAGATAGGACACATTCTCGGTACCCGATTTCGATATTGCCCATGGTTGCCTTGGCTTTGAAATCATTCACGAGTCGATCTTTTGCGATTTCAAGATGCAGTTCGCCCATTCCACTCAACTGCATTTGCCCAGATTCTTCATCAATATTAACATGGAGACTCGGGTCTTCCCTCAATAAGAGCTGCAATATTTCAGCAACATTTTTTTCCTCGCTTAGACTGTGAGGCTCTACAGCGGCAAAAAATACTGGTGGAGGAACATTGATCGGTCTCAGTTGAAGAGTATTCAAAGGTGGTGGCGGACCATTCTTTGGATGAGCACCTGTATATGACAATAGAGTATCGCCTGTACGAGCGTGTTTCAAGCCGGCAATAACGCCAATCTGACCGGAGGGGATGCTCTGTATCTCTACCGCATCAGATGCGTACATCTGTAACAGTCTTTGGGCTCTTTCTGAAACATGGAGATTCGTGTTCCATAAAGTAGTGTTCCGCTTGACTGTACCGGAGTACACTCGGATGTAGACCAAAACGCCGCGTCGAGGATCATTGACAACCTTGAAAGCAAGGGCACAAGCTTCGACCTGAGAAATCAGGGAAGTCCGCGCATTGGATTTTTTGGAGAGATGTCTTGGTTGCGTCGTGGTAAGATCTAGCTTTCCGTGTAAAAGTTGGGATAAGCTGCCATGAACGTTTCCAAGTCGAACTTCTGGGTCAGGCCTTTCGGTAGGGTTTGGTAGAAGATTATTGATGGCATCAAGAAGCGGTTGAACACCGATATTCCGAAAACTTGCCCCAGCAAAGACAGGTATGAGTTTACCGGAACCATCGAGTACGCATTTTCGCAAACTTTTTGTGATGGCCGTCGATGATATAAGCAGACTATCGTCGTTACACTCCAGCCAGGTTTCAAGAAGCCCTTCATCAAATTCGCATAATGCCTCTACGAGCGCAGCTCGCGCTTTGGTGATTTCTTCAGCAAATTCAGGATTATCTCTCTTCAGCTGATCAAGAGTGAAATGTTGGATTGATTTGCCATCCCCACCTTCTTCCCATTTTAGAGCACAAAGATTGACTGCATCACCGACACCCATAAACTTTCCTTTCCCACCTTCCCACCATGGAATTTGACACACCGCAGGCCAACCCCGGAGCCTCGAACCAATCTCTTTCACTGTTCTCGCGAAGGCAGCCCCTTCACGATCAAGCTTATTGACGAAAGCGATTCTAGGAATGCTGTAATTATTTGCCTGTTTCCATACTTTTTCTGTTTGAGCTTCTACTCCTGCCACACCATCAAGAATGCATACAGCACCATCAAGAATTCTCAAAGAACGAAGCACTTCAAACGTGAAATCCGCGTGTCCGGGAGTATCAATCAGGTTAAGAGTATGCGGTATCAGTGATCGAGATGGGTCAGACGCTTTCGAGGATGTATCCTTCTCAGCTACAGGGGGCCAATACATCGTAACGGCTGCTGACTGAATGGTGATCCCTCTAGCCCTCTCGGCGGGGAGGAAGTCTGTGACGGTAGAACCATCATCAACGTCTGATAGATTAATTAGATTACATTCATGATGATCATGTGACCAGTACAATCATACCTACCTCCTATGCGTCGAGTATAGCCACTGTAATAGAGCATACGCTCAGTAGTTGTCGTTTTGCCCTTTTGAAATCAGAAAAATTACCAAAAGAGACCAGTGAAACTTACTGCATCGATATGAGCTATGATGCCAATATTTCGAGTCGTCTCTGTTAACGCATCATGGCTTTCGCTTTGCTGTGAATTATAACGAATGAACGCATGCAATTGACTAGGCTTAGCCAGACAAGGTCGTGTAACTTGTGTCAAGTATCGATGCCATACTCGACACCCTCTTTTTGATACCAACAAGACCATCCCCTCAATAATTGAAGATATAAATGCTCTTCGTACTTTAATTTCAGAGACACTAGGGAGAATAATGATGGATTACTAATTTATGCCTGAGGCTCGAAATTTTGACAGCGGAATAAGCCAGACCACGGAGCGGCCGAATCTGGGAACTCTTCTCAAAAACCTACCTACCTCGGCGGAAGCTCTAATCAACCTCGATTGATTATCTGATTTGCCGTCTTTCTACATGTTTTCCACGAGTTTATGAAATACCCAGATGCACCAGTTCAAATACAAAAGTTCTTTTTGATCCAATAATTGCTACGTTCTTATTCTGTTGACTCTAGCTTATCGTCTTACACACTAAAAGGTCGCGCCGTTCATCATCATGGATTATTCTGCCTCGATCAACGATGCAGATAATCCTGCGGGTGCTTCTCCATGGGGATCTTCCCCCACTGGCTCACCACAGCATCCAAAAACTAGCACATTTCCGTCCAGAGATATTGTGTCACCGACACCATACAATCCGGATCAGCCAGGCGGTGCAGGCTATTCGCAGGAAGACATAATGGAGACTGGAGGTTTCAATCGACCTGATAGCAGTGCTGGTGCATCGGTCTCTGATGCCGAAAGTCGCAGACCTGACACTGTTGAATCAAGTCAAAGCGATGCCGAGGCACAGCAAGGTTTTGTACAGTATCAACAACAAACAGCTTCACAGCAACAGTATCCAGCTGGTCAACATAGGCCGGAACCTCAGAGATATCATCATTCTGCTGCGCGACAAGGGCACCATCCCCCGGCACCTCATTACAAGCTGCAAGCAAAGATCACCGGACTGGAGCGAACCGGGAGGAAAGATCCTATCTTGCGATTTGATGTACACGTAAGTCATCGATCAAGGAATGTGTAGCTGTGGTCTTGGCTAACCGATTGCATAGACCAATCTTCCAAAATTTAGAACAACACAATTTCGCGATGTCCGACGAACGCATTCCGAATTCATCAAGTTAGCAGACCATTTAATATCCTCAAATCCGGAAGCTATAGTTCCTGCAGTTCCTCCCGCGTTGACATCTGCTGGTGCTGGCACTGATGAGGACGAAGCGCGCGTTAAAGCTTCTCTCCAAAGATGGCTCAATTATGTTTGCTCTAATGACGTATTAATGAGGGACGATGAGATGGTTCTGTTTGTTGAGAGTGATTTTGGATACAGCCCAATGCTGAAGCGAAAGCAACCAGCTACTGGAGTTCGCCGAAGAGTTATCAAACAATTTGCACCTCCGCCCGATGATACGCCAGAATTACAAGATGCAAGGCCGGTGGTGAAGCTCTTTTACTTAGGAACGATGGATGCAGGGCATAAGGTAGACAAATTGGTCAAAGCAAGACGAGGTAGGTTGTCACATGACAGTTGGAAATCCAAATACTAATGTGTATACAGGTCTTGGTTTAGCGGAGTCCGATTTTGGTGTCAAATTGGGCGCAATGAATATCCAAGAGCCTCACCAAGGCCTTGCTAATGCATACCGTAAGCTTGGAAAGACAATCCAAAGTACAGGAGATTTCCATGCAGCACAAGGTACTGCTGAAGCCACAACCATAGGTGATCCTCTTCAGTATCATTCTCAAGATTCATTTATTGTCAAAGAAACTCTCACAAACCGACACATACTTCTGCGCGAATTACTACAGGCTCAGCAATTAACCCGAAGCAAGCTGAATGCCGCAGACCGCTTAAAGGCTAGCTCATCTGTCCGAAGGGAAAAGGTTGATGAAGCCATATCAGCACTTGATGAAGCACGCAGCAATGAAGTTTATCTTCACAATAAAACCCAACGTGTCACAGCAAACTTATTACTTGAACAACGAAGATGGTTCGCTCGGACAGCTGCAGATCTAAGATTAAGCATTCGAGAATATGTGATTCGTGAAATTGAAGCGGAGCGACGGACGTTGGCGACCTTGGAAAGCATTAGACCTGATATACGAGCGATCGATTCTTCTGGTGGACTTAGCCGGTTGGGTAGAGAATCACACCCCGCAGCAAGGAGAGCAAGTCTTGCAGCCAGTCAAGGCCCTAAAGGTGATTCGTGGTCTGGTGTTCCAAGACGCCCCGATGGACTTAACCGGAGTATTTCAGGCAGTTTCATGTCTACTCCCGACGGCCCAAATGGCGAAGAAGAAGGCGTGGGTCGTGATAGGTCGCTCAGTGGCAGCACTGGTGGATTGCCGGGCTTAAAAGAAGAAGATGACGAGGACCGAGTTGATGCGAGAAATGCGGCGTCGAGATTGGCTAATGTTCTATGAAGTGGTTTATTGCCGAGGATTCTTCTTAGCAAGAAACTTTCCTGGTATCATGATCCGAGAAAAGGACCCTGGTCACACCCATTGTATCACCCAAAATCTGTATCGTTCATGCAAAGTGTATGCAATACAATAATTTTTGTGCGACTTTATCCGTTAAGCTACTGGCATCATGTATGTTTTTGATAGTACTTGAGACTATTTGACAAGATTATTTGGGTACCATTCAAAATGACCAGGTAGGTTTCCTCACCGCTTAAGTAGATGTTTGCTTCTCGTAGTTTAGTATGCACCCATTGCATATATGTCACTTACAAATGAGCCGCAAACCCGCTAGACCCTCGAAAAGTTTCCAGGGTTCCCGGTTAAATGCATATACACCTTTTAGTATCTTTCGCTAATCAAGATGATTACATTAATTACATTACATTACATTACCTTATATTACCCTTGTGAATGGATAAGCAAGCCCAAAATCAATCCGAACCAGGCCTTTGGTTCGTACAACACCCAACGACACCCTTTTGAAAAGTAGACTTCCTTGTATCATATTAGACATGTGCCACAAGCTTCATTGAAAATAATTTGATAAACTTTCTGTATCACAAATCTGATTTCTGCATACTCTTGAATTTTAAGAGAACACGCAGCAGCTTTAGCCACGTCACAAACTCTCTCTCAACGATCAAAGGTTACGATCTACCCTTCCATCATATAATCCTCTCCAGTAAGATCAAAACATCGGTATACCACCCAGAATTAAAAATGCGACGTTGTGGAGGGAGAATGCATCTTAACACAACATCAGGCATGCGGGCCGTGTTCTTCCGAAGAGGGGCATAATAAGCTATCTAATAATCTAACTCTTTCTTGCATCTGTACCCAAGTACTTGATTTTTCTTACTTTTTGTTTGGCTCCCCTTCGGATACTTGCTCCCTTTCAGCTTGAATTAGACATTTATTCGCTGCTACTCGATTCGCCATTGCCACCTCAATTCTGCGTGAAAGTGGGTTTCTTCGAATAAAGATGAGGAAATGCGAAAATTTACCCAGTATGGGTGCCATGACGAACTTTGTATCACATCTTGGCTCTGCTTATCGGCATAAAATATCCAATATCGCCGTTATGAATATCCCTATCAGCATCATGCCATTCCTGCTACCTCCACCAGCCTTACCAAATTTTCATGAATTTGAGGAACGCGCCATCCAGGATCTCAGTATCTCTATCAACTGTTTTTCATCACAAAAGAACCCATCAACGGGCAAATCGACGATCGAAAAGAGTTCTTGTCGTGATTGCACCGATACTCCGATGTTAATCTAATAAGGTTGGGAAGAATCTGGGGTATGGAGGAAAATGATTGTCCGTGTCTGGAGTTTGGTAACGACTAGTCACGTATTATCTAGGGAAATCAATGCTCCATTAAGTTTCTCCACTCTCTCTCATAGATGCGAATGGAGTTGTGGGATTGGTTGGATTGGACGTCTTATCGGACCCAGGCCTCTAATAGCTTTATATCCGGCATGTATAATGTATTGTTGACTTTTCAAGACATTAGTTGATATGTACGGCTTGTCACTTCAACGATGTACGCTGCACACTGATAAACAACGCAAAAGAATGGGCGATGTACCAGTTGCTAGGATAAGCGTCAAGTGAGGGGCCGGAATATATTTCTAGCCACACAGCTATCTTCAACGTCTAGCTACAGCAAGATATCCGGCAATGTTGTATCTTTTATCTGCCGTTACACCTCATACGATCTTTTCAGGATCTTCACTGTTTGGATATACCTGAAATAAAGTATATCTTACTCCAATCGCGGAGGGACCTAATACAAAGGTCCGACTCCACTGGAAGCACATAATTCAATCAAAGTGTGGTGTGCTTCCGTGCCTGCGTCTGCAGGGTACAGATGCATAGGATATACACATTTCCGCAGCATTCCAGTGGGTTGATTGTTACTGAGTATACTGCGCGATGGATAGCAACATGATAGATGTCTTGCAATCGAAACGAATCATGATAGTGTAGATAGCTACAAGCTATGTGACTTGACAAAGAAAGCGCCAATCCCTTCGCAAGGGGAAGAAGGTAAACGGTATAAGTTTGGGAGTTTACTTTGGGGAGTGCAAAAATAGAAGAATCTGTTAAGCCCCCACACTTTTCTCTCTTGGTCGGAGCACTAAGAAGATATTTTTGTTACCTCATATCTTCGATATCATACAGAGCAATCTCAAATGGCGCCAGCTTACAATGAAAATGTGATGAACGTGGAGGTCACATCTCACGTTAGTAATAAGTCTAGCATTCTTAGTAGCGTTCTACACGGAATACAAGATGTGAGATTGGTAAGAGGAATACATCCCACTTATACTCAGACACATATAAGTATATCAAGAGCACCCCAATTGACTTTGAACTCTTAGGAAGTTCGCAATATCACCGAACCTCTCATCGGAGAACTCCAGATTCAGATCAAATCGACTGGCATCTGCGGTTCCGATGTAAGCTATTACAAGAAGTTCGCTAATGGCGATTTATGTGCTTGTGCACCTCTGTCTCTTGGCCATGAAGCTTCAGGTGTAGTTGTAGGGATCGGACCTCAAGTCAATGGCTTTGCTATTGGTGATCGAGTCGCCCTTGAGGTGGGCATATCATGTGGTCAATGTGATATCTGTAGGAAAGGAAGATATAATCTCTGCAAGAAGATGAGATTCAGGAGTAGTGCAAAAAGTGTACCTCATTTTCAGGGAACGTTGCAAGAGAGGATCAATCATCCAGCTGTTTGGTGTTACAAGTATGTTCTCAAAGTCTATGATGGCACTCTTAGCAAAGTAACTCACTGATTTTTCATTCAGGCTTCCAGATCATATCTCATTCGATGCTGCTGCACTTTTGGAACCACTCTCCGTGGCAATTCATTCTGTGAATCGAGCAGCACCTACACCTGGGTCCACAGCTGTTGTCATCGGAGTAAGTCATTGCTTTAGTAAATTCCTGTAGCCCCATGTATCACCGATTTTACTCATTTAGTCTTTATTACTTCGCTAAAACATCATCAGGCTGGAGCAGTAGGCCTCCTCGTCGCTGCCATGGCCCGTCAATCTGGCTGCCCTATCGTAACGATAACCGACATCTCCGCGAACCGGGTTCAATACGCCCTCGACCACGGTTTCGCTACCCACGGATACGTGATTCCTCCTTCTAGCTCTAACTCCAGCGCTCCCTCTACTGCTCACTCCTCGGGAACCTCCACTCCTTCTCTAGCTTCAGGAACCACAACACCTATCTCTTCCTATACCACCATCTCCGATCGTCTCAACTCTGCCAAATCCACTGCTTCCGAAATCCTCTCCATTTCATCCCTAGATGACATCCTTGCCGAAGACGACCACGAAGGCGCTGACATAACCTTTGAATGCACCGGCAAAGAAATTTGCATGCAAACCGCCATCTACAGCACCAAACCGGGTGGAAAAGTAATCATGGTCGGCATGGGAACACCCATCCAAACGCTCCCTCTCTCCGCTGCTCATCTCCGCGAAGTAGATATTCTAGGTGTCTTCAGATATGCAAATACGTATCCGACCGGCATCAGAATGTTAGGTGCTAGCGGGAAGAAAGGAGGTCTTCCAAGCTTGGACAACATGGTTACGCATCGGTTTAAAGGTCTGGGAATGGCAAAGCAAGCATTTGAGTTGGCGGGAAAGACCATGGATGAGCACGGTGATCTTATCCTAAAGGTGGTTATTGAGGTATAGAAGCGTACAAGGGGAAACGATGGAGTTGTTTGACTTTTGTGGGAATATAATGAATTTTTTCTTCTATTCTTTTTTTCCTTACGTACACGAATTAGCAACCTTTCTTTTCGATAAGAAGTCGAAGGTCAATTTGGGAAAGTGGGTGATGGGATGAATTTGGTGTTTTGCTGTGAAAGAAAGATATCTGGTATTGGGTTGGCGTCATGCTTTGAAACTGGAGATAGATGGGTCGAATATATTTGCAATTCAATCGATACATTCAAATTTCACCCCATGTTGAAAAAATTGTTCCTCAGATTACACCTCAAGCACACGTGAGACCGAGACTCTTTCACTAGAATAGGTACTCAAACTCGCTTCAAATATTAAGATTCTTAGAAGGCATTTGGTCATGGCCTACTTGAGCCAATATATTTGTCAACAATACCCTTATTTCTTATTTCCCCATGATGACACCTCACATTTAACATACAAATCCGCTTTCTATCCATCAAGGTTGCGGTTTTCGTCGCCCAATCACCCCTTAAGCATGACTACCATGCAGATATCCGCGTCTAAATCTGGTAACAATGTCGTGCGACTATGTCGCAAAGTCATAGACACAATTATGTAACAATCCATCGAATCATACTTCCTTCTCAACGTTGTCTCACAAGATAAGATATGCAAGCGGAAATTTTATGTCCATGTTCATGTCAGGTCAGGTATTCATTGCCTATCTAATTCTCGTTCATTCGTATCTCTCATTCTCATGATATCTGAAATCCCTCATGCAAGTACGCCAGATTCCCTTTTCTTAAAAATGTAAATCGCGCACCACCTGCATGCCTACCCATACCTTCATACGCCCAACCCGAAATGCGCCGTTGAAATCAGGGGAAGAAGCTATCCTATGACATAAGATCTCCAACATGCATTACTTCTCGCATTGGATGACCTTGGTCGCCCCAACCCATTCCAGGGCGCTTCATTCCGTTAGATTTTCCGTTTTCTACAACGGCAAACTTCTTTCCTGTTTCTCTGATATCGTGGGCTGATTTCGTGAGCTCGCTCAGGAGGGCGATGAGGCTGACATCGTTTTTCTCAGAGATGAGTTCGTGTTCGAAACCTTGACTGTCGGCAGGTATAAGAACACTGAGACGACCAAGAAGGGCCTGTATAGACCGAAGAATCGAGTGATTGACTGGTGCAAAGTTATTCGATTCGATATCTGCTTCCGAGACAACGCCGTCGGCCACGTACGAGGGAGGGAGGTGTTGGAGGTAAGCGGCAACCAGATTGATTCGAGATTGAAGCATCTTGATAGCATTTGCCTTTGCAGTCAAGGAGGCAAGTTGTTCTTCGTCTTCTCGCGATAGACTGCTCTCTTCGCGTTTTAAGTTCTCTGAGTCTTCGGACTTTTCTTTACCTTTACCTTTGCCCTTGCCTTTACTTTCCACAATTGTAACTTTCTTGCTAGTACCATTTACAGCTGTAGCATTTCCTCCACCACGAGCCACGAAATCAACGCTGATCATTTCTGCTTCGCCAGTCTCGACAGTGAATGGAAGTTCCTTGAATTTGAGCTTGAGTTGTTGTTCCTCGTCTTTCATTTCCTTGTCCTCCCCAGTCTCCACGCCGCTTTCCTCTGCCTCATAGTTGCTTTCGTATATTGTGAGAGGTAACTTCCCGCCAACTGCGCCACCAAGTACTTCCTCAGGATGAAACCCGAGTAGAATGGCAGACTCATTGTATATAGAGAGAATTTGTCGATGAATTGGAAGATGTATGAGTTGGGGTCCAGAGTAAGGAATGATAGTATACCACCCGACAAGATCAAGCGCAGGGACTTTATGAACATCCTTCACTGTAGGATATCAGTATAAATGAGATTGTCCACTCGAATTATGTTTTACGTACTTTGTTGTAATCTTGCCTCAAACCATAATGGTGATAGCTTTACTTCATCTTCCTCTGTAGTAAGCAGACATTCGAATGCATGCTCAATAGTAATTTCGCGACCATTCTGTTGACCTAGCAGAGCTCCGACTACAGGTCCAGTTTGTTGTCGCAGAGTGTGTCTTGTAATATAGTCTGAAATTGTGAGGAGAACGAGGGGATGTAGAGCTACCTGGAGACCAGAATCGGACGACTTCTGTGTCGAAAGTAAGGAATTATGGTTGTCAGCAGCCATTATGAAACTTGCAAAAAGACTCAATAATAAAGACAGACAGTATTGATAGTTTTGTGATAAATTAAAAGAAGTTGGATGTGTTTATGAATCTGCCTGTTTGTTTATTTGTCTGATATGACATAGAGATAGTGGGAGATTATTTGGCGGGAGCTTTATCGATTGTACCGGTTAAACTTCGGTTAACCGATAATGCCGCTAGTGTGCTACCAGTCTCCAGAATGGCTAACTTGGCATTGGCATCTAAAATGCCTGTTGAGTATGTTAGGCACATAACATCAGGTTGTCTAATAACCTTTGATTAATTCACCTCTCAAGAACGTATTATCTCTGATGAATCAACCTCACAGCTTCTTGTCGTCCCTTTACTCTTTGTCTATCTAGGTACTATGCATAGAGCGTACATTGATCTGTGAGCTTTCTCATTCTTCAACCTATAAGGACAATGGCATGACCGCTTGGAAACGAACAAGCCAAAATAAGATGTATGTTCAAGCACTGGGTGGTTTTACTTATTGTGAAATGCAGATCCCTTCACCATTAGTATGGAGGTTGATATCAAACACGGTAAGATTGCTTAATAAAGATGTTAACCACTTCATCAACCTTTGTGTCTTTTCCTAATCTATGTCCTAATTTTATATCCTCAATATCTCCTTCTTTTCTAAAGTTCTTAACTCCCTAGCCTCCACTACCTCTTCATAATGGCCGAAGTTGAACAGGCTAATACACAGAGCGCTATCTCGCCTCAAACCGCTCCCGGGATAGAACCTTATTGTAATCCAGTATCTCTGACAGACAATTCAGCCCGTTTGATTGACTATCAATCTATTCTAGCTAGTGATATCACTCAGCAAGTGCCAGAGAGAGTTCTACCGGAGCAATCAGTCCCAGCATCTTCAGATGATGAAGTAGAGTTTGTGTTTTCAGTCCCTCGACGAAGGAAGAAAAGGCACAGAAGGTATGACAAGGTTCCATGCCAATGAACTCATTCTAAGCAAAACATTCACTAGGCTTGAGCTTCCATCACGACGCACAAATACCAGCTCGGCTAGTCCCATTTCGAGCGCCGGAGTTATAGGTGCTCGATCATCACCAGAGAAGCTCGTGCCTGACATGGCTCCTTCGCTTGATCATTGCACTGAGCCCGATGAGATGAACAGAGCTAGATGCCATTCTGCCAAGGAGATAAATAAAACCGCCACATTCGATACCTTTCTACAGCCATTGAATGTTCCACAGTCAGGGCTACCCGTATTATCTCCTTCGCATATTTCTCAAACTACACCGTTCAAAATCTCACCACCTTGGTATGCCAAATCCATACTTCCGCCACCTTCACCAACGTCACCGTATTATCATGCAAAATCCACGACCTTCACAACACCAGAGCAAGATAATGGGAAAAAAAGAAAGCATAAAGATTCAAGTGAAAATTCAAATCATGTGTCTCCATACATGTCTTCAGCATCTATGTATCTGCCAAGACCGAAGGGCTTACCGTCTAATTCGAATAATAGCTCCCTTTATGGACATACGGGCTTCGTGGACTTTTTAGAGGATCCGAATGTGCCAACTACCTTGGGAGGAGTGCCTCTTCCTCTTCCGCCACATCGGCCAGTTATACCTGGTTGGCAGGACTTTACCTGGAAACCATCAGATTACTCACCCCCAAAGCGCGCATCATCTATTGGTTCACGAGCAAGTATGTTTTCCAACATCAACAACGACCCAAATTGGCACCGCAAATATTATTTTGGTGCCGTTGACCCAAATTGTGTCAACTCGCAACAAGTTCCCATTGGAACCCCCCCCAGCGAGAGGTACGTGCAAGACATGGTGTCACCCAAAACAATACCTCTCACAACTCAAACCGCACCGGCGTCATATTCTTCAATTCAAAGAAAGTTAGTTCCGGAATTACGTCACATGCCTACAAAGGTGTCTACATCTTCCACGAATATTTGTCCTGTGCAACCTTCTTCGGTTATTTCATCAAAATATTCTCAACCAACACCTCCAATTACACCGTTGAGACATACTTGCCCTTCTCCATTCCCTCGTCCCCAGGTGACTGCAGCAGATATACGACGCAAACCCTCTCTGTATAGAATACCTGCGTGGCCACATTCGATGGATAACAACAAAGCTTCATCTTATACAGCTCTCTTCGAACGTCAAAATCAGACTGGCGACACCGAAAACAACGATATAATTTCTCCACAAATCAAAACACCTCAACAAGCGAGACCTACTGCTTCCCATACACAAGATTCAGTCTCATCTCCTACCCAAATTCAGGCCCCACATTCTTCAAGACCACAAGCATCTACATCCGTGTCCGCATCTTCATCCAAACACTCCCCAAATTTGTAAGCCCCCTCTCTTCTCATATCTATATATGAGATCCTTGATTAACATACAACCAGAATCATAGACATAGCCCAAACGAGTCAGGATACATTTCCATTTGCAGCAGTAGCGGCTAGACATAATAAACCCATCCAAAAAGTCTTTGATACTTTTTCGGCCATAATACAGTTACCGCTACTAAAACAGGCAGCGGATGGGAGGAGACATGGGCCATTAGGGAGTGAGAGGATGAGGATGTATAGGGAGGCTAAAAGGGCCATGGAGAGGGCGAATGGAGAGAATGAAAAAGAAGAAAATGAAAGGAAGCAGGGGCAATAAGTGTGTAACTGTAATATAAGGTCAGGATACGAAAAATGGGAAGTTGGGGTTGAATTGATGTTTTGCTTCTCTTCATCGGTGGTTATTCTGATTTTCAGATGCTATTGTCACTGGATTTGAAACTCGATTTTGTGGTGTGGATAAGGGTCCAAGATTGATGAAAGTTAAATATCAACCAGATCTCAGCCAAAATAACCAATCTAAAAGAAGCTGTTGATAGACCTCATCTCAAATCCAAGTGCTGCTCACTTGCGCCTAACTATTGAATACCAGTATCAAAGTACCCGAACTAATCCATTTCACAATGAAACACTCCAATGTGATGATCAACCTGAACTCTTCACAATAAACTGTCGGATATTGGTACAGTAAAAAAAGTTGAACGGGATATGTATGCAAATCACAGCGTATGCCAGATATTCGAGACGAGGAGCATTCGGAGTATGTGATGCGGATACTTGATGGGATCATGAACTAATGATGTAGATGTATTTCTGAATGCTTTGATACATTATGAGATCCGTAGTAATTGGAAGGTTGAGCGATACCGGGTCGAGTGTTGCTTATTTCCAAAGGGTGGAAATATTATGTGAGCAACAGTTGCTTGGTATTTGCTTACTGTTACTGTGTATTTTCTCCATGTAATCAATCGTGTGATTTTGGCTCGATACTAACAGTTGGTATACGTTGCATCGTAAGATTCGTACAAAGTATTCCGTATATCATAAACTAAAAGATCGTTCCCTTCAGTCTTCAATCTAGCTTCAACATAATCTCTCCTTTCGAATGCCCCTATAATATCAAATATAAGCATCAGCAACAAAAATACACTCACTATTTAATCACTAACCCGAAAGAAGGTTTTGAATTCCTCCCAACTTCCATCTCAAGATATATCCAAAGAAAGCAAGCGAAATGTCGCTTCGTGCACTCGAATCCTCATCTCTCGATTGCCTGCTCCGGGGAGTAGTGTGTTTCTTTTTTGCGGGTGGGGTGGTTACGGTGTTATTTTGTTTGCTGTGAGTTCTGCAATGGGGTTTGGGTTGAGAGTGTTGTTGGAATAGATATGATGGGGTATGCGTTGGGGAGTGAGTGGGATGTTTTGTAGGGGGAGGGAGAAAGAAGAGGGCAGGGAGTTGCTGATAGATGTGGAATCGAGGAGGCAAGATTGCAGGATTTTAGATGTGGGGGGAGGGAGAGAGGAGATGCTAAATGGAGGGCGGATGGCAAGGAGGGTGTTGATGGTCATGGAGAGATGGAGAGACGGGCGCGAGAAATGAAGAACCTCCTGTTTTACTTGGGCGAGTTTGGTTCAGCTCTTCTCTCCCATGTGGTTGACAAAGGAGAAACAAGGGACATGTTTCCAATGTAATACTCAATTGTGCTGTCCAACTAACTTTTCGCCAATGTATCCAAAGCTACCTATTCTCCAATATCCGTCGAAGTATATCCAAAAATACAATTTCATATGCCAATTTCACCAAACGCCATACATCCACTCCGATTTCTATGACATGCCAGAACTTAATTACTTGCCTTAACACCCTCATCTGTCTGCCAGCTCCTACCCAATAACCCACCACCTCCTCTCCCAGCCTTTTGATCCTCTCTTGAGATTCGCATGACCAATTCCCCAAAAAGCCCATTCGCCCATCCAAACCAGGCTCTTGTCCAATCATTTGCATTCCATGAGTTGACGCTTTCATGAATTACACCCGTTCCCCCGGTACTATCTAATACCATCATTACCTGTTCTACCACTTCTTTCTCTACATCTTCTATTCCTTTGCCCGATCTCGATGCTGTTTCCATGGCGGTAAGGGCGCGTACAATAGCGGCCATAGGCCAACTTTTACCAGGACCAAGATGAGGACCACCTACTGCGGCAATGGAGGGCCCTTGCATGAAATAGGGATTCTCTTGACTTAGGACGAAATTTCGAGTGTTATTATAGATCTTTGCATGATCAACTTTTGTTCTTTTACCACCTTGCTCTCCGTCACTTTCGAATAGTTCAGGAAGGGGAAATGAAGAGTTTCCATAGTCCCAAAGAGGAATAGCTAATAATGAAGGGACATTGGCATCATCCATTAGATTATGGCCGCCGAAGCCATCGATTTCATAAGCATAAATATCGCCGAATTTCCAATGATGAGTTATGGCATCGCGATCTATGGCTTTTCTAATTCCGAGTGCTTGCTCTCGCATGGAGGTGGTCAGTTTGGCGGCCTTTTCGCCAGATAATTTTTCCATAATAATAGATGCCTCTTCTAGGTATTTAGCCCACATCATATTTGCGGGCACCAACAATTGATAGATACATGCGTCATCTGAAGGACGGAATGCACTTCTTACCATTCCGTTCTGTTTCGTAGGGTTACCCAGACCATCATTTGTCAAAGTCTCGCTGCCACGGTTTGTCCAACCTGTAAATGTCCATGCGGACTTTTGAACTTTGCCTTCAGAGGAATACGTTCCCAGTCTCATTGCACCAGCGGCGTCTACAGCTGCTTGAACAGCATCGATCCAGGAATATTTTTGAAAGAATGATAAATCGTTTGTGCGCTGATAATAGGCCGATGAGACTTGGAGGAAGGAGGCCAGGGAATCGAGTTCCCATTTACAGTCAAAGACTTTTTCGGGATCATAGGCTGGCATGGGATGGTTTTGATGATACGCTCCATTGGTTTGCAGTTGGAGCCCTGATTCCGGTGGAGGTTGGAAACTATGACAGTACGGTGATATGATGATATATCGTGCGTGTAAATTGATAAGACCACGCCATAGACTTGCAAGAGAATCTCGATTATCAGAAGCTTCGAGTAATGGGAGATAAGAATAGATTTGGGATGCAGAGTCCCTTAGCCACATAGCATCAATGTCGCCAGTGATAACAAATGTAAGCTCTTCATCTGTGGCTGTCTCGTTTTGTGTAACTGGGTCGATCCTGTTTGCGTACCCTCGCCATTTAATTGTAGTATCCAGTGTATTTGGATAACTATTTTCAAAAAGCCGGAAGAGATCAGGGTCCTTGATGATCGTTTTCATTTGCTCGATGAGCTTTTCTAACGAAGGAAGGTTGAATGTCCGGCATTCCTGTGAAGGGCGAGAGTAGGGGAATTTCCGATGACCTTCAGATAATGGCTCTTGTTTCTTCCGCTGAATTTGTGCATAAGATGGACATGTAACCGCCGGAACAATTGGTGCTGGCGTTGAGGTTGCATCAGAAAGAGGTTTAGTATCTACACCAGTATCAGGCTGTTTTTCAGCTGGACGTTGTTCATCTGGCTTCTTGTCTTCGTTCTCCTTCGGTGAAGGCTCTCCAATCGTTGGTAGTATTTTGACCTCATCATTCGAATCTGATGATGGAATCGACGAACTCGGGTCTGCAGGTATTTTTGAGTCGGAATCTGGGTTGGGTGGTGTTTCATGAATGATTGAATCATTTGGTTCAGGACGAGGCCACGTGACATATTTGGTTTGGGTGTACAAAATGTATGCAATTGTCGCGCTGAAAATGATGGCGACAAACACAACACGACGAGCCTGTAAGCGCATCATGATAACGGTGTTTTGATAAAGATGTTATGGATATTTTGATATTCAATATTTAATATTCAGAAGCCGACTTTCGACAGCAACTACATTATTTGATGGTCGATAACAAAGGCCACGATTAACAACAATACACAATAGACGGTTGATAATTGAGCAGAGAAGCTTGTCCCAAAATAAGGATTCAGGTGATTGAAGAAGAAACTCCCTTTTTTCCTTCCGCCGCTATGTTGATTTGGGAAAGAGCCAAGATGTGAACAGATCGAATGAGACATTCTGAAATGTGTTATATATGCTTGGCGGTGGAATATATAGAACCATTCCCCCCGCAGTACTAAAACACGGGCAAACCAAATGAAGATTGGTTTTTGTTTGGCCTGTACCTACTGGGGAAGTAGTATTGTCGCTTCAGACTGGCCGACTGCTTCTGAATAGCTTCAGCAGTAAACTTAGAATGAAGAGAAAAGATAGAAAGGAGAGAAAAGATAGAAAGGAGAGAAAAGATAGCAAGGAGAGGAATAAACAACAACATAACGAATTGATGAAATGATTTTCCAATTGGACTGGTGTGTGGCATTATCCTGGGGCAGGTGCAGGTTTAGTGAATTTGCCTTCGAAGTGGCAAAATGTATCATGTGACAAACTTGAATTGTTGATATATGTTCAGCTCACTAACAATCGCTAGATTGATCTTCATTTGTTTCCGTTGCATTTAAAAAGATACACAACAATAGAATATGTGCACTGCACACTGAGTCAGAGACTTAGGGATATGTATCGTTTGCTTCAATTACCTGTTTCTTAAACATATACATCAACATGTACACATCATTCCACCTAGTTCAGCAGTGACAGGATACATGCACAAACGGCATCAAACCACACATTGTCTCTTCCTCATGGACTAGAAGTCGTACTTTCAAATAAGCAACGATATTTGACCCGGTTCCTGGTTTGGCAGTCGTGTGGTAGCAATAATGGTAGGCAAGTGTCAATTTATCACTGGCATACAGAAGCCCTAGAAGATTAATTACAAACAGTCCGTGTTTCTCCATCACCTCTTCGTACTCTTTAACTTTATATTTTTTGGCCGTGTTTAGCTGTAGTACACTGTCTGTCAGGTCCTCGAGGAGAGACCTCTACTATACTGGCCGTTTGATGACAAGTCTGCCATCTCAAACAATTCGTCACTTCAAACAAAGCTCTTCTTTCTACCATCTCCAACCCTAACTCGGTTTTGTTAGTTTCAATAGCAAAAAATCATATGTAGTCTGACCAGGACATTTTGGTTAAAAATGATTCGACAGCAAGGTTCTTGTCCTTAATGAATGTCGGATCTGGAACGATCCGAATTGCATCCTCTGTCCAGACACACTGTTTTGATTACACACGCAACAAACAAATAGACATCCCACCACATCTATTCTTCCTCAACATAGATGAGCTCGCAGACTGTGTTCACATGTTTCTACTTTGGACGGCTCAGATATTTCATCGCTTGAATCAAAACCACTTGCGAAGTGCCACCTTCTCGGGTGGTGAAGTACATCGCTAGTTTCATATCTGATAAACGTCAACAAGTTTCAAGACTTTGAACTCATCATGCCCATCCTCGATATTCGACTTTTGGGACTGAAGTTAAAACCAGCCAATTTTTTCCATTTGTTTAGAATCCAGTCATTGGTCGATATTGGTGGCTCTTTCTTTCGATATGTCCCTTCACTTTATATCATATTTGGTTTCTTCGTTTGGTTAACAACCCCGCCCTTCGTATCCCCGGCCATTCACGACACGCATGACCCATATCCCAATGAGAATGGGATAGATAACAAGATCGACAAATTCTTGGCAACCTCGCAAGTTTCTTTATGTATATGGTCTTGAAGAAACCAAATCTTTAAAGAAAAGGTTGATGGCAGTGGGCGGGGTCGACACTCGCGAGATGTTCATGTCAAGTTTACATACATGGTACATGACCCAACAAGTGTTCAATGCCAAGCACTCGTGCTTTCAGAGAATTTGCAAGCCTGAAGCTAGATGGACACACCACAAGATGGCAAACTACAAGAGGGCCAACCTGGATTTCACTCAACGGCGGAGTTGCATTTTCTATGACAGCACTAATACTCAAATGTTGGTGGATTATTGAATAAAGTTATGAATTTTAAGTATGTCGGACTTTGTCATGCGATTTGTTCCGTTCATAGCGTGCCAGGTACAACTTTAAACATTAGAAGGTTAGCATGCTCTGCCAGAAAGGTGTAGCATGCATGCGCCTAAGGAAAAGGAATGCGACCCAACAGAAAAATGTTTGTAACATCACCAGTATATCCTCTTTCGAACTTGAGTGCATCTTCCAAAGCTCTATTTAAAATTTGATGATGATAAAATCGTACTTTTTCACATCCAAAGTTGGGGAACATTAGTCCTTTTACAGATTTGAAATTTAGTTACTTCGAGGTGCTAAATTGGGGTTTTGAGAGAACTCCCCAATCGATTCTTTGTAATCATTGCAAGTATTCGATGATCTCTCATGAGAACATAAGGGAATTAAGCCGAAATATGACACTGAGTTGGGTTGCTGAAGCATGCAAGTAAGTATCTTCATCGGTCATGTAAATTCTGCATTAAATGTTTAAAGTCCCGCGCTTGTCGCGAAGTCTAAACGACACCCAATCTCAATCGTAGTCGATCCAGATGACTTTTTCGTTTAGCTGCTACCAATCAACAGTCTCAAGAATATTTCAAAACATGTATTGAGAGTTATATGCTGATGTGTCGTGTCTTGCAAGATCCACTCATTTGAACCCAATGCTAGGGGTCAATTATTGCAAGTGACGCCTTCACGCATATAAGATCATGCATAGCATCACGATGAGCGTTTTTATTGTTACTAGTGGAATAAATATTAACAGGTATCTGTTATGAGCCGGAGCTGAGAACGGATCCTACGCTCCGTTTTGTTGATCCTCGTGGTGTTTTATTTTTAGTGACGAACATCGAGCTCGTAGACTTTTAATAGCAGAAGTGAAACCTAGAACCTATAGAACGGGAGTCCGTTCCCAGATTTTGAACTAGCGGCCACGGTACAATGATTGATGCATAGGTAAAGAAGAAGAAAGGGCTTCTTATGAAGCATACACTAAGATGTGAATGGCACCTAGATACTTTTAGGAGAACGTCCCACCAGTGCTACGAGAATTTATGAATAGCGTCTTCGCAAGTTTCCGCTTTGCGAAGAGAATCAATAGGAGCGCGAAAAGCGACGGGAATTCTTCAGTTACTTCAAACTTAGTCTCGCATAATGTTCTATTGCTTCTTCAGCTTCTCTTGTTCGTTGTCAAATCTCCAGATTTCCCTGTGTAGTACGTGCAACAGTTAGTGCACGGCAATATCATTCAATAATCAATTTTTTTTACGACCAACATCCACCTTCCTTTTTCTCATTCGCTTCACGTATTCTAATCTCTCACCAATAAGAATCCTCATTATGCTTCATAAGCTGTCTCGAAATCTCAAAATGAGTAATGGAAACAAGACTAATCATGTACCCACTCTCTCAAGTCGTATTTTATACTGTGTAAACCCAGCTCGAGCCCATTCCCTTTCAGATTAGATCTTTCTCGCCAATGCGGGAACATCAGGAGCTCAAGCAACGGTCGGAAGAAAACCATCCATCTTGCGAAATCTTCCGATAGGTGATACACTCCCGCTCAAGTAATCAAACTACCTTAAAGCTCGAAATGGAACGGTCTAGGGTGAACTAGCTGAGTTCATCCAATATTCCCACATTGCCAGCTTCACTCGGACATATCTCCGGGGCTTTCAGCCAACCATAAAGACATATTAAATGTAGACGAAACAATATTACTAGCGACTAGGGTGGCCTTGCTTTTCTTCGAAAGCTATGTTTTATCTCATGCATTCCCTTTGTCTTCGTTCGCACTTCTAGTCTTTTTTTTTTTTTGGCGCGACAACATCGAAATGATCGTTCATGTTGATATGATTCAGGTAGAGCTAGTACAAACTCGTACTAGGATAGCTTTAGTAGAAGTCTGATACAAGCAGAGCTCTCACTTCATAGCCTTTTCCTAATCTTAGTGATTTAGAGACAGCCTGCATGCCTTCCTATTACAGACCTTATGCTCCCTCTGGTACCCTGTGAAGAGTCATAATCTTGATTGATAAGTAAGATCATGTAGCATACCCAAAACGATATGCATGCTTTTCCGCGGGAGTTGTGTTTCCTCTCTACATTATAATATCTTTTTTAACAGCGGTACTTGGGCTTTTACGACCTGAGCTTAAGGATGTTATAGCACGGTATGAATGTATATACTCTTTCTTTGTCCTTTCGAAATCGAAATCGCTTTGTAATTTATGATTGATTGACAGCTCACATATCTGGCCGAGGGAGTCTGAATAAGATGTATTATTTCGATAGAATTATCTGTAGCATTGGTTTCTTCCCATATAGGTTTTACAGCTCCCTTTTATCTTCATGAAATTCTGATTCTAGAAGTTTCGAGATGGTTCTATTCAAAGGTATTAGTAATGACTGCTATTGAATATTGAATTGAAACTGTGAAGCTTTTATTTCTGAGATTTTGTAGTGAGAAATCCAAAGTGCATGTTGCATTTTAGAATTAATCTTCAGTCACAGGGGCTGGGTGATTTTTGACATCCGAATGTTTTCTATTTCGGAAATATTACTAACAAACATCAGGTACCTAATGATGCTATGGAATAAAAAAATCCATAAAAACTCAACTGATAAAATCCCATCAATTTCCTGCTCATCATTCAAAACAAACACAATTAATAAGTTTTCAAAGCAATGTACGGAATCATGTATAAAAAATATTTCACATCTGGACCGGCTAGCTCTTCGTCGATTTAACGTTCGCATATTGAGTGTGCTTAGTAATTCCGTAGAAACTCATCCAGACCAATCAAGACTGGGAGGACCTTTTCCTCCGCTGGGAGCACCAATTATGTAATCAAAATGGACTGTGCGTAGAGTTTCTCGCTATTCCCGCTGTCAAATCAGATCTAAAAACATCGCTTCGGAGGTATGCTCCCTCCTCCGAATGCGATTAGATATGATTACTTAATCATTACTTCTTTCACTACGGAAATTTGTATAGGTAAGTAGACGGTTGAAAGTACAAGAGAGAGTACCAGATGATAACTGTCGAGCGCAGCGAAGACTATGGAGTTGGGAGCGAAGTCACCATATAAAATATGTATAACATATTAATAAGAGCATATCCCTGACAGCCCCAATTGCAACCACCCCTCAGAGCCATGAACCTTTTCAATACGGAAATTCGTTTCATTATTGTATGTCAATGCTATCGAAAAAAGATGGTGAAACGCACGATGCATATAGTATAACTACGATGTAGGCTGACTGGCTGCTGGGATGCTACAATTACGGAGGCTGTTCCAAGTGGTGAGCTTATGAGTACAAGACACTAAGACTGTTCTGATTTCGGTATTCGCCAATCGGGTTCTCGGGATTTTTATGGCACTGTGTTATATACGTATGGATGTAGTGACTCGTGAGGAAGAGGAACAAGCCAGGGAGAACTCCAACTATGAATGATGTTGAATGTTATATGTTCGATGAAAGAGGGGCGATAATGAAATAAAAAAATGGACAGGGCTGGGTGTAAACTCCGGAGTAGTCCCGACTAGCGGTAGACGTGAAGTATAAAAGATGAAGGAAGACGAAGGAAGATGCGATAATTGATAAAAGAGATGGGATTTTGAGAAAAGTTAAATAAATTGCCATGTTTTCCTTATTTTCCTTAGAGTCAATTGTGAGTGGTCAATTATCGCTAAGGCTGATTGATAGGTTGGATAGCGGATAGCTTAAAAGAATAATGAGGGGGTGGCGATATATGTTTTTATCTTCCTCTCCCTCTCTCTCTTTCTCTCCGGAGATTCTGTTTGATATACATGCCCACTTCACATTCGAGTATTGAAAGCACATTGTCTCCTTGAACTTCTCATCCAACTTTCCCATCTAGTGTCTTTGTATGGGAATACTTTACTTGTGCATGTTATCGTTTAGGAGTCATCTCCTTGACCAATGTGCATGCTAGAATCATTTTCTGCTCATCATCTTAAAGTAATTCTACAAGTATGTCGGAGCGAACCTCCTTAGAATTGAATCAAAATAAACATTTCACATGTGTTTATACAAAGTTTATAAAATGGGACAATGAAAAGCCAAGGCAAGGTTAGTAAGACGATGTTTGAAAGCAGTGATTGGATATCGCAATCAACGGAGGCTTCATCGGTATACGAGTTTTCATTATCTGGCCTGCATAAAGAGAACTATGACACTTTTCCACCAGATTCGCACGTCTTCTTCGATTTTGGCTTCTTCGAAGCTTGTAAATGCGGGGATAGGTAGCAAAACCTTGGTTTTTCTCTCTCATTTTTCTCTCTCATTTTTTCCCCCTTTCGAAACCGGTTCATGCGATGAAGATAGATAAGAATGACAAGTAATATAAAAATTATACCATCCTCTTTGTCTACGGTCGTCATTAATCTGTATCGATTCAGTTAGAGTGTCATCGAGAATCGAACGCTTCTCGATGCTCATTGGATTCGATGGTCTGATGTCATTATGCGCTGTTGCTTGCATTATGAAGACGGGGCTGGATATAATTGTCTCGATATCTCGCCCTGGAATGGTTTGATTGCTCCCCTCTGTCAAGTTGACTTATTTCTCGATATTGATTGAGATATACGATATAAGATCAGATTCAAGCTACAGGCAGAAAATATCTTTAATAATTAACATATTATATGATTCGTCCCAGTATTGTTTTAAAATTCACAGCATAATCTTCCCTTAAACTTTATCGCCTGTTACTGGATTATCTCAACAGATCCAAGTCTCATGGTGCCGCCTGCTCCCTGGCGATTCAGTGAAAACTTCAAAACTATCACCCAACTACTGGTATCTGCTTGCCCCGGCTTAACCTGATACGCCACTTACCTCGACCGTCATTTGGAACTGGAATACATTCCAACAGCTGTCCTAATAACAGTACACGACATAGGTATCGAATTGATCCTAGTCATCGCCAATCGGATATCTCAACATATCCGTAAATCCGTGGCAATGTACCGAGCAAAGTTCCAGCACCCTCACCCGGGCCAACTCAACTTCGACGAGTTCGTCGCCGAAGACGTGCTGAAAATCCAAAACAACAATCTCACGTCCAATTTACTCGTTAGCCCAGGAACAGAAAAAGCACAAGCAGATTGGAGCGAACTCATGAATGGAAATGACCAGGTAAGATAAATCCAAAATAGCTTCAATCTCTGATTGGCGGACGATTGGAGCCGAAAGTTGCAAGGTTTTGAATTCTTATAGGCTTTTATGGATTTGAACATCACAGAAGATGATTCATTTTCGACGATATTTGATGATGTTATACAAATACCGAATGCAATTCTTAACACAAACACAAATGAGAAGCAACAAGATGTGATTGGCTGGAGTCAAAATACCACAGCAAATTCGATTAACTCGTTTAGTAATCCGTTCACAAATATCTCTGAGAGTTCATTGAACGTCGACGACTCCAACCTCATCTCTACTCCTCAAATTAATAATAGTCCCAAATTTTCGACAGAAGATGCTCCATTTGACATTGAAGTTGCAGCCAATTCGCCAAACACTAATTTGGCCACCCTCAAACCCTCCAAGAAACGATTATTAAGTCCTCTTGTTCAGCCGAAAGAACCGCACTCTCTCACCACCGACTCCAACTCCATCCCCTCAGCCGCTTCTCTTCCTCCGAAAAAGAAACGTCGCCCCCGCGCCAAGAAGATTCTCACCCCTGCGGAGATTCTCCGGGCTCGCGAAAAATACCTCGAGAAAAATCGACGCGCAGCACGAAAATGTCGACTTAAGAAGAAAGCCGAGATGACCGCTGACCAAGAAAGATACGAGTGTTGTGTTGCCGAAATCAATGCTACGAAAACTAAGCTGTTGGAAAGTCGGAGGGAACTGCTGAACTTGATTGAAATTTGTAAGGGAATGGTAAGGGAGGGATGCGGTGATGTGACCATTAAAAAATTTGTGGCGAATTGGGAGAGAAGAGAAGAGGCTTACAGGGGAATGCTTGAGAGCGCGGATGTGGGAGTTGAGGCTTGGAAGTTGATCGAGAAGTGTAGGAGTGCAAGATTAGGAGAGGGAGCCTTGGGGGATGCCGTGGATCTGGAGGGAGAAGGGAAAGGGCTTGTATGTTGTGTAAATCTCTGGGAGGCGGGAAATGGCTGTGAAGTTGGGAACGAAGCGAACATCGAACAGGTAGATTGCGATATGGATCCCGGAACGACACTCAAATTTGAAAATCAAAGCTACAGTGCTTCGGCAAATATGGGATGTGATGAATCGACTTCGTTCAGTTCTCTTCAATCCTCACCTCTAGTACAGCAAACACAGTTGTACGAACAACAAATAAATCAGCAGCACCGACCGCCAGATCTGAAGTGGCATGAAATGATCACCTCCTTACAACAAAGCTATGCTCTTGATCCTATTGCAGCTTTTCCAAACCACAATGAGAACGGGAAGTTTCTTTTCCAGAAGCTCTTAAATCAAATCAATAGATCAAGGAGTACCCCTGTACCTATGAATACTCTGATCTCACCCTTGTACCAAGAGCAAGAACAAGACATTGTTCCTACAGAAGAATCATCCGTATCTGTACCAGTTGATTCCGCCTCTACATCACCTCTGAATCATCCAGCTCAAGTCCAAACTCTGCCACGACCACTAGTTCCCCATCTACAACGACGACCAAACTGCTACATAACAACATCAGGAATACGTCAACAAAGCTTCGATAGCGGCTATGGATCCTTTTCCTCCGCATCATCTTCTCAGAAGAACTCAGCGCCTCCTTCTCAAACCTCAGATATCAATGCGAATTGTTGGTCTCCAGATTTAGCTCCTGCATGCATTGGCAGTGTAAATATAGTTGACATCCAGTCACCGCTACTTTCCGATCAAGTAACCGACACGTGTCTGGATTTCATACCTGAGAGCCAAATGGGGATCGAGAACGGAAAGGATCTTCTACCTCTAAACTCGACCGCGAACTTAGTTCCAAATTAACTTTGAAGGATGGAATAAAAGTCTGAGAATGACTTTGTAGATTCGGATTCTTTCTCTCCCTCAACAATCTTTTGAAAATGAGTACCGAGAATTGCGCATGTGAATACGAATGCGCATATGCATGCATGTAAATAAGATATATTAGCGCGCGATACCCCGTGGTGGCAGATAGAGTAGTTAACGATTTGATTGTTTCGTCACATACCTAAAATCGTAGTGTTGTGTGATATCTCGGAAAAATTTGATCGACTTGATGATAAAACGCTGAAGCTTAGTCTAATTATACGATACAACGGGCCGTATCAGGAATTGAGTAGCTCTACAAGTGCTAAGCCGGCTTTCAAATTCGTTTCTATGTAGAATTGCCCTAGCATCGCTACACGTGATGAAATGCAATATGCTTATTCCACTTGGATGGTGTATTTCACACCACTCTTTGACTTATTTTCCTCCTATCGTCGATTACCCGATCCAACTCCCCAGATGATCCCAATCTTCAAGATTCCCTTCCCATTACCCAAAATCACATCTGGATGTTATCGCTCATCCATCCATCCATATAGATTCACACATCCTCCCCATCCCCATCAAATCGCAAGAAAAAGAACTGATCCAGAAACAAATCTCCAAACAAAACTTACCCCCCTCATAACGCCAAGCAAGCCTCTCGGCTCGGTTCCCCTGAAGCTCGCTCGCTCGCTTGAATGGTCTGTTTCTCGTCAATAGTGTGGGCCCACTTTTTTCTGGGGCTGGGTTTTAGGGGCTGGAGGTTGGTTGATTGATTGGTTGATTTGGGGATGAGTGGGCTGAAGTTAGGGAGGTTAGGTAGGGTGAGAGAATTGTTGTATTGGAGATTTAGATGGTTTATTCGGGTTGTGTTGAATGTTGAAAAATTCGACTGCTTAGGTTCTTTTGAGGCAGAGGAGGGAGACCGGGTTAAGCGTTTGAATGGTAGGAATTGTGAGAATTTATAGGGCGGAGTTGGATTTTTTTGAATTCGCTTGTATGTATATTATGGTGATGTGAGATCTAATCACTGATCTGAGTGTATTATGGGTATGGAAATAATCTCAGTATCGTATGATTTGATTTGGAAGACTCCATGAGGGAGAGTGTAACCTGGACGTGTATGTTTATTCTTTCTAGAGACAACGTAAAACTTCTCGTTTCGCAAGAAAGAGACTTCTTTCTTCCAAAGCTAAAGTCAAAGATCTGATGTTTAATGCTTCAAAAGAACTAAATATATCTCATTCGTCAGACTACTGAAGGGTAATTGGTGATACACAAAATAGGAACCACGCATTCCTCGTTCGTGTCGAGTCACAAGTGAATGTTATCGAGATCCTTACAGCACCAAGACTTTACTCCAGTCATTCTTGCGACGGGACTTTGCGGAGACTTCAAACAGCCGGAAATATCTGCTGTATTTGGAGCTGAAGATTGACAGTTGAACAAAATGTGCAATAGTCAGTATGTGCTGGAAATTAGACTTTGATGAATTCAATACTGACCAACCCCGATTTTTGAGGAGTGACCCCACACTACCCTATAAATTTGAGCTAATTGATCCGTGAAGTTTCAGATACACTCTCATATAAGCAAGGGGATCCAGTGCTCCGAACTAATAGAAAATTTTGACTAAAGAATGTCTGAAGACAATCTAACATCTAGAGCAAATTCAATGTTCGAAGCGATTCAACATCGTAAATAACTTGCATGTTCCGGAAGCGCGGAAATGGCTTCGATGACAGTAGGGCCGTGGTCCAGAATTTTAGACACAACACAATATCCAAAACTTGATTCTCACGAGTACGTACGCGGGAAGCTCTTCATGACTCTTCCATCCTTCAGTAATAAGTCATTCAATAAGCTAGATCTCTCCTGCTGGCGTAATAGTAAATTTTGGACATGTAAATAAAACCATCTCAACATTATATTTGTGGAATTCAGGCACTGAGAGTTTCTTCGATAAACCACGGCGTGTCGAAACTCCCATGTAGTGAAAGATTCATTAAACAAATCTTTATTGTATTGTGCAGCGCGAAGAATAATTGAATAGAGAGCGGGGTTAATTTGTGTTGCAACAAAGGGGGGAAGTCTTTCTCGCATGTCTTTACATTCTATTCAACAACGATGGTGACCAAGTCGGGAAAGATTAGTACATTATCAAGATGGCATAGAACATTTCGATAGCTGAAGAGTTTTCTTGCCTTCCTATTCCATTCTTTTCGTCATTGATCCCCAGAACCAAGCAATTTCAAGAGTCACTATATTGAATGCTTCGAACTTCCCGTATTCAATTCATAATGTCCTGTGTTTCACTAAATTACAACACTCATCGATATAAAGGGCAACCAGAACGATAATCAGTCGATTAATAATCAAACTTCAAATAAATCCCAATAGTAAGTTCAACCAATGCACATGTACAACTCTGTCATATCATTTCTCTTATTTCTTTTCAACATCAAACTAAAAAGTTTTCCTGCTGTAAAACCTTGTTGGCATCCTCCCTACATCTGGTCTTTTTCATCTCACCAACTTCAAATTAGCCGGCAATCCACGTGATTTCGTATTCTCGCCACTATTATTCACTTTCTTCAACTGATTCATTAAACCTTTATGTCGTTACCCACAATTATGAAGGGAAACCCGTACCCCTACTGTAATGACAACAACCCGACACTCGCAACGAATTGTGGACGGTGTACGGGTGTCCTACCAGGTCACAAAACCATCGAACGCATCACTATCAGACATCAAGATACTCAGAAAGTCGCGACCATAAACCATGAAGAGCGTGTACCGTTATGGACGCATGTATCAGAATCTAATCTGGACCAAAACGGGAATGAGCAGGACAAAATCCCCAGGTGTATGGTGGTCCAAATCGAGGTGTTTGGGGTTAAATGTTTAGTTGTGATTAGTGAAGATCATTCGCGGGGTGTGAATATCTCTGTTGCACCAAATGTTGTAGCTCTACGTCTCAAGGAGAGTATGAGGATTGCTGAATGGAAACAATTGAAAGATATAAAAGATGAGAGAGACGTGGGGGAGGTGAGGGAATAAGGGAGAGAGAATGGGTTGTCAAATTGAATTAAATGTAGTGCGCATTGTTTTAAAAGTTACATACAATGGAGTTGACTATATCAATCGCTTTTTTTACCCAACAAACCCGCTGATCTCAGCGTGCTTTCTAGGGAGATGAGGGAGTACTAAAAGCTTTTATTTCTCGGTAGCATAGAAGAATTCACAAGTTATAAACGCCAGCCTATTTATAAGTTATCTTCAATCTTTGACTTTTTCCTTTTCATCCAAGCTTAATTTTTTCAAAGCCGCTAAAGCCGCACTCTCTTCTTCAGCAGCTTGTTTCTTGCGCCTCTCGCGTTGACGAACGGTTGATTCAAATCCATCTCTTGATTCTTTCAAATAGCGACGATAATTGGGACATTGAATATAAGCGTCTTGATCGTAGAACTTCTCCGGTTCGATTTGACTCGGATAGTAGTCTTTGAAGAAATTCTTGAAAGTCCTGGCAAATTGGACTTCTTTCTCTGGCCATGGCCCAATTTGTAATTTCCATTCCTCTTCAAAACAATAGGACCATAAGGGCGGTAATTGCATACTAGTCGCTACTGGCTCCCACCATTCTGGCAAATACCCCCCTGCTTCCCAATCGATGATGCCGGTGACATGTCCATCTTTTACCATGATGTTACTCGCATCCAAATCTCCATGTGTGAGCACATATGGTCCTTTGACAGGATATTCATCTTTGATGACGTCTTCCCACTGTTCAATTTGTTCCTTTGACAACCGAAGTTTGGCACGAGTCCACCATTTCTCAACATCATCCGTCACGAACTGTATCCTCTGATCAGAACCTATCACCCTATCTCTTATATTTGAACCGTCTGGAGCTCCTATTTTTGGTGATGTAAACTTGCGCACCTCTATAAGATACTCGACGACTTCTTTGGCAATGAGTCTTATCCCATCCTTGCTCATACTATCCCCAGCTTGCATTAGAGAATCACCCGGGACCCTCTCGGCCATCGAGAAATGACTTTGACTGTCCTTCCAATGGTGTAGAAATTTTACTACAGGTACAGTAGAGTTTTCGGTCAGAAATTTGGAGATCGAAACATCAGGGCCCATAACGCTAGCTCGCCCATATTCCAAAATAGCTCTTTCTTTCAGAACATAGTCATCGCCAATAAACCAAATGCCCCTGGCTCCATTGCACATGCATTTGACGCGACTAACGTACCAGTAATGTACCTGGTGATATACGGTCCATCCACAGTTGTGGCATAACAAAAAATCTTCCTCTTTGGGCACGTGCGCGTCGAACTCTTCTTTCGTGTTCCCCTCGAATGGCTCGTAAATCGTCAATGGCTTTGCCATTGTATTTGAATAAATATGAACTTTGGATATTCAGAGTAGATTTGGGCGTCAGGATTGAAGATGAAGACTAAATAATTGGTAATACGAGACAGTGAAGCAGATCCAGAACAATTTGCGGAAGGAATGGATTGATTTGAGATGTTGGCCGGATTCTGATTTTCTGAAAAGAAGGGCACATAAGTGGGCAGTTGAGAACAAGAAATAAGATAATATTCAATGATAAAGAGGGGTTTGGCGAACATTCCGATCAAAAACTATACTAGATCTGGAATATCTTTGTTAACGACTTTCTCTATTAAACACAACAAAAATTATACTGAAAAAAAGGAAATGTGTTATTTAGTACGTACTAAATAAAACACAAGAAGGATTAAGACTAGAACTATAGTACCACCTGAGAATCTTTTATCATGATTATCTTTATCATAGATATGGAGAATTCCGCACAACAACAAAAAATACGCTCTAACCACTCTTCTCCAGGTTCAGTCTATACTACACGTAGACGCGCTCGATAACAAAGATCTCGGTCAAGGACAAAGACATGGGAAGCAACTTTAATCAATGAAACTCAAATGTTGTATCAGTTGATCATTCAATTCCCGGACAGATGTGCCAATCAATTTTCTAAGATACTTGACACTCGAAGGAAGATCTAACAAAGACTTATGGAATTGAGATTAGTACACACTCAGGCGAGTTGTGGGATACATTCCAGAGATTAATGAATCATGAGAGGCGAGGAACGAATAAGAGTGAAGATTAAAGTTTGGAACTCGGTGTAGAGAAGATCTCGAGTGTGCTCAACAAGTGAATGCATGAAAACTCTAGTCAACGCGATATGAAGGTCAGCTCTCAACACTTCGGCCTCCACCTTCACACCGACCATTATTAAGCGCAAAACATAGGCTCCAAAATAAGCGATCGATTGATCAAGAAAAGACATTCTAATTTTGATAACCATTCACGGAAATACTTGAATTCAGTCAATTCCAATGCACGCTACGGAAAATACCTTCGATTATTTATATGTATTAATGTAGTATAGAAGGCTACAGAAAAAGCGACTATAGAAATAACTTATGCTACTCTAAGAATGAGCCTCGATGAGAGTATATATGGTTTCTCTAACTTCCGAATAACTTCAAATAACAATCAACAATTAGTACAATGATAACAAGAATATCATGACGACTTCAGACTTATCACCAAAGTAATATTAACAGAGTCAGACCAGAGGCCTTTCTTCCTGTCATGCATTATGCCCTCTCTACAAGTACGACTTGTCAAAATACACCCACTAGTCGAGCTTGGCGCAAAACTTTTTGCCATGTTGCTACTGTAATAAGCATTGATAAGGTATTGGGTAAACAGATTTCTTCCTTCCCAATTTACAAGCGCGAATAAATACACAAACTCTACCTCACATAACGATGGATAATGAAAGATAGCATGAGAACCGGAACCTGCTTTGATCTTTATATTGCCCCAAGACTCTTTTGTTTTAACTACTTCAACTCTTGATCGATCGTTTTGTTTGATTGTGCGTCATTTTTGTTTCCAGTTCCTTGCTTACCTGTCGTTTCTGAGTATTTTCCCGAGGAAGAAATGGATGGCTCTAATGAAATTGATATAAAGGTACTTGATGAACATAAAGATAATTATTTCCCTGGACCCCGCACACATTGAAGCCTTACCTTGGGAAATATTTCATACACAAGTTTAGTTTTTCTTTTTCACAATTTCTAGAAAACTATAAGAAACTAGAAGTGCATAGAGATCTATCATTCTCAGTCCTAAGCAGATGAAAATACGAATCACGATGACGGAGGCATATTAGACAGGAGACAGTTCCGGGACAAGAGCTGGACTTGCAAAGTATCAACGGACACCAGGAGGAAGCTTGAATCAAAATATGGCGATTATGGTAGATTTTCCGACAGCGGGTCTCATTTTCCTCAGTAGAAGAACGCGATCAATGGATAACCTTAGCCACTTCTATAAAGTCTCTGTCCCACCATCACGGTCCAGAAAGGGGAATGACGACGATCTTGACAAGAATTCGCCATTCCGTCATAATTCGGGTAAAGTTGATACGATGAACTCAACAGAAAAGCGAATTGTTGTCGAGACTTAAAACGATCTCTATCTAAGTAACAAGAGATCACGCCCACGGTCCCGCGCAGGACAACTCTATCCAGGAAGTTTCCTTTTCTCTGGCCTCAATCCAGATTATACACTTATACGACTTTCCCCTTTAAACACACATTTTTCAGGAATCCCGAAATCCTCATCTCAACCACAAATACAAGAAGGAAATAAGAAACAAAGAAAAAGATCCATATGAGGTAATGCCAGATACCTAGCTAGCTGAGAGCAAACTAACACCACTATCTATGTAGTTAACATTCTCTATGCAATGGCACTTCTGTAGAAAATCAATCAAATTGATTCGAGCCATTTTTAAGTTAAAACTGGATAGCTGTCAATCAGAAGCCGTTCGATGTGAGAACTTCCCGTTCCTGAATTGTGGTAGAATTCATACTGTATAAGCATGGTTTCTTGTGTTTGAATAAGAACAGAAAAGGATATTTTCTCCCACATAAAATACAAGAAATACAGATCAATTGAATTGACTGAGATTAAGTGGCATACGGGCTCATGCAGATCAGCAGCATTGTCATGGACTCACGAATTTTTTAAACTTTATTTATTCTTTCTTTCCCCTCTCCCTGATTGCCGTTGCTAATTGCGATGTTCGCCAAGCGTGAGATTCAGAGATTCGTCCTTCATCAAGCATATAACTCTTGACCAAAATTATCCTGCGCCGTAAAGACATGCTAAAACGCCTATTGTGCTTCTTTTCCACAATCAAATACCCCACTGCCATGTTCCGAACACCATTACCCAATCAACCTTTATTGAGAACAAGAGAAATAAGCTAACGCCTCGAGCTCAATTCAGCTCTCTCTCTCGTTATCTGTATTGAAATCTTCCGCTACAACTGTCTCATCATCCTTATATTCTTTGAATTCCGATTCCTGCGCGCATTTTTCATTGAATACAGGTTCGTTCTGATAGAACTCTCTCGGCTTCTTAACAATAAAAGCAAACGTCTCATCATCCTCTAAAAATATTTCCCCTCTTCTCGAATTTCGATTTCTACGCATATATTAGCCAAAGTCCGAGTATAACAAAGTGAAAAAAAGAAACTCACCCAAATCTTTCTACCGACTCCAACACACACACCACAAGTAAGAAAACCACCACGATTCCCACAACCATAAAATCATTTCTTCGTCCCATCTCCAAATGCGCCAAGCGAGTTCTATATCCTACCGCAGTCCCGGGCCACGAATTGGAATTTTCACATCCTGGTTTCTCTTCATTGATGCTTATCCCTCCGTTTTCTCCCTCCCAGTATTTTCTCGTATCTTCCTTGCGCAATTTAGGTAATGCAGAAGTGGGCATACTTGGTCTCGCTTCATCCTCGTCACTCGTCCTTGTCAAACTTTGAAGATATGCCGAACTGAGTGGTGTTTCTGCAGAAAGTGCCTCATCTGCGGTGATATCATTTGAAGGAGTCGTTGGTGCATTGTCGAAAGCACCTTCCTCTGCAAAATATTCGTCGTCCGAAGGGGAAGTAGTTGTTGGTTTGACAAAAGTTGGGATAGGTAGTTTTTGATGCTTTGGGAAATGTGGATCGCGGGGATCGCTGGGTTTAGGGTGAGAGAGCGAGAGAGTATCTTTGACTGAGTGGAGTGAGTTGCAAGATTGAGAATTGAAACATTCTCGTGAAACTGGGAATGCGGTTGAAAGTTGGAGGAAAAGGAGGAGCGAGAGCGGTGATGATGGTCGCATTTTTGCGATTGATATGAATAGAATTATTAAGATATGAATTATTGACTAGATTTTGAATGAAGAGATGAAGTACGTATATAGGTTTAAGAGTCGTGAATGGCAAGTGATTCCGATGTTTTAGGACGCTTTGGTAGTGTTTGTCACACTCGAGACGTTTGGAATGCCGCAAACGTGAGTAGATCGATCTGCAATCTTTCCGAACACAGCTTAATCCAATCGATCAATACTTGAGGTACGAAAATACAAAGGCTGGAGCAAGAAATCAAGATTGGAAACAAAAGTCGATAGAATGAATATAAAGAAGTGGTGGAGTGAGGTAGGGAAACTCTCATATTTAGATCAAAGGATAGCGTACCACGCGAGTGGTGTGCGTTATAGCCAATCGTTTCTTCACACTTAGGCAAAAACAATAGTTGCAACACAAACATGCATTAGTATTTTCGGTACTCTACACAAGGGACTAGAGTTACATGGGGGAATTCCATCCACTTAATGTTTCTAAAATGCTAATTTGGTAGAAATCCTTCAAAACTTAAAAATCCATATTGGGGTGTTGGCAAAGAAAAAGCTTCAGCCCCTCAGGGTCCTTGCGCGATTTTCATGGGTACTTTCTAGGGTAAATGGCATAGTGAATAGTTAAGGTTACATGGGCTGATGGGGCGTGAACGATTTTGTCTTTTTCGATTGTTCGAGGCGAGGTGGTAAGATGTGGGCTGGGTTTTGTCCGGCTCGATAGTATGAGTGTATAAGCCTTGTGGCTTTGTACAGTACAAAGTAGACAATAAGACAAGCAAGATTCATTCATTCCTCGAACAATTGAAGATATACTTAGATATTCATCCCATTGTGATTCTTGATTAGTTTCATCCATTCGATCCCGTCGCTCGATATCGCTCGACCTCTCTCATAATAAATTGGAGCCTGAAAACAAAACGTGAATTGAGTGATATACAGCGCTACTCGTAACTAACATATTACCAAGACAAGATCACGGAAAGGTGGAGATTTGCATGATTAGTGAGATTTCCAATTATGGGGGAGACCTTTTACAGTTCTTCCTCTTCCACTTTTCTTCGTATCCTATCAGCGCGTCCATAGAAATCCTTGTATGGAGGTCACTGCTTGAACACCGAAGAGTAGGTACTGGGAGCTACCTGCGGTAGGTAAGCTCGTAAATACCTACCAACTGTAATACTGAGATATGGTCATTGCGCCCCCACGCGACTTTTGATGATTTGAATCTCTGTTCGAACAATTGAGGAATGTTTTTGATACAAAACAATGATTTATGAAAAGTTAAGAATGTCTCGTTCTCGTAGACGTACATACTTATGTACTTTACTTGGCATACTACTCTGATAACGAAACGTGTAGGTAACCGTATCTTGTGACTTCAATCACAATGTGCCGGCTTGAAATTGTATCATGTGATGCTATACAAGTAGATTATTGGTTGCTCAATCAGAGTCTCAAAGAGTGTCATCGTCAATTTATTATACGAAGTGAAGTGTCGAAAAACTCTTTTTTTCCCCTCAATTGAAAATAATTTTCTATACCGAGGTTGCTAATACGATTCTAGTCGTGCTTATGCCGTGAGGATATCTAAACGAGCTATTCTTGTCAATGAAGGGGTAGCTCCCTTAATTTACTGGCTTCTTGGCATTTGGGCGTAGTAAAGGGTAATAACAACTCAATGCAATTGAGGGATTATTCTGCGCTACCTACTATGTATATACTTTCACTTGATCAATCCTTCTACTCAATGCTTCTATCGCGAGATTAATGTTTGACTAAGCAGAGTTTGTTGTGAATATATTTTAAGATTCAATGGTAAATGATACATAGTCTCCATAACCTTTTGTTCGTCATAGTCAAACGATCGTCAGGTACACATAGTAAATCCATCCGGAATCCCTGTAGCTCTTCTGTTTTAGAGATAAGAGCTTCGGCATCTACTCATCATACATCCATAGTATACCGTGTAGTGTATCAAAATCCCTGCAAAACTATGTTTCTCCCACAAAGTATGAATGTTAATAAGATTCGTTAGTATGGTTCAGATCGCAGGCTGATTCTGAACTATAGAGCACGGGAGAACACTGGAATGGCTAGAATTCGACACTTTGAATTTGTTTGATCGTCGTTTTCAGATATCTAAAGATCATTTTGTAACCTTCTCTCGGTTACGTTTACGGGGTCGCAGTCAGCAAGACCACTAGCCTCCAACCCTTAACTTTCACCATGAATCCTTCTGGAATGATGATGGAAGGTTATTTCCGCCTTTCCCTAGCTGCAGGGAAACAGCTTATATCTTGATACTACTCTTCTTGTACTGCCACCATTCTTAAGATGATTTAAGGTACAGAGCGACATCCCTGGAAGCTCGCCTAATGAACGGCCATTCCAGCGCTTCTTGAAACCTTTTATATGTTGCCTTCAGTGAAATACACATAAGCGCTGATACATTCATCGCTCATCAGATGAGGTCCCCGAAAAGGAATCGTTCAAGATGAATAGGACCGAAAACCCGAGAAAGGTGCAGAGAAGCAAATGTGATTGATATCAATGTGTTTACTCTACATACATTCGTGACAATGTTTCATGAAATGTAATACCACATCGTTGCTTATACCATGTAAGCTTTCGCCTCGTTGACTTAGCGCGGAGTAGGATGAGAATGAGAAATATGCTTATTCCGAAGGATCTTTCTGACACGGACGAGATGAGATGGTAATCGGATAAATCCTTCGCTATCAGTTGACAATCGAAGTGCTAATAATAGGACATTTCTAAAGCAACATAACGCTCAGTACCTAGCAAACTATGTTTGTAAACGAAGACAGGGGGGTGTATATCATCATTCATTCACAGGAAGTGAAGGAAGGAGACCTACCTACCTATGAGAATGAATAGATAGATGGGAACCAACATCTTCTATTCTAATTGACTGAGAAGTTAATTGAATCGAATTCGGATAAGCAGCTCCATTACAATCTCAACCAATCAAGAAGCCCTATGTTCAAATCGGTCATCTAACAATCTTTTGAGGAAAAGAAAAGAAACTCATTCACCCACCCACTTACCCTAGGCTTACCTCCACATCAATAATTCATCAGTAATTTGAGACATGCAACAAAATACAATTATTATCATGTGAATCATGTTCATATCATGCGTTTTTAGGTAAGCAAACTGCCCATAATCTACAACGGTAACCGAAACTGACCTCAATAGCATCCAAAAACTATCCTCGAGGCTGACAATTTATGAACCAGATATCAACTTTGAAATGTCACAGCCTTCTCAATTATGGTGCCTCCACTGGCACCTCAATCTGCCCCCCCCTTGAATCGAAGTTCAACAGCACCCAACATCGCCTCTGCTCGAACTATACCTTATGAAAGGTCACATCTTGCACCAGAAGATGCTATATCTCAAGCCTCACCACCTCGGAGACCATCTGCCGCTCTCAACCAATTGCGCATGACAAATGGGGATGCTGGAAGATTAAGAAGTAGAGGAAGACATACCGACAGAACGAAAAGTAGTACCAGAAGACGGAAAGTCACCTGGAAAAAACTGCTATGGGTGAAGCAATCATGTATGGCGTGCTTCAATTCAGCGAATGAAAAATAATACTGATCGATTGATATAGATCCAGACAATTACACGGATCAGGATACCTTTCTCGAACATCTGCAAAGAAACCCACGTCTTCAGCCTTATGATTTTTGGCCATTGGTAGCAGACTCCACGGTCATAGTACAACACGTTTGTTCTGTCATAATATTCATTGTTTCTTTCGTTGGGATATATGATAAACATGTCTCTCCGGTTTCTGTGGTTGGCTGGGGCTCTATCGCTACCTTTTTAGGCTGGGTATTGTGGGATTTATGGGTGGGACAGGAAGAAAGTACTCGACCAGCATTTCCACCGCCGCAGCCTTTCTCTCACAGTGTATCTACAACGAGTTCAACGCCAAATCTATTGGCAACAGCTGCAAATGGGCCAAAACATCCCCATTCGATATCAACAACATCTCTTCAATCTACCACCTCGAATCTAACTCAACCACCTCCAACACGACCGGTTTATACACCACATAATTCACGCCTCTCTCATCGCACATCGCTACGTCTTTCAACTGCTAAATCAGCCCTTCTAATTTACTTTACCCTCCTCGGCCTTTCTCCCATTCTCAAATCTCTCACCAGGTCCACTTCTTCAGACTCGATCTGGGCAATGTCATTCCTCCTCTTTACAATCAACATATTCTTCTTCGACTATGCTACCCCGTCCCCTTCATCTTCATCTGGCTATCCACCATCAAACACGAAGAACAAAAACATTCCCGCAAGTTTGAGTACGAATGCTGCTCTAATGGCCTCCACAGTGCTGGCATCACGTCTTCCTAGTACCGGACAAGTCTTTAGTCTTACACTATTCTCCATCGAAGTTTTTGGTCTTTTTCCTGTTTTCCGTCGTTATACTCGCTTGCATTCTTTACGTGGTCATCTAATACTGACTCTATTACTCGTTTTTGGTGCCGGAGGTGGCGTAGGATTGGTATTGCCTCAGTCAGGAAGATCAGCTTGGGATTGGAAAAGTGGATTGATTGGTGTGGTTCTGGGGACGCTAATAACGGGATTAGCTATGGGTGGATGTAGTTGGTGGTTGATAGGATTGCAGAAATATAAAAATGAAATCCACGGGCCGTGGGATCCAGCAAGGCCTGTCATTAGAAGGGCTTGGGATGATTATTAGACTAGAAGATAATATAATTCGCAGAGCTCACTTCATTCGAGTTTTTTTATCAAGCCCATATTGTTAAGGAAAAGCGTTGGTGATGTTTCCTAAATTGAATAAGTCGAACTATTGCATCCAGAAAGCCATGACCCTTCGCCCGCTGCGCCCCCTTTCTTTCGATGCTACTCTAGCGAGATCAATTCAAAGGTGAGACACGCCACAATATATTACTCTGCTCGCCTATTCAAAAACTTGACTATCAAACTGCCACTCTACTCAAACATCTTTCATAATGCCTCCTAACCGAAGTAAAGTTTCGAAATGCACCTTCGGCCAGCGATTTGAAGTAGATTTCTCATCATCCCCACTCGAAATGATCCGACTTGGAAGAATGCAACTTGGCGCTGCATACCCGACGATATTTTATCTGATACGATCTTGTTACCAAGTGTCTCGACACCTTGGTTTCTTGGGACTCTCGCGTTGGTAAGATTGTATAGGATTCTTATAGAAGGCTTAAAGTCTTGATAGTGAGAAACTGAGATTCGTATTGATTGAGAATGAGGCAATAGATGAGACTTTATAAGCGAGTCTCTCCTTTGTATTGTTTGGATTCCTTCTTCAAATTCTTTTTTTGGGCGGGGGGGGGGGGGGAGGGGGGCATCGACCCTTCTTTTATATACCGACTTTACATCATGACAATTTTAACCCTTTTGCATTGATTGTCCCTTTCTTTTGTGGTAAACTCCTTCCTCTTGTTTTTGCGTTGGTCTCGTTCACTAGTCATTTTCGGAACCCCAATCTCCTTCCTCTTCCTTCGGTATTCACAATTCCACAATTCCACAACATCGATTATCTACAAGTTCATTTTACCACTATATTTATGTGTCTACTATTATTTCACTTCACCAATACTATTACGACAATTATGAGTACCCTCGTCCCCCTCCATACTTGCGCTTTCTGTTGCAAATTCAATTTGTCGAAAAGGTACTGTGGATCCTGCCGGTCTATCTTTTATTGCTCCAGGGAGTGTCAGCGATTGGACTGGTCTTTTCACAAAAGTTTTTGTCATGCTTTTACGTCCCTTACTCCGCGTCCTTCAGATTATCACAGCCTCGCGTTCTATTTTCCGGTTGATCTTGATCCCAGACTGGAATGGGTTCGGCGTCCAGATTCTCTGCATTCAAAGGCGAATGATGAGGGATTTCGTTTTCGGTCGCTGGGTTTTACAGAATTAAAGGTTTAATTTCTTCATGCAGTGGTCGAATTGATATCCTGCTGACAATCAAGAATCAGCCGAGGATAAGATGGCCGTATATTCTTTGTCGAGGAGGCTGCCGAGACGACAATCCCAAGCCCAACCATAGCGTTACATCTTTCACGAGAGGAGCCTATTGGACTGGACCTTTGGTAGTTTTTCGAAGAGGTAGCTCTGAATTTGACCCAGCAATTATACAGGATGTTCTTTTGGATGACCTCCCCAGAGTCATACGATTGTTGAGACAGATTGGCAATGGAAGTCAAGTAATGAAACACAAAGTCTTCAAGCAAAGTTTCAATACTTCGAAATGCGTAATCATCAAATGTAGGGGCGATCATATGAATGCTTCAGGGGAGACTCAGCTTGCGTTCACCAGAGTCCCAGAATTGCACCCGATTTTCGAGGGGCAGCCCACAAATATCTCGCGATTGATGGGGATTCCGTTAATAATACAAAAAATACCTCGAGAAGCTGGGAGAGACGTTGTGTTCGATGAAGATCACTTGAGAAACGATTTTTGTGGTACCCTTCACCTTGATACTCTTCCTCATAGTGAGACGTGGGGTGAAATACCTTCACAATGGCATGAGAATGTGGGAACTGTTCTGGTAGTGAGACAGGACAGAAAAGATATCACCACGCTTCAACTATTGGCGATTATGACATACATTAGGCTATTGGATCTTAAAGTAGTAGAAGATGAACCCGATGTTAGAAAAAAACAGAGATTTCTAGAGGGGTACTTCACCCGAAGCAAATTCGAAGAATTTTTCTTCGGCTGCTTTGCAGCTGCTCTGGATGAGAACCCGCAGCTAGACGGAGACCTGATATCTCCCTATAGCAACTCATATGATTCAATAGGTATATCACAGGACTCTTCATCAGTAGGTAGAGCGATAGATCTGTGGCACAGAACTGGACTTAGTACAGTGTTTATCGCCGATGATTAGGAGATGTGTGTGTAAATTATTGGGTCAAGGAACGTAGCGATATTTTGGCTTGGAGATTGTTGTAGTAGATGTTGTTGTCGCGGATGATGACATTGATTGATTGAATAAGGGTATGACTGGAGCGTTGTTTGGACTTGCTTGCTTTCTACACATGGAGGTATCAGCATGACCTCGAGCTAAGAATTTGTCAAATTTATATTTTGGAGCGAATAGAACTAGTGATATATTTGGAACCTTTAGCTGTATCGAAGGCACCAAATTACCCCTTGAGGTTTCTCCCTAATGTATCAATAATAATGCATTGCATCTTATATTCACTTTCTTCAATTTGACGCCTTGTGCCGTGATTGCTGTTCTAGTCACAAGATAAAGTCATTATCAAAATCCTTAATCTCCAAGCGAGATTGTACTGGCGATTGTTCTACAGAATTTCCTACGTCTGACAGTATATAACATAAATTGCCGAGTCTACCCAGCAACCATTACTTGAAAGATCCTTTTCATTGATTTAGATATAAAGCTTGGCTCTGGAACAGCAAATTTACAACATCAGTCTTTCCTAGGCGCTCTTCCCTAGTCAGTCTCCTATAGTCAGTTTGGAACTTCTCTACCTTCCCTTAGTTGGTCACGTCACTTGCTCCTTTTACAACCATCTTTCCTGTAATTAGTAAGTTGCGTCCGCCCATTCACAAATACCGGTCTAGAATTTCGTTCTATTATCGAATAAATACTTCACTACTTAATTCAATTCACTCTTCATACGATTAGGAACCAGTTTGTGTATTTATTAACTCCTACTGACCCTTGAACCACTTTAGATAACTTTTCTTTCGTTCCCTACTAGACCTCCACAATTCTTCTTGCAAGCCTCTAAGCGATCAACTCCATGCCATCACGTCGAGATCCGGCTCTAGGCCCGCGGGTCTCAATCTCCTCCTTCGGTCCCACCATCGAACACCCCAAATGCGGATACTGTACAGAAGATGCTTCAATTCCATGCACAACTTGCAATGCTACCTGGTACTGCACATTAGCTTGCCAGAGAGTCGATCGCGACGTTCATGACATCATTTGCCAGAAATACACAGATTTCGTTGCTTCGCATCCATGTCCCGAGGATACTGTGGAAAAGAAATACAGACTTGGTCTTCTATTACCGGTCGATTCGGAGGACTTTGAGTTGGCATGGATTGCCAATGGCTCTAATGGAAAGTCGGTTTCAACATTCCTTCAGTATTATGACCAAGATCGGATCAACACTCGCAACACTCTTGTGGATCACAATATGGCAAGCAAGAAGTTTGATCATTCCATTATTTTGGCTGTCCGAGGAGATTTTCTGACTGATAACTCTCCACCGAATGCTTGCATCAATCATATCATGGATGGAAATATGAAGTTCGCTTTGAAGGGCCCAGTTGCTGTTGTTAGAGAGCGTGGTTGGGGCTCAGTCGGATGTGCCCAGCATTTTCAGCCATGTGATTTCAGGATTCTAATCTATTTTCTCTTCAACTATGAAGGAAAGCCAAATATTGATATCGGGCACGCTTGCGGTGAGGAATCGAAGAGTGTTTTGAGCGCGTCCGTGAGTCGCATTTTGAAGTTCCTCAAGAAGAAATCTCAAGATGGAAAGGGAAAGTCCAAGAACGCTCCGTTTGACGTCGAAGAACTTAGAACCAACAGAAAACGCGCCGAGACATTTGCTGAACCAGATTGGATGAGAAACTCGGAAACGTTTTCACCGACACATCAAATGCAGCACTCAAAGTCAAGTATCAACCTTAGTAGTTTCAAAGACGATGCTTCTTCGCTACATAAGGCTGAATCGTTTGTCATGCCAGATTTCCTGCCAGATTGGATTAGGGAGTCGGGTGCAATTGCCGCCGGACCTAGGCCGCATTCCGAAATAGCTTCTTCCCTTTCAATTAATACAGAGAAGGCCTTTGAGGAATCTGCTAGTAGTGACAGTATGACGATCACTCCAATCTCACCGGTTACCTCGATTGCGGTGACAACCAAGCAGGCCCATCATAATGACAATGTTTCTGTCAGAGAATCTCTTGACATTTTTGACCGTTACAACTCGAAAAGAAATAGAGGGAATCATGACGACTCCGCGTCTATTTTATCGAACGAACCAAGCCCATCCATCATAACCACTACTTCTTTTTTTCAACCCAGAACTGTCCTCCAACTCAAACCAACAATTAGGAAAGTGAAAAGTCCCTCGACATTATATAGAACATCATCTTTCTTCAATCGTCCAAAATCTAAAAGTGTCGAGTTAAACCGAGATCATGTGGTACTTCAACGAAGTATGACTGGTTCCATCATGTCGCCATGGACAGTATAGTGAGAGCATATACAGTGCTCTTGATGCAGATATACGTCTTTACATAAAGTTATTTTTAGAAGTTCCGAGGAAGGTCGAGATGTCGATGAAGTAGAGACATATATAGGGGATGAGTTGATACTGGAGTTGGTTTAGAGGGTTATATTCAAACAGTCATGAGAGAAGTTTGATATGGGTATCTGATGGGTAAGAATGGGAGTGTAGGGGCGTTCTCGATATTTTTTGATTACTTTTGGATACTTTTTGCGCTCGCGCCTGATTGGAGTGCTAGGTGGTTCGATAACAATTTGTAATTTTAGTTACTTTACTTAGTAGTTGGTCGCACAATGCAGTTTCATGCACATCTAAGATATTCCATTCATTTATGTGTAGTTTAAGTTTGTCGGTTACTTAACCTTAGCCGACCGCATTGATGCATCTAACGTGCTTAGCGTTTACCCGAGACTTCATTGCTGTACTTTCCGGTTCATTTCTCCATTTCCGAACTATTCAGTCATTTACCGAACTTGTCTTTGAGTTATGGGTTGCGGATTCTTCTATTCTCGTTATATTAGCGAAAGTAGGTAGTGTTCCATGAAACTTGAGAAACTTGGCAATTCTCGTTTTTCCTAATGTCGCCCTGACTGCCAATAATATCTTTGCCAAATCAAGATTCCATTTTCACAGTCCTATACATAAGCACATTTAGTATCGAAAATGAGTTACGTATCATGTGGACTGGTCGTTTGAAGAGAGTTCGAAAGCACGTACTTATAACAATAGCAATCTTCAACGATAGCGATCCTAAAGATCTTTCTCTCATTTTTGAAGTCAGATAGTCAAAGCAAGGTGAATGGATATGGCGAATTTGATAAAAAAAAGCTGTGGGACAGACTTCAACGTGTGATCTTCTTCAAATTTGATATCCCCGAGCGGAACAAGAGCTTCTGATTTAACCTCAACTTTCACCTCAACTTTCATCTCAAACTTTCAAAATTTTAATTGAAAGAAGTCCTATTACAATCAACAAACTTCCCGAGCTTTTAGATCAGCTCTACCAAGACAACCTATAGAGCTATCTAACCATGTCTCAAGTTTTCGGTCCCGCCCCTCCTCCCCCAAATACAGACACATCCCTCGTGGCGTTAAAACTGTTTATATCCACTGCTTTGGTGATCGAAAATCCCTTGGCTTGCCTAAATATACCGAAGTTACGATCTCTGACAATTATGTTATTTTCACTAGAGAGAAGTCTACAGCGATCTCTGTTCATATGGGCATTCCACTTCTCACCAGGAAAACCGGCTACGTTGATCCACGCTGGTCAGATAAGAAACCCCACGTTGATTATGCATCCCCTAAGAGCCCCACGTCAAACATTAAAGCATTGTGCCTAAATTTGCGAGCCGATATTAAACATGAGGAATGCTGAGGCTGGGCTGATATGGAGAAATGGGATAAAGTCATTGGCACGGTTTTGGTTGCAAGACAGGGCAAGAAGGACATCACTGCGCATGAAGTTGAAGGTCTGGCTAGATTCTGTTATTATGATCTTTCGCCTGCCATGGGAGAACTGGGGGAATATATTTACGAGGATTACCCAAAGAAAGCAGACCGAAATAAGGTTCGTGAAAAGTTTACGAAGGATTTCATGTGTCAAGCCAAGTTTGAGGAGTGCTATGAGAAATTGAAAGCAGAGAGAGTTGCGGCTGGAAAGTCCTTGTGGGCTACTGCTGTTTCTCCTTACTCTCAGGTTTGAACTCGTCAGAACCAATACGCGTGGAAACTGGGATGCAGTATGAATGTTTGGCAGAGGATTTCATATTTGATAGTTCATGATGAAGAATGATAGCGGGAAGGATTTTAAGTGATCTTGCCATTTGCGACAGAAGATTTCATGGAGACAACTGAATTATCAGTAGTGAGAGGGATGCTCGATAATTTGTCTCATAGTGGAGATTTTGGTTTTACGCGTGGAGTTAAGAGAGAACAATGCGACATTAAGGTGGATGCTTTTCAGTAGTACTCTTACAATTACTCCATGCATGGGGTTGATTTTCTAATGTTCCATCACATTGATTCGCAATGGAGAGCCTGAAGATAAATAGCGTGCATAACACTTTCCTTGACTAAAATTGTTGCAGACGGTGTTCACAATAGAGAACAACTTCGAGACGTTCACGTGGTTTTTGAAAGTTCGAACATTCTCTTCATACGCCCTCGATCCTTCCACAACATGATTTAAATACTTGGCACAAATGTCGAATTCTTGGCTTTCACCCCCAACACCTAAACATCAAATGGACTGATAGCATCAGCCCATGATTAATCTCCCCCTTCAATTCTAGCTTTCTTGAACTCCCCAAAATATTTTTCAAAGGCATCTCTATTCAGAAGGCCCTTCGTGACTTTCTCTTTCTCGAAATTTGGTGGTCTTCCGTCTTTGTATCTGTGAATTAGGTTTCCCATTTCAAAGTAGACGACACGGCGAAAACAATTGGTGATGACTTCGACTTGATGGACAGTAATTGACTTCTTGTCTTTCCTTACGACCTGAAAGCTTCCTATCTCTTGGAGAGGAAACCTCCCCAGCTCTCATCTTCCGGGTCAATAGTCAGAAACAGAAATAATGCTTCTTCATTGCGGTGAGGAACTAAAGCATTCGTTCTCAAAGCCAATTCATGCTGGCCCTCGAAGTTCTGATAATAATATGGCTCGTTAAATGAGCGAAGTACCAATCCAATTCCCAGGGCTTTGGTACATTCTGTATCTTCGTGGAGGAATGCGTAGTCTGCGGTGGAAATTTCGATGCTCTCGTATTTAGAAAATTTCAAAATTTCCGTTCCACCCCCACAATGCATGCGTACAACCGATACCCTTGGCGCGGCAGACTTCTCTGCGTAATATAATATAACCCTTCAGGAATCTTGACTTCATTGGTGAAGCCTTGGAAGCTGTGTTTAATTTGATAATCCTTCATTCCTGGTGGTACGTGGCGACACAGCCAGTCAGCAACAATGCGAAGGTCTGATGGCTGAACATCTCCTATGGATCTGGCTCCTTTGATTCTGTGAATGACAACCATGGGGCCTCGATGTCCGAAAGTCATGCAATTGCTTGCCATTTTACGCGCGCTCTCATATCTACGGGCGGTAGGTCTGCGGAGTATTGCTCCAAAGACTGTCAGGGAAAAGACTACAGAACCCATAAATTGCTTTGTTCTGAATATGGCCGCATGATAAATCCAGCCAGACCAAGTGCAAGCGCCAGACTTGCTCTCATTTCGGCCAAGGCATTCTTGGAGAATCATGTGTTCCTAAGATTATTTGGGTCGAATTGAAAGTTGAATGTGGAAAAAAGACCGTCAAGCAAGTTGAGAGAGATAAGAGCGGTGTCAACACCCATAACAACTTACTTGTACAATCGATGGACAAGGTATCACATCCGGATCCTGAGCCTTGTAACTTACCATTGAACCATTATTGGTGCATCAGAAAGTTGAAACTTGACTATGATATTGTGCTACATCATCGAGCTGCACACATGTTCGACAAATCAGCACCCAATATGAGCGTCTTCGAATTCACTGATGGAGTCCAGGGTCTCTTTCGTAAAGAACCTGTGACCTTCTATACCTGCAAAAGGGTGAAATTGGATAGATTTGCAAATAGAATCCCTGACTTAGATGCCACTATGTCTGACATACATGTCGCATTGAGTTTCTTACAGAACATTACTGGATCAAATGCTAAACCTGAAGCACTGTCGGCGGGCGGCGTGTTTCTGAATGAAGTTCATGAACCTTTGTTGTTTCAACAACTGATGGTTAGATACGCAAAGAACGCAACGCCAATCAAGGGTATTCGAATATCTTGTCTCGGAGACATTCAACATCTACGCAAGGAAGAATATCAAGTCGTCGACATTGTACCTAATCATCCCATATTCCACGCCGATCAGCCAGATCCTCATGCTGCCGTCTTCAAACAACTTGGAATTCCACTCCTGGAGAACGAGGTGGCAATTGCTTTGAATCTTATCACTGATGTCAATAGCCACCGGTTCAATTTCCCCTATCTTGGTACATATTGGAAGAAGCTCGTAGGACAGATCGTGCTTGTGAGAGAAGATGGAAAGAGACTCACAGTCCACCAAGTGCAAGCATTGGTGGCTTTTTGCAAGCATAAGATCGACTGGAATGACGCTTTGTGGATGGCTATGTTGACTATGGGAATGGAAAGGTTTAATCACTTGGTCTTAATCGAGATCAGACAGAACGAAGTACGCGAAATAGTGAAGAATGACGAAAAGTTCAAGACGCAATTCCAAGACTTTTTCGAAGAATTCAAGCGGGAGAAGATTAGTGGTAACGTTGAGGGCGAAGTTGATGGGGACCGATTTTGGGCTGATGAAGCATCACCATATGATGCATGAGATAGCGCGTTGTAGCGTCAAAATGAATGTTACAAATTTATGGGCATAATTAGTTATTGGCTGGTAGTTGGTTTCATTAAGAGCAATGCGGCGAAAGAGACATTAGCCGCGGAGGCCCCAGATGCACCATGCAATACTTTATTCGATCGCATCAGATAATCATAAGCGTTGTACTTAAGTTTGCATCTACAGAAGATATGTTAACAATGAAAAGGTGCTCTTTTCGAAATCAATCCAGGCTCTTCGTGATTGTTTTCTGTGGGGAAAAACCGACATATCATCATAATCAGCCTTTGTGCAGTTCATGCCCTGAAACCTGGAGAATACTATGTTTCCTACATATTTTCCAAATTGGAGTATGAGTGACTCACCAAAAACTGATCGGCATTTCTTAGTAATGAAACATTCAAGTTTGAAGTCTTAAGGTAGATTATTGGTACGCTTCTGGAATATCGCTCAATCGGGACCGGTGAGGAATTAGCGCCTTACGCACTTCTTGTAGGCTTCTGTTTTCATTCAAACATATAAACATAACTCTTTCTTCTCGTCACAGCTCTTTCTCTTCTCCTTCAAGCAAAAGCTTCTTTCCTTTCGTTGTATCTTATATCGTATACCCAGCAGAGTTTCACAAATGCTGACCTTTTAATCAGCCTGCAAACACCCCGCCTCGTTTAGACCTAGACGTCCTGAACAGGGGTTCCGGTTCGGCATCCTGCTACTAGCTTCTTTGGTTGGATATTTATAAGATTTAATGATAATGATAAGGAAAGCTCTTCGTGCAGGTACTAGCTCGTATCGAAAACGCCCGGGTAGTCTTTGGTGGTCGATCATCATGTATGAATCTTTCAGGCCACAGAACTCGAAATGCAACCACTCTTGCGATATGGATTGAATATCCATTTCACCGGATACCCAGCCGGTATACAGTAACTTGTCTAGAAATTTGGTTTCAGCATGGTGGGATCGACACTATATGCAGCCATTGTACATTTGATTGATCAATAGGTAAAGGTGGGATACAATCATGAATGCTTACTCCGCACATAGTCGCACCACCGCCTCAAACGGCCGGTCCAATCATCGATATTTATCCTCCAGTTTCAGTGAACTAAACCGTCTAGAGCCCTTTTTTTCCACACCAGGGGCTTCTAGTCACACAGACGAGCACAATAATTCATCCAGTTCGGTGGCGTTCGACCACGGATGGAGACTCAAAATGGTGCCTTGGAATACCTAGACGCTCCATATCACAACATCCAATTCTTTTCCAAAACGGCTCAAAATCACTTCTCACGATCATTCGACTTATCTCTCAGCTCAGGGATAAATGCCTAAAACGACGTCTTTAATTTTTGGGGTAATTACATCCTGCCTAGGTGGCGTGGGTGGACAGGAAATCCATGTCGAAGTGTGACCCCACTCGGTCAACAATTTATCAATCATTATTGTCAGCCATTATCCATTCCAATCTTGAGAAATCAACGAAGTTCAAGCAGTATCTGGGTACGAACTTCAGATGGAAGAATCTGAGATGCTATATTCAATCACTACATAATTTCAGCCGAGCTGGTACCTTTTCGTCTCACGGTTTCCTCAATCATCCACTCCTCGTGACCACAAGACAACTTCCAGCAATTCCCGGCTGAGATTAGAACCGTGGGGAGAACCCGATTGAAATCGACCAATCCTAGGCTTTGCAATTATAATTGCTGTTCTAGCCACCCAAGAGAAGACGTCTGCATCCGAGAAATTGCGACCTATAATTTGCGGAGAGTTATTGTCATTTTCTGATTGGGCTTCTTGATTTAAGGCTCACTTCACGAAATCCTGAATATGTATGTGTGCTCAATGCATATTTAGACAGTTGTTCTATGCATCCAGAATATTGCCTATATGCAGGAAACTTAGAGACGGCACGCGAGAACGCTTGTCGTCAAACCCAAGACGGACGGCCCCGTCTATCACTGGTCGCTACGAGCAATAATACAAGCATTCAGCACCGTTATCGCTGCTGGTACTACCCACCTCAAAATTCATCAAAAGTGGGAGTCACAAGGATCTTGCAATACCAAAGAATGTCATTTTTAGTGGCAGAAACTGTCCCAACATTCTTTGGCGTCCACCCCCCTTTCTATAGTTCATTCGATTGGACGCTGTCAATTAGGTTCTTACATTCAAATTTACTCGAATTCTGGATATGCCAAGTACGGAAGGTCGCAGTTCTACCATTGCGGCGGATTCGTGAAGCGCACGGGCTTAGCTATCAAGCTCCGTCAAGCTTTACGGCTTGCATTTCCAAGACAGTCAAGCTTTACTTGTCCAGATTGAATGCGGGGCGATTGCTTATCGGAATTCCCCTAACAGGCAGGTGAATATGTACGTTAAACTATCAGATCATCACAGATGCGCACTAGCTTTTTGGAAAAGACGGTATAGTTGAAGGTAGAAATGGCAAGTTCAAGGTTCATATGGCTCAAAAATATACGCAAACCCTGGAGGGTTGCAACTAGTCAGTCTTTACACCACGTTGCGATTGATCCACAATGGCACACTTCGTATCTTATCTGTTTTTTCAAATTTGGTTTCTAATATCCGAGATAGTTTCCGGTATAATGAGGTTGTAGTGGTTTCTATAAAAGATGCTTGTTTTCCCAAGAATTTTGTCTTTTTTCCAGCCCTTCTTATTTTGCCTGTGAGCACTAGCTTTCAGTATGGACTCGCCACGAGAGACTGACGTCGTTTACGACGAGAAGAGTCATGAAGCACCAGCCATCACCAAGAACCCCGAATCTATTGATTCTAAGGATGCAAAGAATGACAAGTTTGGAAAGACAGCTTACGAAACCGAGATTTCTTCTAGTTCTGATGAAGAAGGACGTGGCGGTGAGGTCAATGCTCTTGAGACTGCAGAAGATATCGTTACCGCAATTATCAATGTCGATGATGATCCAACCTTGAATCCCTGGACTTTTCGCATGTTCTTCATTGGTGTGTACAGTCCTTTATTCCTTCTTTGTAAATGCTAATGTGTTGCCAGGTTTGGGACTATCTGCTTTTGGGGCTGTACTCCAAGAGATCTTCTACTTCAAGCCTCAAGTTATCTATGTATCAGTTAGTGAGTTATGATAACTACTCCAGTGCTTGTTCCGCGTGTATTCTGATGCTTCTTAGTGTTTTTGACTGTTATTGCATACGCCATTGGAGAATTTATGGCTTTAGTCATACCTAGATGGGGTGCAGTTGGTCGATTCCTTAATCCTGGTCCGTTTAACCAAAAAGAACACGCTGCCGCTGTTATCATGGCATCGGCCGCCGCTGTTTCCGCTTTATCCACGGAAGCATTAGCAGCTCAAAAGCTTTGGTATGGAGGATATCCTAGTCAAGCAGCCGGTGTATTCTTGACATTATCTTCACAATTGATTGGTTACGGTGTTGCAGGCATGATGAGAAGTAGTCTTCTGTGGCCTACAAAGATGCTTTACCCAGCAAATCTTCCTGTTACTACTGTCTTGGAAACTTTACACAAAGAAAAGACAGCCAATAGGAAGAGAATGAAGGTTTTCTGGATCATTTTCTTTGCTCTATTAATTTGGGAATTGCTTCCTGAGGTGCGTTTTACCATCTCTTTAGTCTTAAACCAAGTATATCTGACATGTTGTAGTACATTTTCCCACTTCTTATTGGTGTATCCATCTTTTGTCTCGCAGACCAACACAACCTAGTCTTCACCAATCTTTTCGGAGGAGCAAACGGAAACGAGGGTGTAGGATTCTTATCCCTATCTTTCGATTGGAACTATGTCGCTGGTTTCGGGTCTCCTCTCTGGATGCCTCTTCAGACTTTGGTAAACAGTTTCATCGGTACTCTCGGCTGTATCATTCTTTTTATGGCAGTTTATTATGGCAACATTTGGAGGGCACAAGATTTCCCATTTTTGTCTCAACAATTGTTCAATGGCGATTCGAACTTTACCTTCTACGATACCTTCAATGAAACAACAATCCTCAATGACGATTTTACCGTGAACGAGGAGGCACTCGAAGCTGGAGGTATCCCTTATATGGCTTCCACCTATATTGTTTATCTCATCACATCCAACATGGGATTCACAGCGAATTTTGTCCATATGTTTCTCTGGAATTTCGATGACATCAAGACTGGATGGGCATGGGCTAACAAGGCCACATTGAAGAAGTTGTTAACACCTTCCCATTATATGTTCTGGAAAGGTAATGGCAGCAAACGTAGTGAAGAAGAAAAGCAAATCTTGAGGGACGATCCTAACATTGATCCGCATTACAAAGTCATGTTAGATTACGATGAAGTTCCCGATCTCTGGTACTTCTTGGCATTTGCGGCAAGTTTCATTACTTCTATGGCTTGTCTCTATGCTATGAAGTCAACCCTTCCATGGTGGGGTCTGATTTTAGCTATGCTTTTCTTGACGGTTTTCATGTTGTTTTTTGGTGCTCAGTATGCCATTACTGGTTTCCAATTCAATATTGAACCCATTGCTCAAACTCTTGCCGGATATTTATTCCCTGGAGCTCCTCTTGGTAAGTTACATGCTTCCATAATTTGTGACATTACTAACCATGAAACTAGCAAACATGTACTTCACTACCTTTACTTTCAATGCACTCCAACAAGGACAATATCTCCTCCGAGATTTAAAACTAGCTCAGCAGAACAAGCTTTCTCCAAAGGTCACATATACAACGCAGATAATCGGGTGTATTTTCGGAGCTTGTCTCAATTATGTCATGATGATCACGTAAGTTGGCCCTTTTCCACACTCATTCTCTTCACAAACTAACAAACTCTAGCATCGTCAAGAATCAAGCACCAAACCTTTTGACTATTGAAGGAACAGCGATTTGGTCGGGAGCTAATGTTCAATCCTTCAATTCTCTCGCGATTGCCTGGTCTATTGCTCCTAAGATGTTCTCTATCGGTGCTCGTTACCAATGGGTCACCATCGCATATCTCCTCGGATTCCTCGTCCCCGTTCCTTTCTGGCTCCTCAACAAATATTTTCCCCGACAACGCGTTTGGTCATACCTCAATCTCTCCATTATTCTCTGGTATTTTGGATATCTTTGTGTTGGTATCAACTCCAGTGTCTTCATGTACTACTACATCGGGGCATTTGGTCAATTTTACCTCCGAAAATGGAGACCAAAGTACTTCGTCAAGTGGAACTACTTGGTTTCTGCCGGTCTTGACGGCGGAACTCAAGTCATGCTCTTCCTCCTTACTTTCGCTGTTGCGGGAGGAAGTGGTGTTAGTAGACCGTTCCCAGAGTGGGCTGGAAATGCTGCAAGTGGTAATGTAGATAAATGTATGTATAATGAGGCTAATGGATAATCATGTGATTTTATTGGGGGCGGAATAAGGACGTAAATTTCTAATTGATAGGGATTAGAATGATAGGGTTTGAACGTTAGTTATTTTGAGGATTAGATGTTAATGAGTAGATGATGATACCCCAGTTTTGAACACCCATATGCTACTGCTTGTCTCATAAACTCGACCTTCCAAGATGATGGTACCCATTCTATGGACAAATATATGCTGCTGCTTGTCTCATGCATGTGACTTCTATATTGGGCGAGAACACTCCTAATTGCGACCCCTCCTCCCCAAGGAGGCTGGTATATAACGGCGTGTATTGTCTCTATACAAATACAATTTGCCTACGTGCATCATCCAGTTACTGCGGTAGCGCCTTTAGCACCGCTCGTACTCACTCTTGACTAAAATTCACCGCATTATGTTGATAGGTCTTCCTCGAGTTTAGTGCTGTCAATACGGCTTCGTTCTCAATGTATTTGCTTGCGGGATAAGTAAAATTGCTCTTCGCTTCTTCAATCAATCTTGCGATGTCAATATGTCAATACACAAGCTGTACTAAAACTTTAGTACTGTTAGAATTAAAATTAAAAGTTACGAATAGAAACTTTTTACTTGTATAGAAGTCAGTTTCATTGGAGCATGTCGACATATCAAAGTTTCCTATACTTCTATATGCGGCCTTCTGAATTGGCTATCCTTGACACTAATCAATACGGCGTTGACTTCTCTGCGTCATGTAAAATATAAGTATCATCTGTCTCTCCTGCCCAGAAAGCTATTCTCCTTCATCTTTAAATACATACAGAACACTTGTACACACACCAATTATCCATTTACTACTTCATTATGGTTCGATCAACACGAAAATCTAACCCTCCCGCCAATCTTGATGAATTGGCCAGGAATGCATATCCTCAAGACAATCTTGAGACTGCAGTTCAAAAGTATGTCATCGAGATATGGATCAAATGGGCAAAGTTCAAGATGAATGGGGTTCGTTATATGATTGCGGAAGGTATGTTACATCATGTGTCTACGTGAACTTGGAGCCTAAGGGGCTGAAAGGGTATGTTCGACGCTGATGGGTAATAGATATTCTATACTTTCGAGACAAAGGTCTCTGTATTACCAATTCCGAGGGGGAGATAAATGACAGGAATCGATTGTTCTGGAATAAATTGCAATATCCAGTCAGTCATCATGAGATCGACCATATGACCAAGGCCCAAGACGCTGCCCAAAAAGTCTTAAAACACAAAAGTGAAGGTCAGTGGAATGTCCCAAGATATTTTAAAACGCACTTCTTGAAATTTCCTCGAGGTACTTGATCTTCTGATTCGATAATTTGTGATCACTCGTTGACTAACAGATTATAGACATTCTAGACAACATCTTCAAACACGCTCTGGTCGCACTTCCTGGAAACGTGATATCCCCAAATCTTCTGACCACCAACTGGAAGAAGAGATACATTGAGCCAAGCCACAAAATCTACGTTACTGGGCAAGATTTTGAGCCCTACTACTCTGATGATAGCCACAGACCGTGGCCATGTAATCCTGCATACTTCGACTAATCCCAGTTGTACATCGGATGTAAAACTCTCCGTGATACGAAAGGAAAGTATGTGAAGCTCCAGAGAATTCTTCGTCCACAGATCGATGCAACACTCCTTCGCATCTCCAAGATCTTCCACGAAATCGGCTCCATATTGCTATATCGTCACAATACATTTCATTTTGGCATGGCAAATGAATCCATAGAGAAAAGTTCCCCTTCATGGATTGGAAAATGGGCATATAGACCTGAGCCGAGCAAACGCGGAATTGACAAAGGGTCGATCACCAAAGCCATCCGACAAATTCAAAGCAAAGTCGTCGTCACCTCCGTTCCGGCCTGGTGCTACTACGATCCCTTCATCCGTTTCCTCTATCACGTTCGATTACGTAACTCGAGTTTCGTCAAGAAGTTACGACTTGAAGGAACGATCAAAGCCCATGAGTGCAGCAGAAATACATGCAGACTTCAGTGTGACGATGATATTATCACGAGCATCAAATGTTACACACCGTTCATTAACACGTTCTGCCCTTGGCTGCATGAATTAACACTAGAGGTAGACATTGACTATTGGGGAGCTCTACCCACTCCAGCTAGTCGACAATCCGAATTCAATGGGATGTTCTTGCAGTTACTCGAGAATGAAATTAGAGAACTGAAGACTGTTCGAGTTCTTCATGTCGTTGCTGCAAAACCGCCGAGGGATCATTATCAGAAGGTTGATGTTGGTATTGCGAGAGATACCATACAGTGGTTTAAAGAACGAGAGACTGCTCGGGTGGATAAACAGATTGAATATTATCGTGGCTGCTGAAGTCTGGAACGTGTCGCTGAAAGCCTGTTAGATCTGTGGAAAAAGTTATCATTCAGGGATCATCGAGGGATACGAAGAATTCTTTAGGTTTTGGTGTGCGTAATGGTTATTGATGTACAAGAAAAGCAAGAATGAGACGTCTCCAGCAGTTACATCAAATCAATTAATCGAGAATATCATATAGAAAAACGAGGTACCATGTATTATGAACTCCAATATGATATTGTTCAATATTTCTCCTCTGATTAACAGATTTCTTCCATAATGCACATCTCTACAATGCATCTTCTCTAAATGCATTTGTTACCACATGATTATTCCAAAGATCCGTGATTACCAGTGACTGTCTGGTAATCTCACACCCTCCTAATTAAACATCTCAAGCCCAAAGCCTTGTGAGCCCAATACATACGGAGCCAATGAAAATATATATGTAATGTACCTTTCAGCACCAAACTATCCACAAGAAATTTTATCATACTTATGACCACACCACAGACTATCCAAATCACATATTATTACCACTTTGGTCTGCTCCGCTTCCATTCCGACCCGTATCATGAATTCCCCAAAACGGATCAAACATAGCCCCAACATTTCCAACCATATCTGTGCCCATTCCAATCCCACTCCCCACCCCTGTCGGCCCAAAATCTATCCCATTAATCCATTGTCCACCATCATCTGCGTTCCCAGAATTCCAATCTGCATAATGATCATTTCCATTTCCAATATCTAGCAAACCTAATGTTGTAGCACTTTCAGTCGTGGGCGAGAGAACACCAGTCGTGTTGAGATTAAGGGAATTGTAATTTGGTAGTGTGCTGTCACCATTTTTGTAGTTGACGTGGTCCAGAGAGAGAGGACCCGGTGTTACACCAGAGGTGAAGAGAGAAGGGGTCGAGACTCCCAGGGAGGGAGTGGTAAAGAGACGGCGAGTTTGAGAAGTGGTGGAGAGGTGAAGGATTTCTTTGACGCTGCGATACTACAAATGATGCGAGGTTGGTAAATATATGCAAACCAATGGTTACAAGAGTGGAGTGAAGAAAAACCAAATGCTTACAACATCATCGACATGAGTATTGACCTCCCTCAACCCCTCTAAGATGTCAGTAACTTTCTCCAACCTACCCATTATACTGGTTCTCTCCTCTTCGCTTGAAAATCCCACAATATCTGCCGTCCTTATGATTATGTTACTGCATTGATATACACATGTTGCAATTCCTGTATCACTAATCAATGTATGCCCAATACTTTGTACAGTGTGACAAATGTCCAATATTATGACAGCATGTTCGAACGCTTTTCTTTGGCAATACTGCACGTATTCCTGAGGTGTGTTCTCCAATATTGTATCAGATATCGAGTCTTTGGTTCCAGGAAACATGAATCGGTAAAGGTCAGTATGACATTGTTGCCATAAAACATGAAACATAACAAATCTTGTTAGTTGTGGTGAGTATGCTCGGAGGAAGAGATTGTCTTCGTTGTATTGAAGGTTTGCCGGTAGGGAAGAACGAAGTTGCTCCAATTCAGCCTCCAATTTCTGTAACATGTCTCGCGAATCGTATGGATTTGATTTGTCCCGTATCACGTTCCTCGTATACCTGAAAGCTATTATCAGCTTGAGATTTCAAACAATGCGATATATCGAACCAAACATACTCTAGGACGCGATGCCTTATGTCAGAAATTCGAAAATAGAATGACCTCAACCCCAAATGCATAGATTCAGACTCATTCGTTCTATTCGATATCAAAGGAGCAGTATCTCCCGGTATACCAAGATCGAAATCCTTTTCACTACAAGGCAATTGAATGTGCATCGAATGCGAAGGACAAACCAGTAATTCCGGGAATCCTCCAGCCGAAAGTCTGTCAACATGGAATATCGACCACATCAGTCTCCTCCTGCATTCCCTCACCAAAGTTGACAAACCATTATTTTCATAATTCAGCCCCAATACGAATGCCATTTTTGCTGCTACAGCCGTAAGTGCTTGTGATTTGAAGTATTCTCGATGTTCAAATCGATAAAAGACAATCACAAGAAGAACTTCCACCAATACGGCAGATGGTCTACTCAAACTTTGCCAAACGTAATTTTCCGCTTCATTCATCCATTTCTGAGCTGCAGCACGACTCTCGTCATCTTTTGAGACGAACGCTATTGACGAGGCGCACATAGCTTTAACTAAAGCTGGATTTACAGCACCATTATTCCAATTTCTTAGAAATGTAGCTCGATGAATGAAACCTTTTCCAGGCGTCGAAGAGACAAATTCAAAATATGCATCTATGTACCGCTTTGTAGTAGCCTTTGAGATTCCAAGTTCCCTGAGGAGAAATGTTAGCAAATTTTCTTCGGGATTTCGCCCCCGCTTCAGGATCTCTCACACTAGGCCATCTGTTCCATCTCCGACTTCCATCGGACTTCCTCCAGCAGAGACAGCATTTATCACAGCTCCAGGACTATCGCCATTTTGACTCGTTCCAGCTGGTGGATGTCTGGGTACACTCCTCCTCGCCCCTCTACTTGTAGATTCATATTCACATATGTATCCTCTCTGTTCACATCTCCTACAATTTGGCGTCGTACCACTGCATCTTGCCTTATGCGAATGACAAATCCGACAAGCCTTCCTCGCCCTCTTCCTCTCAGTCCCTGCCTGAGTAAAGCGATCTGGAGAATTGAATTCAAGGTCATTATTTGTCAATCCATGATCTGCGGCCATCCTTATCTACACGTGATCCTCTTAATCCCGTGATAGGGCATTCGGAAGGGACTCGATCGGGGATTGTCGGGAAGCGGAGTAACGGGTACGTGTTCGGGGCAATTGTTGCAGATGTCTTCAATTCGATGTCTTGGAGATGTAGGTCACGGATGTAAAGCAACACTTGGCAAGAACAAAGATTCTTCGATTAAGGTTAATAACAATGATCACGTGAACACGACGATAACCACCAACGAAGATTTTTCACGATATTTTGAAAGTTCGGATTTTGTTACTTCCGAGGTGTTTGACTAGCTCGACTCAGGAGCTTTGTAGTACCAATACAAATTTCGAACTCTGTTTAATATGAGATGGGATTATGTCGCCCTTCCCGCCCTCAAGTAATTTCAAGCGGACTTTGTTACGCTTCCTTGTCAATTTACATACACCACTCCTAGTGAGATAATTTGCCATCTAACAATTGAGAGATAACAATGGTGATGGCCTTTCTTCCGAAATCGTTGCGAGTACAAACATTTGTGCAAACCTTACCGGGAATTAGTGAAAAGCCATCTAACATCTCATTGACTTTGAAGGGTGCGATGGCACTATATAGATATCCAGATCCCCCGAGGAAGCACTTGAGTAGGTGGCTACGGAGTATTCCGTGTTGATTTCCTAAGTTCGGCTTTGATCAAGCCCCTTCATCAACCGAAGCGAAAATCCAACAACTTTAGTTTCGCTACCTGATTTCACGACCCGATGTCACAGTTCAACATTCCACTCTTCAATCCGGATTCGTATCGCGTTAATGATTGCCAAGCTCTTGGTGAGCTGAAATGGAATAGTTTACTTATTCATCCTGCTGGATTTCTTAGATATTTCCAAGAAGCTACTTCAAGACCAGGAATCTGTCCGTGCTCGAAGCATGAACCTTATCCTACATGACAATCGTAACGATTCAGCATACCGAGCCGAGGCAGTGGCAGTCGGTGGCTTACTGCCTATGCCAACCAGGAGCCCGGTACTCTTTGGATAGGAAGACCATCAATGTCATCTTTCGAGTCCTTTCTAATCTAGAGAGATCTCGAAAGAAATTCTAGACAGTGGAATGGACCGTTGTTGAGTTATTATCGATCTCACTTCCTGGAATCGAGAGCCAGGTCAATGAAGGAGCAATGACCATGCTAATTCAAATTACACGCATCTCATTAAAATCTTATCACATGGCACTCGAGAATCGATAGGGATTCAGAATCTGTCGTTGAGATGTCACATCACGCTACAATCTCGCGCGTCTCTGTCGTGCTCCACAACCTAACTACCAACGCTTAAATCTTCTTCCCGATAACGGGGTTCGATCTCTGCTGAATTCCTGTCGCCAAAAGATATCCGAACATTAACCTAGCTTAATTCTCCAGCAAATTCCATCAGTCTTGTGAATCTTCTCAAGTTCTCAGCTTACCATGCTCGGTCCAAGCACAACGTACGTGCAAGGATTTTCCCCCAAGCCTCGGTACAAACTCGCTATATTTCCCCAGTCCTCCACACTCCACACTCCACTTGACATCGCAGCAGCCAAGAGCAAAGATAAACTAGGCTCGGGGGTGACGGCCGGAATATACTAATCGAGTCAGGTGAATTAACAGTATCGTTCTTTTCTGACAGGAAGGCACTTTTATGGCAGGAAAGTTCCTGATTTCTGGAAGGAGCTAGGGCAAAAGAGCATGCAAGTAAACAAGCGTACAAGCAATTCCCTCGTAAAGTCTCTCAGAAGAAAACCTTGATATCTCACCAGTGCCTGGGGTAAAAATGGGGGTACATGTGTGCGGGGACTCCACACACTGCATGAAAAGGAGCATCTAGAATATATTCACAATGTAACACTGACCCCACAAAACAATGCATGCAAACAGTATAAAGAGGAAGGTGATCTGCGCTTCTTTTCGCGGTGACTTCTGTTGCCTTTACTATCCTATCTCTCTCTCTTCACCTGTCTCCTTTTTCTTACTCTGTCTTTACCCTTCTCAGCATCCAGAGGACAATCCTCGCTCACCTCTCACACCATGTCCAAAAACGAAGCAGAACACCTGGAAACGGGCGCCGGCGAGCACCCGCCCCTCCAGGAGATCCCTAGCGCAATGGATATCGATGCCAAAGAAGCCCATGGGCAAGTAACCCAAATCCAAACCGCATCTGTCGCGTTGGCCGCTGCCGTCGCCGCGCAGAAGCCTCGTCTACTGAGTCGAAACATGATACAATTGTATGCAATCATGGCGGTTGGCTATCTAGTTTCCACCATGAATGGTTTTGGTATGTATACTTTTCTGTTCTCATTTCAAATTGTCTATGAAATCAAAACAATGTATCAAATGCCCACTCATTCCTAACAAGCCCCTCAGATTCCTCTCTCATGGGTAGTATAAACGCCATGATTCCCTACCAAGAAACCTTCGGCCTCAGCGGCGCCGGTTCTTCTACAGGCGTCATCTTCATCATCTATAACATGGGACAAATCGCCGCCTTTCCCTTCTGTGGACTTCTCGCCGACGGCTACGGTCGTCGCATGTGTATATTCATCGGATGTCTCATCGTACTCGTCGGAACCGCCATTCAGGCCTCCGCACACGCACGAGGCCAATTCATCGGCGGTCGATTCGTCCTCGGTTTCGGCGCCGCGCTTGCATCTGCTGCGGGCCCAGCTTACACAGTCGAGTTGGCGCATCCTGCTTATCGAGGAACCATGGCGGGAATGTACAATAATTTCTGGTGGTTGGGTAATATCTTAGCTGGATGGACAACCTACGGATCGAACAAGAATCTGACAGATTCGTGGGCCTGGAGAGTGCCAACATTGGTACAAGCGGGTATTCCGGCGATTGTGATGGTGTTGATTTTATTTTTCCCAGAATCCCCACGTTGGTTGATTGCACATGATCGCAGGGAGGAGGCGCTCGCAGTCTTTGCTAAGTATCATGGAGATGGCGATGAACAGTCGCCGATTGTGCAACTACAATATCATGAGATCATCGAACAGTTGCAGATGACCAGAAACGACAATCCCTGGTGGGACTTCCGCGAATTGGTTAATACTCGGGGAGCAAGATATCGTTTGTATATGGTTGTCGGAATGTCGTTTATTGGCCAATGGTCTGGAAATAACGTCGTCTCTTACTTCATGGTATGATTCCTTCCTTGTATCATCTCTTCACTTTTCGCTAACATTAATGACAGCCCGAAATGATCAAGAATGCGGGTATCACAAGCACCAACAAACAACTCCTCATCAATGCCATCAATCCCATCTTCTCCATGATGGGAGCGGTCTATGGAGCTACTCTTCTCGATAAACTCGGTCGCCGAACCATGATGTTAGCTGGACTTACCGGAGGCTTGCTCTCCTACATCATGCTCACCGCATTCACAGCAGCATCAGAAGACCACCCCAACCTCTCCTACGGTGTCATCGTATCGATTTTCGTCTTCGGAGTCATCTTTGCATGGGGTTTCACACCACTTCAAACCCTCTACGCTGTAGAGTGTTTGGAAAATCGCACTCGTGCTAAGGGTTCCGGATTAAATTTCCTATTTTTGAATATTGCCATGGTGGTAAATACCTATGGTATCAGTGTTGGTATCGCTGCCATTGGATGGAAATTATACGTGGTGTATATTGGGTGGATTTGTGTCGAATTAGCTATTATCTATTTCTTCTTTGTCGAGACGGCCGGAAAGACGTTGGAGGAAATGGCTTCAATTTTTGATGCTCCTAATCCACGGAAGGAGAGTACGAAGAAGACCAGTGTGGCTCTTGATGAGTCTGGACGAGTAATGGGTATTAATGATAACGTGTAGGTGAGAGAATGGAAGTAGACGAATAATGAATGGGCATATATATATATAGTCTAACGAATTTTGAATGAACATTTGAAAATGCTACATTTATATTGTGATGAATTTTTTGTATAGTTTCCGAACACTATGAACATAAATATGAATATGAATATGGATATCAATACCAAAACTCCTCTTAAAATCACTATATTGAACCGAGCCTTGGTAATGTTGACTACAACCATTCCTTGCCAACCCCTGAAACATCTTCCCACCCTGAATCCTGAGTTTCTTTGTTTGTCTGAAGCAATACGAAGACCTTCCCCTCCAGTGCGCCATGAAACCCAAAATCCCGAATAAGCAAACAAGCAAGACACTATACAATCTTGAATATTCCCATTTTTTCAGTATCGTCATCGAAATTTTTTTCTTCCCCCTTCTTGTCACCACTTGAAACTTTATCAGATGCTCAAAAAGCCTCCTTGTTGTCTTTGACCAGCTTCCTGAAAACTTCGAAACTGCAATAACACCTCCTTAACATCATTCCACGGTGCCGCCGTATAGAACGAATCTTCCGAGCCTACATCTGAATCCGTGTCTGAATCCGTATAGTCCGATTCCATCAATTCTCCGAGTTCGTTGAATAAAGTCGGTACGTTTCCTTTCCCAGTGCTCGAGCCTCCCCCTAGATAGGATGAACCTTCGTCAAACGATTCCCCGTCCTCATTATCAGATGTTTCTCTCTCGTCCCATGAACTAAGCGTGTCGGCATGATCGGCCTCCGAAGAATTCCAGAAAGATTCTGATTCATCCAGCTCTTGCTCGTTAGATGCCCATTCCACTTCCAACCACTGCTCCGTCGACTTTTTCCAATGTTTAGGAAATTTATTCACCTCTTGAGTTTGGAATCCTTTCAAAATCAATTCCGGTGCCGTTTTCGAGCTTCGATTCCGCGAAAATGTGGCGATGATAGCCCGGTATAATGATGGGGGCATTGTCATCAAACGTATTTCATGTGATCCGGTATTGGCGTCAATTTGCATCCCAACAATATTACTCATAAGTCTCGATTCCAATAACGCTTTCGCCCAGTGTGAAGGTATATTTTCGTAATCACATGGAGCTACATATTCCGAGGGCATATGCATAGATTCGTCTTCGAACACAACGGATATCTTCATTTGTCGTACCAGGCTACAATTGTACACTCCGACTTGGTTTTGGAAATCGAAAAGCTCTCTCGGTCTGTGAAAGGAGAAATTGTTGCATGAGTATAAGACTTGTACTGCTTCTTCATACATTTGTTTGTTGACTAAAAGCAAGCCAGGCGTAGGAGGTTTGAATGGATAATGCGTTGAATCGGGAAATGTGTCGCAGGATAGCATTCTAATATGTCGAACTCCAACGAATGCTTCGCGAGTTGCTTGGAGAGCGTATTTGTATATTTGATCGCGGACTTCCCGGGGAAATGAGAGGAATGGTAATGATTTGTCGTAAATACCAGAGGATTCTTTCATTGATTCTAACTCTTCCCATACCTGGTTATGTTTCCTGGCTGTCGCAAAGAGTAATCGTTCGAGGTATTCATTTGCTGCTTGTAAAGATTCGACATCGTGACCAAAGGCTCTCTCATCCACTAAATCATTTAAATCAATCATATTTTGGGCAGATAAAATCCCTCAAAGTTGTGTATATATCTGGATGATGATGATGATGATGATGATGATGGTGATGTCGATATTGATATCGTTCTTTAGTATGTACGAGCTGCGATCAATGATGTAAGTACGATGATGATACGATTAATCCGAGCTTTGTACAATAATGTGAATACAGATATGAATATGAATTCTAGAGAATAATGTAAAACAAGTTCAGAATAACTTCTTTCCAAAAAATTGGAGTTCAACCAACTGATCATGCAAGATGCAATCGATGCAGTATCTGATCAATCTAATGAAGACCCCGACCATATAAAGTAAAGCCCCTGTACACAAGCGATGGATTTGTGTTGATACCCCTCATTTTATTGGGTAGCTTATGTAGGATATGCAGTATCTGGGTTGTGAATGCGAACAATTCTGACGTGGTGACAAGACTATTCCTCTCTTGAATTAATTATTCACATAGAATTTCATGAATGGGGAATTGAGAGAATCTGGAATGTCGGTCTTACCTTCATCGGGCTTTACATCCTTCACCGACCATTATGAGAGTAGCAATCTTCGTGACCGTCTTTTCTCCATAATAGAGTCTTGGAAGGAAGTTCTAACTCATTATGGCATTCGATAATGCAGTTTTTGCAGGAACATGTGCACAGGACTGCAGAGGAGGTGCAGTAGTGTGGATTGGTCCTACGATAGTACCATATTACTATGATCCATTAGTACACCATTCGGACCATCCCGTGGAGTTCGTTCACAGGGATTGAGATCGGATGGAAAAATTCCTCCATGGATTTCCAACGGCTATTATGTATGTAGTCCGTAGTAGGCATTCAAATCTTCCCAGCTTCCTCTACCAGACAGCTTCAACATCATTTTACCCCTCCACGATACCTCCACGATGACGACGATTGCGAAGATTTCGAGAATAACAAACGAATAATCATACTCGCCTCATGTATCAATCTCTTGGTTGGTCATGGTGCTTGGGACTGCGTCCTTCACACAGGTACCCAAGGTCACTCAAGTATGAATCCCACAGACGGTCTACGATACCAAGAAAATGACTCCTTTGCTATCCCTCCACCATGGCAAGAGTTGCCGTCCGTTACACACCGGTTTGATTAACTTGTCTCAACGTTCGAATCGATTATGCTACCCTGGCCGGACACTCAAAAGTTTAATTCACTACCAGCCTGCCACCGTACATCAGCGAACGGTAACGAGTTTGTGGTGGGCTGACAATAGAACCTAAACCGAATCATACAACGTCGCACAGTCAATCAACAGAATGGAATACATGGATCGATGAAGGGTCGTGCGAAAGAAGGTTCTGCAAATAGAATCTGTGGACAAGCTTTGGAGCATTAGCCATTTTTATCTTCTTGGCTGAGAATTCTGGATGGAAGACCACAGCGACCCTCTATTTTACATTATCTCTATGTAAATGTGAAAGGTAGGTGCGAAGATAGTAGGCCCATCATTTCAATTGTGGTTCTATGTTTCGTCAAGATATCGCGTTACCAATGAACCTAAAGTTTGGAAAATTCAAGAGTGCAGGGTAGAACAAGCGTACAGGGCCTCTTTCCTATATTAAGAAACAATTTGAGGAAACCCAGACTACACAGCTAGAGAGGGTAACCAGATCGCCTCTCAGGAGAAAAGATATCTTAGTTTCGATAAACACAACACCACTATTTGTAGGTTTCATTTCACTCTTCTTACATCTAGCGTCTTATTCTTATGTTGGGACACAATCGGAGTTGGAGTCGGTACATGACGCTGCCTGTTTGTAATTTCCTGCACGTTCCTGTCCGGCGTTCACGAGATTCTAGGTGGGCGAAGTATCAATATTCTTACCCTTTCTTGACATCCAAATCATCAGTTCTCTCTGCACCGGTTGTCTCATCTGCTTCACCATCACTTTCTTTTATCATTCGTTTTATTCTTCCCTTCAACAGTCGTACACTGCATCCCCGACATCCCCAAGACGGAGAGGGAACCAACCCACAACACAAACCAAAGACCACGCTGAAAAATCCTTATCCTGGGAACCGAGGTGACGAAGGAGGGAAGAGGGAGAAATATGCAAAATCTGACTATTTCTACCATCTATCTACCAGTCTATCTCCAAGTAATAAGATGGTATACAAGAGCCAGGGAGTGGAAGATACAAAGAGGAGAAGAATCCACGAAAACCAGACGATACATCACATCCCACAAAGTCAGAGATGAAAATATTCATTTAACTTTCATAAACAAAGAATCCAAATCCCAAACCAAGCATTGCGCCACAGAGCGCAGAGCTCGTTTTAAATAGAAAATGACTATTGGATGTACGCTTAATATTGAATATTTGATTGTTCTATTCTAGAGACCAGTTGGGATGTGTAATTTGTAAGATAATGAGGAAATCAAAGGCACTCCAGAAACCATTCAACACCAAGACCAGTTTTTGCCACCCCGTGAACACACATCGTTCGAATGATTGATATTCTATTCTCTGCCCGTAATAGTAATTCAACTTTATATATCTGAAAACTGCTCATCTGCTAATTTTCTCTACTGACATTGACGCCGGAAAGACGCGGTAAGACAGGTTGATAGCTTCGAAGATAAGGGTGTCCTGAAGACGAATTGAATGAAGAACAAAAGAAACCGGCCAGATTCATAGCAAAAGCTGTCTATGCAAGCCTGTGGGTTTAACGCCTTGCTTCCCAACGCTACCCCTTTCCTCTTATCCGATAATACCGATACATAACGCCGATAATATGCCCAACCCCAGCCGGTGCAACGAGTTTAATGGTTTTTTTTAAATGGTATGTTCACATGCAGGAATAAACATAATAGATTTCCTCCAACGGATTTCAAAACCACTCGACACACAAAAATGCGCTTCCACCAATGACACCCGCAACAATCAACATAGTAAATATCGTAGCTCCAACTTTGTCGGCGGTGGTAACGGGTGTAATTTCGGTTCCATCAGTACTCACTCTCGAATCTGTTCCTGCATCCGCATCACCTTCACTGGTACCGGTACCTGCTACCTCACTAACCCAATCTCTGGTTTGGGGTAATAATAGACCTTGGACGGCTTCCAATGCTGACATTTGTTCTCCTACGCCAGTTATTCCATCGTGTTCTCCCGTGGTCCATTTCAAGCCACACGAATTGCCTCGTTTTCCAGCCGTACAGGTTTTTACTGCTGCTGTTGCGGTTGTAGATAGCAAAGGCATGATAGTATCGTAAGTAAAAGGCGCAAGCTTAGCGGTTGCAGCTAACCACCGTCCAAAATAACATTTAAATGATTGTTGATCGTTATTGCAAGTACCACTTTCGCACGCTTCGACCATGATTCCATTTTGGAAGAAGTCTGTTGATGAGTTGAGGAGGCCGGTGACACGCTCTTTCCAGATAGCGCTGCCATTTGTCTAAAAACGTCAGTATCCAAGTCACGAAATATATTGGAATCCTTATGAAGCTTACATGATTGTACATGGCAGCACTTCCAAGCAGGTAAATACCAGTATTGTAGGTCCAACGATTGTGATCTTTATCTGTGCAGTTGTCGGAATTTTGAGTTCCATCATATACATCGTACTCTGCAGAGATAAGTCCTACTCCGTACACCCAATCGAAGATCTTATCCGCCCAATCCGCATAAGTGCTATCTCCGGTATATAAAGCGAGTCGCGCTGCCAAATTAAATACGCATCCGTTTGAAATGCTGTTTTTGTAGTTGTAACCATTGTTGAAAGTGAAAATTTGCCATCGAAATCCACCGTTACATGTCGAATTATCCCATCGTGCGATTTGAGTGTTGAAGACTCCTTGTGCAAGTGCTAGCCATCCTGGATTTGGATCTGGAGGATCTTGAAATTTGGTTTCCGCCGCTGTCATCGCTGCCATTCCCCAGAATCCTTGATCATCGTTTCCTTCTGTTTTTGTCTGATTTAGAGGCATAAAGTCATCATCGTCTCCAGCTTGATGTAATAGTGCTTGTTGAACACTATCGTTGTAGGTTGTATCGTTCGTGTAGTACCAATAATTAATCATGGTTCCGAACCTTTGAGAAGTCAGTCACTGCCATCGAGAAAATAGGGGAAACCTTACATAGCGCCCGCCTCCCACCAATAATATGGCGATGGTAAATTTCCCGGCACATCTCCTGTATTGTTTCCGGTGTAATATGACATGAGATCATATGCTATGTTACTTGCTGCTGTTTTGATCGAGTCTGGAGATGTGATATCAAGTGTAATGGCGCCCTCCACGCCATGACCAGCAAGAACGTAGAGGCTTGCCGCATAGATGAAAGAAGAATCGAGCTTCATGATGTAAAAATGGCAGAAGAATAGAACATGTACATGAAAATGAAAGGATGAATAGGGAATGGTTAAGTTTGACGTTTGAAATCTAGAATAAAAGAGTGACTGATTTCTGTGACAGCGGCTGAGCAGAGGAGCAAAAGAGTGAATGTATTCAGATACAAGGCTTGAGCGTGTAGAAGAAGACCTACGAGATCAGATGAAGATGAAAATTGGTATGGGATGTTTTCCGGTCGTTCACTATGTTATCTTTGGGTATAGTCAAATGCCAAGCTCAAAGACAGCATACTGAGCATAGCCTCAACTGAGTTGATTTGCACTAGCATCTTGTCCCTATCCAAACTCACCTTGGAAACGTTTTCATTTCTGACTATGCCGCTGCCAAGTCGTCAGGGGATGCCGAGATCTTGGGAGGAAAGGTGGTTTACGAATTTGGTGGATCGCCAAGTGCACGGAATTATGCTGTGAGACATTACCGAAACTCAGACTGATGCTGATGGGATTGGATGATGGTTGTGTGTGTGTATATATATATATATAGCGACTCAGGTGTGGTAATACGTGTGTATCATGTGTGAGTTGATGACGGTAAGATTCTGAGAATGACTTCCCATACGCATAAGGTCGATATAACCATAAAATCCAGAACAGGAACCAAAGATGTTCCGACTGTGGAGTTTTATTTTGGAGATGAAGGGGTTCGAGGGGTTTGAACTTTGATAGGAGAAAGTGGAGCAACTTGGAGAACGGGAGATTGGGACATTTGGAGAAGATGGATGAATAATATCTTTCCAAGCTTTGATAAATCTTGTAACGATCCAATGACTGCGGTTCAAAATAATGTATCACGTGTTATTTAATTTCGCATTCCGTCCAACCCGAGATCCTCAAGGGATGTCAATTTCTAGACTCAATTTTGGAAACTTTTCGTTCGGAAATTGATCAATGCTCGTTTTCATGTCCCGTATTGGGCGTATCTTATCGTATTTCTTTTGTCGGCATAATATTGCTGAGATGTACGATCAAAGAAGCACGGCATACGCTGCTAAGCCGCCATACCAACACAGTTGAGCGTAAAGTTGTCTGAAGGTCTGTCTTCCTGTGCCCTTTGACCCAATACTTCGGAGGGATTGGAAACAACGGTCTCTTGTGTTGTGACCGTCAACGAACACATTAATCATGTTTTCGTACGTTTAGCCTCCCCTCACTCCGCGTCATCATCTTTAGTCTCGCTTTTCTTGGCAGAACTTTCTGTACTGCAACTAAAAGTGTTTGATGCTAGTACACGCATGAACGTATTCTTCCAGGGCTGAAGCTTGACTGCATCTCCTTGCATATCCTTGCATAAATTTTGGTGTTATATCCCAAGGTTCTACTCTTGCGGGGTCTCCGTCTGCCTGAATCCAACGATGGCAAGCAAATGACCATTATACTTACTTTTGGCCAGTGCCATCTATGTAGGTGTTTCTTTAATGGTAGCGCGCGGTTATTCGTGAGATACACGCCTTTAAACACATTCTCGAGGCCGTCTTCTTGACTTCTTGGCCACAAAAACGTTCGCAGTTCCGAGACAATGGTTTCACTGGCCACAAAATATCTATAAACTTGGACAGCCCGAATATCTGTCTTCGCGGCCACCCCCAGAACTCAAAATAATCTAAATTCCCGACCTGGACTGAATGAAGATGCTAATCTGTGCTTTGTCATATAACACAACGTTGGCATCGTTACAAATGATCTCCTGTAGCTAGCCGTACGATTCTTTTTCGCTCGTATCACCGCGATTACCAGATCATTATCACAAAAGAGTTCGGGTTTCTGCTTTAATATATCAACATGTCTCCACCAATTAGTATTCCTCCGAGTCGATCCACCCAGGTAGACAAACAACATCCTCGCCCAAGGCTGGAAAATGACTCTCGACGTGACAGCCACGATTCCGATGAAGGGAAACCTGCGCCTCTGCCATTACTCTATCCTAAACCTCCACTTCCCCCAGTATTCCCACTCGAAGGCCAAGATAAGGACAGGGTCACCGAGTGCATTCTCAAGGAACGGGCTCTTGAAATGCGGGAGAAGGAAGATATCCAAGAGATTGAAGAAAGTAATGGATGGAGGTTCACTAGTGACACGGCGGGAAAGATGTATTTAAAAATTCAGGATAAGGATACAAGCACCTTCATCAAATGCAACAACTTTGCAAGAGATTGTAAGAAAGCTATCCGATCAAACCCACGAGTTGATTCACGACTGGATTCAAAGAGGAAAGGGGCTCTGGCTCCTGGTCTTAGTAACTTGCTGACTCCGGAAAGGAAAGCACAGCATCTGGAGAGATTAGATACATTATTGACGTCAAAGAACAGGTATGCTCAGTACTGGACAATCGATGATCTTCCCAGTGAGTGGCTCAAGATTGACAATGAGGTTTTGTGTTCAAAAGAAGACCAAGTAGTACTAATTAAAAACGTCGAGAAGAAGAAGAGAGCCCTTGAGAAGTCGAAGCCTGGGGGCAAGGTGGAAGATGGAAAACATAAAGAAAGACACAGACTTTCAATAAACGCAGTGAAGAGAACAAGTGACGATAAGCAAAGAGAAGGTCGTCAAGAGCCAATATGTAAATTCGAAGTTGAAGGGGTGATCGTTACCGAGATGCGAAGAAGCAATAGAGAAAGACTTTATGGGAGAGCTCATGAGGGACGCCGAGTGCTGGAAGATGAACTCGAAAAGGAAAGAATGACTTCTAAAAATAGACCAAGAATCCATGACCCAAAGGTCGATGGGAAAACCAAAAATATACAGCAAGCACCGATAAATGGGATCGGAAGAGAACGGATTGTTATTGAAAACTCAAGAGGTGATACCAGAACGGAAATCGACGAAAGATCCAAAGAAGGGCGTCGAGTGTCGGGAGATGAAGTCGCGAAGACAAAGACGGCCGTTGCTGAGAATTCTAGACATAACGGCAGAAAAGAAGTTGATGGGAAATCCAAATTAGGACGTCAAGTGCTAGGGGATGAAATCGGAAAGAAAAAGATGGTTCCCGGCGACAGGTCGAGAATTGGTAACCCAGAAGTCGATGGGAGACTCAAGAACAAACACCGAGCGCCAATAAACGGGACTGAAAAGGAACAAATTCTTGTCGAGAAACCTGGAGCTGGCAGCAAGGTAGAAGATGACGGCAATTTCAAGGAAGATAATGTACTACCTAACAAGCGGCATGGCTCAGCCGTGATAAATGAAGTCGGAGATAAAAAGACAGTGGCTATAGAAAGATCAAGAAATGGGACAGCAGAAACCAATAAGGGATTAAAGGACGACAGTGTACTACCCAAGAAGAGACATGGCTCAGCTACAATGGATGAGGCCGAGAATAAACGGGCAATGGCTGTGGATAAGTCAAGAAATGGTAAAGTAGAAACTGATGGCAGATCCAAAGATACCAGCCTACCACCTAAGAAGAGACATGGAAGTCAGTAGCCAGCACATACAATAGCACTTTATTCATAGGAGAGATAGTTTACGCCGAAATGTTCCAATAAAAAGCAACTAAATACTGTCATAAACCTTGTCTATTTAAAGCAGACATTCATGTCTTATGTCGCAGGATGATACCTTGACAAACTCGTTGCCATGTTGTATAGTCCGTTGTGTATTCACATTGACTAAAAATGCTGGACTCAGTGAACCACCCAAAACCTCGAATTTTGTCGAGAACTTCGCAATGAATCCATCTCTCCAATGATCATCAAAAGCTCTTTTGATCCAGTCGCCAAAATTTCGAAACTAACTGTCCTCTTAAGTAGCTACCATCCACTTCGAACTGGCTGAACATTGGAAATCACGTTCCCCTACTACTCGATTGTATCCACTGATACGCAGTAACCGCAGAATCCACAGGAAGACATTTGCCCAAAAATGTATCTTTTCTATGGATTTTATACATGGAGAGACAGGTCGTTGCAGCGGAATGCGGAGTTTCGCGAACGGGTAACACTTCAATAATAACAACCTTGAAATGCAAAGCTCATTTGGTTTTAAGACGAGCGTACAAGCTGCGCGAACAACTCCCGTGCTAGCATCTGTTTGAAACTTTCGAGTCTACTTGTTAGAGCACACCATTATTACCTGCACTTTGTTTACCTTGAAATTCAGATGTTGATTCAAACTCAGCAGCTCCGTGAGAGACGTCAATGACTAAGCGTCTCATTGATGCCGATGTCCGGGACCATCGTCATCCAAACCCGTTATGGTTCACATCATAAGTCAATCCACTAATCTTCAGTCCTTCCGATCAATAATCAATGTTGGTAATCTTGGTGTCGCATGTGAACTGACGATGAAACTGCTCTTTCACTCCGAGTGTTCCATGATGCTCTCCTATCCCAGACCTCACTGTTGATCATAAAGTGTGGTCGTCCTGTTTTTTGTTTTTGTTTTTTTACCAATTATAACGCATTTAGGCTCCTGCATCTGTATATTGCTGCGTACGGGCAATTCGCCATTCTTTTTTGGGGGAGTTTAAGTGAATACTTCTTGTTTTCTGTGTACCGACAGTTTGGTAGCATATTACAATCTTCCAACAAGATCACTGGATTTGATCGCAAGAGTATCAAATCCTTTGCCTGGCTTGTTCGGATTCATATCGACTGCTGTGAAGAAACCTAGTTTTCGAGTGATGGTCCGATTCCCACCAACCACTGAGGATATTGCGAAACACTACCATCGACAATTCTTAGATCTACTTTCCGCTTTAGAGACGATCATCAGTCTTGATGCCCTTCTTGCTGCAATCTCTGGCCATGTCCTCTCTTCTGAGGCCAGATTGGAACATGCTTATGATTAGGTTAACGCAGTGCAACAAGAAACAAGCGATTTAGGGTTGGATAAGATTCAATTTTGATGTGGGTGATCTAATAATGAAAGTTCTCGAGGACACTATTGATAGATATGAGTTATGTTACCTGCTTCGAGTTGAATTCTTAGGGGACTCCGTTGAAGCAAATGCCGCACAAACCCTTACGCAAACTTACAAGTTATTGGTTGTGTGATAAATATTGTCTATTCACCCCGAGCCAGAACACTTGGAACCAACCGAATCTTACCTGCAGATGACATCTTAACTTTCCTCGGCCTCGATAAATTTTCTAACATTGTTCAATAAAGCTCCATACCTCTTGTTCCCAATGGCCAACTCTTAAATCTCACAATCATATTCACCCATGATAATTCCACAACAAAAAGGCTTTGAATAGCGGTTTTCAACATGCTTACGCACCTAAAGACCTTTCGAAAATGCCCAGTCGCGTAGAGCAAACATCTCAGACACTTGTGCCAGCAAAAAACTACTTGGAAGACCTCATTCAGACTTACTCCAGGTGTTTTCCAGTCAGAAAAGCAAAAACAATCATCAAGTCTCATGGCGACGGTCTTGGAGTAATCCTCACTGGATCCACTAGCTACTTGGGATACTATCTTCTCAAAGCTTTAATCGCCGATTCCAAAGTAGCTAGAATAGTACGCTTGAATCGCTCGGAAGCCGACAAAGACTTTAGTGCGGGATTTGGTGATTTGGACGGAGCTCAAAAAGTTCAATTTGTCAAAGCATCTTTTGGTGAACCAAGATTTGGTTTGGAGCCTGCCATTCATCGAAGTTGCCCTGAAATCATTAATGCGATCCTACACAATACTTGGTCAGTCGACTTCAATCTACGCATCGAGTCTTTTGAAAAAGTTCACATTGCCGGCGTTCGCAATTTCATCGACAGGTCTTTATTGTCTCCACGCAAAGTGACAATTCAATTCGTAAGCTTGCTCGGCTCATTGGCGAATTGGCCACCCTTCCGACCCAAGAAATCAGTATCCGAACAAATAATCACTAGTAGTAACTTGCCAATGCTAGGCTATGGGTAATCCAAGTTCGTAGCAGAGAACGTTCTGAATAATGCCGCAGAAAAACACGGTATCTCAGTTGATGTGTTAAGATGTGGACAAACTGGTGGTCCGGCTGGTGATGGGAAGAAGCAGTGGACTGCTCGGGATTGGTTCCCAATTCTACTGCAAACTTCCAAAGCACTTGGATTGGTACCAAGTGATCTTGGGGCTCAGAATTTTCTTCAATGAATTCCGGCTGATAGTGTATCACAAATTATTGTTGAGCTGATGCATGGAAGTGATACGAGAGAAGGCCTGACAACTTTCAATCCTATCAAACCTAGTTTTGTCAAGTGGAGTGACCTTGTCCTTGGGGTCAAGCAAATACTCGGTGTTACCAAAGAAGTCTCTTTGCAGAATTGGCTCAAAGAACGTGAGAAACATGACGCTACTTCGAGGGATGAAGTCAAGAAATTCCCAGCACTTAAGCTTTTGGGCTTTTTTGAATGGGTAGCTAATGAGAAACGGCTGATTATGATCACTAGAATTGCGCAGGTTGCAAGTCCTTCATAGAAAGGTTTGGGCCAATAGGTGACGAAATGATTGGGAAATGGGTGAAGGATTGGGGTTTCTGAGTTTGTAAATTTCCGGGGACCTAGATTTGATTGCCCGATTTAGTTGCGCCTTTTTACACTGGTCGTTCGCTGCTTGGAATCATGTTCAAAACTTTAAGATCTTTCGCAGTGGTAGTAATTAAATGAAAGTTGATTCGCGTGTCTGTTCCTCGTTGCCCAAAATGGACCTTGTAAGTCTTCATTTCGATACCTTGATCTATGATCACAATACCCTTTCTTTAATCTATGCCATTGCCATTATCCCTTTTTCTTCCGCGATCTATCACCCTCTTGCACTACGAGTCCTCAACTATCTACTCAGTCCCATTTATCATTATCTCGTAGATCAAGTTGTCCACCCATCCTCTCTTCTCCATAATTTTCAAAGCCCCCTCCAGCTCGTCATCATTTCTAATCCACGATGGTGGAAGTCGATCATGAACATCAGCCCACTGCACAAACAGATCGCTCAGATCTATGGAAAATGAAACCCCATTCTTAGGATTTCTAGCCCGTGTCGCAATGCCATGTTCATCATTATCGATCATGGAAACTGCTGTAGTAGTAAAATCAACGAGCGTTGCATCCTTGGGGAGTACGAATATCGCTGTGGAGCTGTTCTGCTGGGAATAAAACGGGGTAGGGTTTCGAGCCAGAGGGGCAGATCTTTCGACAAGACGGAAATGAACGAGTACGGTAGTTTTGGGAATAGTATTGGAATTCTTGGGGTCGTCCATTTTGTCGTGGTGGGGATGATCGAGTGAATGATAGTTGTGAGCTTTCAGGGTAATGGCTACTAACCTTGTGATTTCTTGGCCTGTTTCTATCATTGATGAGTTGCTAACTCGTAGTATGACGAGATAAATATATAGCCTGCCAATGTCTAAATTTATGTTTCAATAACGGGATGGCCATTTAATAGAAGTGAAATCTGGCACTTTGTACTGGTCTAGGACCTCCTTGACTGAAATGGTCTGAAGGCTTCTTGAGAAAGACCTTTAATTGAAAATTATCTGATGTCTTTCATATAAAAAAGGGAGGCATACAAAGGTAAGGTTTCTGATCGATTACCTCAATAAGTAGCAAGTAGATTTTCATTTAACATCAAACTCATCGAACCTCCTTCCTCTCACTTACAACTTTTTTCTAGCACATTCGACATTGATCTCCGCTGTTCTACATGGCTTTCCCTTTGTAAGCTCAGCATTATAAGTAGGCATGAAAGTTATCTTCGTCGGTATCAATGCTGGTCTTTTATGCATGAGTGAATTTGTGACTTTCTTTATGGATTGATATTTATTTGAAACAAAAGTTGCGTACATACTCCTGAAGCTCCGCCTACCATGCAAGATATCATACCAATTCCATCGTCCCCATCTTTCCCAAAGTTCGTAGAGCTTCGTCAAGCCCCGTCACTCCTTCACCACGATAAAATCCCTCAAAATGCTCCGGTCGTTCGTAAAACAACCATTTACGACTCTAACGCCATCCAAATGCATTTCCAAACGGAACTTCACTATCAAAAGCCCACCATCTTCTCAAAATCCTATTAGCACCACTATCTCCTCACGCACCTTCAATTCCAAGGAATGTCGTCGAGCAATGTTCTTCCCTGCTCATACTTCCAATCACGCATTCACCAGAACCTTCAAAGTCTACTCCTTGTATTCACAACTTCCAGTTGCTACGACCAAGGCCCCGGCTTATCTCTCAATTCCCAAAGTAAACGGTATTTCGACTCCTACATCCTACTACGCAGCCCTTCCTCTATCTCTCAATTTCTCATATCGAGATTTGGAGTGCGAGGTTAGGGATGTGTTAAGAGAGCCTTGTAGGCTTGCAATACAGAGACGGGATAGTAGGGGGAAGGATGGGGATATGGCAGGGAAGAAGAAGGAGGAAATGGGAAGATTGAAGCTTGATATCACGATTATTTAGCAGGGAGTGGGGATTGTGTCTGATGGCAATGAAGAAAAGGCGGAAATGAGTATTAATGGGATGGATAAGGAAAGATTGGGTGGTGTGTTGAGGTTGATGGCAATGAGAGGGTGGAAGGACGTTTTTTTTGTGAGGGTTGGGGGCGAGGAGGGAAAGACAGAAGAGCAGGAGGGGAAAGGAATATATGAAAAGGATGCGCATGGAAAAAGTGAAAGCATGAGTGTTCTTCGTGGGCCCCTTTAATATCTCGGGTTGCGGTATCAGGGGTAGAGGAAATATTATCGTGTACAAATTTCAGGTTAAATCGAAATCTGTCTGTTCTTCAAATAGTACTCCCATAGATACACCAATGACGGTAACGCAAGGAATGTTTGAGATAGAATGACGTGGAAGCATGATAATCGGATTTCAGAAGTTATCGATTGGATTGCGAAATGGATACTTTGATTAAATACTACAAATGCCTCTTCACCAGAACGCCGACATCTTTCACCTTCTGTCTTCATACAACAATCTTTTACGCATCAAGTGCGATTCTAATATCCCCAAGAAAAGCTCATCAGAGAAAGGCCTTGGCACTTTTCCATCCACCTAAGAATGACCATGTCTAACCAAGGTTCCCACAAACCGATCGTTCATAAACTCCTGCTCATATCCCACAGGGAATACTCTCTCAACCCAGTCATACCACTCTCCACATCTACTATCCATCGCATTGAAGCTTTTCACGAAATCCCAATACTCAGGATACCAGCCGGCATTCTCCCAATCCAATACCGCTACGACCCGTCCCTCCTTCACAAGAATATTCCTTGGCGCCAATTCTCCATGTGCAAAGTTAATGGCATGATTAGTAAGAAGTGAATGTTCTGCCATTTTCAGAAAACATTTAGGCACTTGAGCATAGGCATGTGAAATGAGGAATTCATTGAATTCAGCTTCAGACTTAAAGGGGCCACCTTCGAGGTCATAGCGTCGAGAATCAATAGCTGGGGTACGATTCATACCGCCGATGTATCGACCTGTCAAGCCGCGGAGTTGGAATAGCATATCATTAATCTGACTTGCGATGCTTTTCTTTTGATCTTCCGGGAGAGTGTTCCAGACTTTGTCCAGGCGATCGCCTTCGATGTATTCCATGGTGATGCTAGTGAGTTTTCCATCGGTAGTTGCTTCGATGACGCGAGGAACGGGAATGCTGGTGTGTGTTGCGATGTAGCGCATAGCGTCTGCTTCAGAGAGTTGAAGATTACGTCCTGATTTGAGAATCTTGTTTCCGTAGCGAGCGACTTTTCGGCCGACGATCTCGTGAAGAATGATACCTATTTAGGTTAGCCATCGTGCTCTACACAAGTAAGATATTAGGAAGTGGAAATGCCATACCTTCACCAAGCTTTGCATCCAAGCACTTCTTTGGCTCAGCATCTTCATCCTCATCTTCATCCTCACTAATTCGATCCAAAGTATTGCGATCGTCCTCTGACTCTGTATATTCGTCGCTATCATACTCAGAATCGTATTCCTCTTCTACTTCGCTCCCTTCGCTACCTTCTCGCCAATCAGGATCTTCCTCACTATGATCAGAATCGTCTGAAAGACTAAGATCTTTGACCTCCAGATTGTTTACAAGTCTATCTAAGAACGAGGAGAGCTTTTTTTGAAAGCCTTCTTTGCTATTAGCCCATTCAGGTGTTCTGAGGGAAGTCGCATCCTTTCCAGGTTGAGAACTGGTGATGGATTTGATAACCTTCAATGTACTTGGATCGATACAATTTGCGTTTTTATGGCCAGCTTCAACTAGGTGCTGGAGTTGAAAAGCGGTTTGAATGGTTGCGGATGAGGGGTTTTCGGTAAAGGAAGGCATGTTATCGGTTAATTTGAATGGATATATAAAAATGAAAAGTTCAATGAAAGTCTTTAAAAGAATGAATGGCTAAATAAAGCTGCTAATATGAGTGTATTTGTGAGAAAATGCCGCAATGATGGGTGTAAATGGGGTATGATATATATTGATTCCAGACTCAAATGTTGGTGTTTGTTGGGTGATTGTGATTCACCCCTGTCCGAATACCCAACATCGAAACGCCTGCAGTAATAATTATGAGGCTCAATTCCGGCCTTTTAGGTTGGCGCTTCCCTGAGAAATCCTCACGTGTTTCAATTTTTATCCATCGGGGGTCACAACTGTGCCAACTAACACTAATTCACGCTATGTCATGGCCTAATTGATGTCAAGATTTGCTCCTCAGCGCACCAAGAATCGGTGAATGACTTGAATGAAGTGAACGAGCGGCGACTCATTACGCCACTCTTGATGCAATTTCATTGTTGGATCTGACCGTGGCTGAGGCGCCAACTTGACCCACGACACGTGACTTGAGTGAAATCGAGGGAAGGAGCGTTTGATACCTTGTCATTTTGAAGTTTTGATTATGGCACCGTTGTTATATGGAAATGTAATAAATGTTTCAAGTGTAAAACATTGATAAATATCATCTTCAAGAGAATTTGTATCACGATGTTCACCGCTCGAAGACATTCCAAGGTATAATTGTTGAATGGAAATTAACCACATTGCGGTGCCATTTCGTTGTGAAAAAGTGCTTCGAAGTCACTAGCTGAGAAATCGGTATCAAAATTGATATCTTCGATAGTATCGAAGTCGACATTCTCCCAATCTACTCTTGAACATGGGTCATTGATATTAAGGCCAGGGAAAGGAGCCATTGGTTCTGGCATTCGGAACTCCGAATGACGTTGCTTGGATGAATTTATAGAGCTTGATGCATCGCGGGCCGCATCTCTGTGATTCTGTACTTCGGCTAAAGCTTCTTCAGTAGATGATGCCCCCCTTCGTAGAATATCTCGAAGTTGTTCAAGACCTCTCCTCGCTATGGTACTGGTTTCTTGACAACTCTCAAGCATTTTAAACGCATCCATTATCTCAGCTTTCCTTTCCTCTGACCGTGGATCATCTTTGTTCAAGCAGAAGTCCATTACTAATATGACAGTAGCCACAAAAATGTGATGCGTTACTGTCCACATCCTGAATGGCTGGAAATTTTGCTTCTTGCCCCAGTCAGTAAGCTCTGTTCCCAGTTCAATTACTGAGCGAGCAGATCGAAGGCAAACCATTCGACTGTAAGAGAATCGTGGGTCATGGGCACCTCGCGCAAGGTAAGGCCGATGAATTCGTGTGAATCTGGTCTGAACCCCAAAATGTCCAGCAGTCCTTTGTACTGCCAAGAAAGGGTGTTTTGCATCTAAATTTTTGTGTTGGGCTCGACTTTTAGCATCCATGCGAAAAGCCGGAGGAATTTCAGAAACCATGCTAATCAGCTTCCTATCAAAATTCAATACCGTTTCGTAGGGCAGCTCATGTATCTCACAGCTAAGGTCTTGCATCGCGTCGACAATTTCCCGACAAATTATCGAGAGCTGATACCTGAATGTAGAGTATGTCATGTCAGTTTCCATATATGTAGGTTGCTTATAGTCTCCTGGAGGACCAATGTCAACATCATTGACATTGCTTGGATAATCGCATTTCATCTGTTGTGGGTGAATCATATATGTGCCGCTTTGCGGACCACTCATGAAAGACATGATCCTATACTGGTTAGACACGGCATGCAAGATGGTATAAGTGAACTTGCCAATCAGTAGAAACAATATGCCACCAGATCCTGCGTTTAGTTTCGAGTTCAACATAATTCAATTCTTTCCCAAGTCTCCGCTTCTTGCTTTGGGTAGAATCAAGTTGATCGAATCCAAGTGAACGTGCTGAATGCATTGCCGTAGTAAACAGGACTCGGAAAGTAGCAATGCCTCCAATATTAGGCAAAAGATGTTGAGCTATCAACAGTACTGCTTGTATTGACTCCACTGTGGGCTTTCCGATAAAATTAGCAGCGCACAGTGCTTTTTGAGCCAACAAAGTCCAACGACGAGTTTCTGATAGAGGCTCAGCGCCTTGAAAATATACACTCAATGCAAAGACTGCAGAGAGAAGAGCAACATGATCGCTTTGAGGCTGTAAGTTCTGGTCAAGATCATCATATAATCCGTTCAGATGAGACTCGAGAGTTGGTATATGAATTATGTGGTAGATCCAAACGATATTATCGATGAAATAGTCAAAAAGAACTCTCGCATGCTTCCTAGACGGAAGCGAACGTAAACTTTGTGCGTCGACACCTGTTCGTACAGTAGTGGCCGACGTACCTAAAAAGGAAGCAGCGAAAGTTTGTGTGATTTCATCATCGTAACAGAGAAGATTCTATCCGATTAGCGTTTCGCAGGTTAGTTTTGGGAAAGCGAAAATACATTGTTTGTTGACTCATGGAGGCCCCGGTGCTCGAAAGCATCAGATTCTAACCACGAGACTGTATTTGTGATTTGAGCATCTTTTGCAGGCGTTTCTTGTGTTGAGACTATTAAACCTTTGTCAGCCCAGATTTAATAAAAGAGTATTTGCAAGAGAAAAACAATACCAGATGCGGTATCTTTCGAACTTCCCGATACATTGATATTTTTTTCTAGAAGTTCCTCTAACCTTTTCAGGCGGGCGTTCAACTCCTCAATCCCTTGACTATCGTAGTAATAATCAGATAAGACTACTAGAATGCATTGAAATAGCAGCACTAACCTTGATGAACCTGCCGAGAAAGAATGGATCGGCTGGGAACTTGGGACGTCTGGTTGACCTGCAGCTGATACGCAGGGGAGTCTGCGAGCTCTGCAATTACTGCATGGAAAGTTTCGATCACACTGTTGAGGTCAGAGTGCGATTCTTTATTCTTCTTGGAGTCGCAATCTTGCCTTGAGTTTTTTGGTCCGACAAAACTGGCATGAGACAGGGTCCTGTCGACGAGCTATTTTCTCCTTACGCCCGTCCTGAGATGGATGGATTGGTGAGGATCGCTTCATGCCGATTCAATGCCAGCAAACTAAAACTTCCACGAATATGAAATCCGAGGGTTTATTGGATTAATTGACGGTAGTATTGCGAGTGTGAGAAAGTGGAAGACGTTGTCGCACATGATGATGATACCAAAATACTAGTTCGGGGTTGTCCATGGTGAGGACCTCAATTTCCGCGGAATCTCGGGCTGTCCGGTCCACTTTTCTTATCGGCTTCAAATGTGAACGATCAAGATGTGAATCTCACCCACCGTACCAATCGTACATCTAAGGAGGAAGATTCTCAAGACGATTCAATCATAGTCTACTCTAATAATCTACACTACATACTTTGTATGGCTTTGCTTCAATTCCACAAGCCATGGAACCTCCGATATATCTTGATGAGATATGACCTTTCCGAGCTCCATTTCTCGTGGATTATTCCAACTATAAGTAAGTTTGCTCTCGAGGTGAGTAGATAGCATCAATTTCATACCACCACAACATCATTGTACAAGACATACAATGCCTCAGCCGATGGGTTCAAGTAGTGTTGCAACGAGGTACAACGCCGAGTCGCCCAAGTCACCAATATTCTCAGACTCAAAAGTAACATGCAGCGAACCGCCGAGTGAGCTTTTAGTGGGAGGTACTCATGATTCAGAATAGAAGTAGATGCTATGCTGCCTTTCCATGTTTGATATATCTCTTATTGACCACACGCCAATACTCAATCATGTATTGCGGTCATCGGTGCATTCTCGATAATGTTCTGTTCAGTAGGTTTCATAACGCTTTTGGAGTTTTTTAAGAGTACTATGAGAGAAATATGCTCGCCGATAAATCTGCATCGGATATTCCATGGTTTGGATCTTTTAATGTTTTTTTGCATGTTTGGTGGAACATTTATCGCTGGATATCTAAATGACAAATATGACCCAAAGGTTCGCAAGTTAAATCCACCATGATCGAAACCTCGACCGAGAAAAATGCAGCTATTGGTAGATGGAGGCAGTGCTGTGATGCTTCTTGCTCTATTCATGGCTTCTCTCTGCAAGGAGTACTACCAATTCTTTCTTGCTCAAGGCTTTTTACTCGGTATCGGCATTGCATCTATTCTTCTTCCCGCCTTTACCATAGCGGCTCAATACTTCACCAAATATCGAGGCCTGGCACTTGGAATTGTAGTATCAGGATCTCGTCCTTATTTTACTCTCAGTTGGACTTTTCTTTGTTTACTTTGGCCTCTTCGCGTCTTTCTTCTACATCGAGCCTTGGGCGTTGTCTCTTGGGTTGGATGGTAATTTTGCGTTCTATACAATTAGCATTATCAATGCAGTAAGTCTATTTGGTCGTATCATTCCGGGTCTATTGGCGGACCGATTTGGATGTTACAACATTGCCGCTATTGCTGCGATTTCCTCCGGCTTAGTCTGAACATGCATGATAAAAGCTACTTCTGTAGCTAGAATCACCATCTTTTCTCTGGCTTATGGATTTAGTTCATGGGCAATTATCAGTCTTCAAGGAGTTTGTGCGGCAAGACTGGTACCGCAGACGCAATTTGGAATTGCCATGGGTTCCGTCATGTCGTTTCTCTCAATCGTGTAAGTTTCCGCCCACTATCCCGCAGATCCAAACTTAGCTAACTCTAGCAGCGGGCTTGTGGGCTCACCTATAAATGGAAAGATTCTCGATGTTTGAGGTTACCTTGGAATGTCGCTGTTTTCCGGACTGATGATGCTTTTAGGAGGATTGGTATTTCTAGCCGCACGAATACAGCTCAACAGCCAATTACTGGCGAAGGCCTAGGTCGAAGATATAATTCCATGCATAATCTCTACCTTCAAAGATGTCCAGTATCTGAATCAGGCAACAAAACACGATCTTTCGATGTTCTAATAGGTTCTCCATGTTCGTGCAGGGGTTACCGTCCAAAATATTTCCAAATTATTATATCATATGCCCGCACTGTGAACTTACTAATCTCAAAGGGAGGATATGAACTTTGTTAGGGTACTCTTTGGTACTCTTAGCCCACTCTAAGTCTGTACCATACAAAATTCAATCTAAGCATTCAAGCATAATCGCAAGCTCATGGTGATCTGACGTGCTACATTACAGTACAAATTCAGTACCGAATCAATACCGGTAGATGACAGGCTGGATGTTCAATGCGCCAAAAGAGCCAAGGCCAAAACATCAGGTATAAGCAGAGTGTCCTACAGTCCGTACTACAGTCCAACAATGAAGATTATTAAATCCCACAAACCAATTGGAAAATTCAAATCATCTGAGATGATGAATTTGATTAGAACATTGAACTATTTTCGACTCTCTAACTATTTTTAGACATTGAACCCCTTATTTTGTTGAACTGCGATCCAGACTGTTGGATACTCTGAGTGTCAAGTTAGAGTTTGGATGAGCATGAAGCCTTTCTAGATTAGATTCCATAATGTTGTTCATTACTCAGGAGCGATTGCTTGGATCTCGTTGTTGTGGTCATGTCAAGGTAAAGTTTTATATGCCAATCGCAACAGATTAAGAAATTAATTCCTGGAATCGTCTGATCTTCAATCGATCATCACTCTATATCTGCACAGCCAAAAAAGAAATATGTATTAAGGCTGTATCAAAACTCCGAATCCTCATCACGTTTCATATCGTCCATCCTATGTCCGAGCACTACCCCTCAAACAAAAAAAAACCTCATTCATCTGATTTCCCCACATGCGTCCCCAGACCGTCGGATCTTCAGATCTTCAAAACGTGCTTGTGCTAACAACGCAAAGTTCCGTCTTCTTGAAATGCCTCATTACATTGATACGGCAGTGTTCAGTAGTAGAATGTACCTGCGTACATCAACAACTCAGTGTTTGACCGAACATTGAGGGGTCCGAGGGGAGTATTTGAAAATTGTCAGACTCATGAACTGAAGGGTGTCATGAGAATATCGGATGATAATTTCTATAAGTAGATGAAGATATAATGTGTTTGCTTTTTTTTTAATCATCTTCTCTATCTGCCATACCAAGATACCTTCGATTTTCCATCATCACAAACAAAATTTGTCGAACATTAGTCGACATATCACATTCTTTTAAATTCTTATACACAATCAAACTACCTTCATTTAAATTGACAATGCGTCTCTCACTCATCATCGCTATCTTGCCATTGGCTCTCGCCGCACCCGTATGCGCATCTCCCTTTATATCATTGATCACATGCTAACAAGACTGCAGACTAAGCGACAGCTCGGTAGTCTTCTTGGAGGAGCAACAGGCACCTCTACCGGTGGTGGTGATCTCTTATCTGGGCTCACAGCAGGAGGAGCAACAGGCACCTCTACCGGTGGTGGTGATCTCTTATCCGGGCTCACAGCAGGAGGAGCAACAGGCACCTCTACTGGCGGTGGTGATCTCTTATCCGGGCTTACAGCAGGAGGAGCAACAGACACCTCAAACGGAGGTGGTGATCTCCTATCCGGACTCACTGGAGGAACAGCCACTGGTGCTGCTACCACCGCTGATGCTGATGCTGGAGGAGCTCAAGGATTGGTGAGTCTTCTCTTTGCTTTTCCATTCCGATGATGTTTACTAATGAGTTGAGCAGGACACACTTATCGGTGGTTTGACAGGCGGTGCAAATGCAATCGGTGCCGGGGCAACTGGAGCCACCGGAGCCCAAGGAACGGGTGCTGCGGGTGCAGGCCTTCTGTCTGGATTGACTGGTGCTGTTTAGAGATTTGAAGCTGAGATGGGAAAGTGCGGGGCAGGAAATGCCCATGGATGGAGTGATGAGCAGAACTTTCATTAATGTTTCAATTCTTTACTAGGCAACAAATTATTTCATACCATGTTTTCTTTTACATAGTTCCATGAGCATCAGTGAAAAAATTTCATCATGCAATAGAACGGAGTTCTGTCCGGACCTGGACGATTTGAAGTACTCGGACAATGTGACGTCAATGGAAGCTTTCACATATGAGCGTCCAGGATGAAATCCTAGCTTGAAGTTTCCACCATTGGGTGTACGGACTAACGGGACACTGCAAAATGGACTTGTGAATATCTCTTGATATATCGGATCTTATATCTCAAGAATTGTTACAACTGTTCATTAGAGATGGAACAATCAATCTATGGATTCTGGTATGAAACAATTGAAGAATGAATTTGTTAAAAATGTCGAAAGTTGGGAAGTGTCCCATCAATCCATATGCCTACTAGTGGTCTATCTATCACCTGTTCTCAACTCTCAATATCAGCTTTGAAAGTTTCAAGTAAATGAACAAAAAAAGAAATGTGTCCCCACTCGCATAAACATCTACAATGGGTATGAAAATACCTCGGTATTACATTCAGCAATTGAATACTCTCTCTGTAACATTACTTTTGAAATATGGAAAATTGTCCAACGTTAATATAGAAGATAAAGCTTGTCGGTAATAGAGTGGGACAATGCCAGACCTTGTCCGCCTCTATTCCAATGTTGGGTGAAGCAGAAACGTGGGGATGTACTTACTTTTTCTACCTCCTTTAATTTGACTGATTATTGTATATAGCTTCGCAATGATCCGGATTTTGGTATTCACTTTTTGTTCATCGGATCACTCAGATTCTTTCCAAATCACTCGCTACTTCAACAAAACATCAGTCTTCGACGTTCAGTTTGCACTTGATATACAATCTCTCAACCTCAACTCGCAATACACAATTCATCAATCAATCTTCTCGCTATAATCCATCGTCAAAAAAATCAACATACCAAGATGCATCTCCGTATTTCCTTCATCATCGCAGCCCTCCCTCTCATCTCCGGTGCGCCTACCAACACTCACAAGCGCCAACTCGACACTCTTCTCGGCTCGGGTACATCCAGCAGCCCACTCGCATCCGCATCCGGCTTATCGGGTCTCGGTTCTCTTCTTGGAGATAGTACCGGAACGGACACAACTTCAGGACTTGGCTCTTTGGAGAGTGGACTCTCATCATTGGGTTCTTTGGGTAGTGGAACAAGTACATCATCGGGACTTGCTTCTTTGGAAAGTGAGATTTCATCATTGATGGGTGGAAGTGGTACGCTTACTGGTGCAAGCGCTTCTTCAACCGCAGATGGTTTGAGCTCTTTGTTGAGCGGATTGGCACGGAAGGAGAAGAAAGTTTAGATTTGGTGTGAATGATTTCATCACGGATTTCGTGGTGAGACAACTTGGGGGCCTTAGCAACTTCAAATGATATGGTATGACTGGGAAATTTCTTTTTTAGGTTGAATTTTTGAAATTCTGATCAGAAGGAATGAGGAAGTCGTAGTCTCGAAAGCGAAATTGACTGAACTTTTGACCAAATACTGCCATGATCACTTGACTCGAGCTCTTTTTCTCCGTGTGTATGACTATTGAATGTCACTGTTCGCTGGTACTGGTGACTAACTACCATAAAGTGTGGTCAATGAATATATTTTTCCGCAGTTTCAATATATGATCAGGGCGCATGTACGGCTTCTGAAGCGACATCATTCTTGTCCCGTCATTTCGTCTTTCTGATTTCACCTCCCACTTTGCTTTCATTTTTCCTTTCCCTCGCTGACTTCTACCCACATCTCCTCATCAAATGGTGATGATATACCTGACGTTGATCCACGATTTTTATCGCATCCTGCTGATCTCGAGATCTTCACACGTCACATCCAGACGCTTGAGACACTTCGTTAAACGAAAGAACTCTCAGCCTTCTTCAAAAGCGAAACCACCCAGACTCCTTCCATATCCATACTCTTGAAGAAGAAGCCAAGAAGTATGTCCTTGACACTGCTGTGACCGCTTATCACAATTGTGGTACCGCTGCAATGTTACCAAAAGAAAAAGGGGGTGTTATAAATGATAAGCTGATGGTTCACGGTACGAGCAATTTACGCATGGTTGATGCAAGTATCTTTCCACTAATCCCACGTGGGAACATCCAATCCTCGGTGTATGCTGTAGTGGAGAAGGCTGCAGATATCATCAAAGGTGTTTGATATGACCTCGTTGCAATAGGTAGCTAGCATCGACCAGAATGACGCCACAAGCGTTTCGTAGAAAGTGGAGGTGTAATTATGATCTATTCTGAGAATGAAAAATCGTCTTGCTAAATTATTTCCAAGACTGGCCAAGATTGGAAATTTGAATTATGGTGACATAAAAGAAGTAATTCGAACTGCTGATATGAAGTCGCAGTTTAGACGGTATGGTACCCCGCGACAACTTTGTCTGGAGAGATGGAGCACACGTGTTTGGGTGATTGGAGGTAAAAGAACAATGTGATATCGTGGCGCAAATGATCCTATCACGATACCTAGTAATCAATTCGCCCGCATTTCTCAAGATGGCATCAATTCGACAAACCCCGGTAGCGAGTGATTGTAGACACGATATCCCGTCTTCGAGCGATCCATTTTGGATAGAAAGAATTCACTGTTCATAACTAGAGACAGTAACTAAATCACAGACATATTCGAGTAGAAAAGATTCAATTGCGATAACATCTCGGCACCGAGTTATCAAAAGTCCACGCAATCTATTGAGCGATCACCAAATTTATTACGGGGAAAATGGGCTTGGTGCCGCTGCCAATATTAAGTCCGAAGATCCACCGGTGAAAATATCACAATCTCTCGCGATGCGATTGGAAGCAACTTCAGATTATCACATTGATCTGTTTATCTAGGCATTTATCAATTCGGAATTCTCCCCGTCTAACGGGTCGCCTTTGTCACCCATACTTGTGAATGTCAGATGCTGGTAACATGCGTCTTTTGCCATCTAGAAGCACTCACTTCCTGGGGGAATGGTGTCGCAACGGTGGGGGGAATTGTAGTACAAGTCGCGGTTAAGGGTACGCGTCCCTGAAAAAAAAACCACTTGAGATTATCCATGAGCTACGACTCCCAAGGGTCTCGTAGGATCTGGGAATGGGTACCCAATGGGGTATCGTATGGATAATTCGAGTAGATCCAAACGAGTTCCCATTAAAGCAGGTGTCTAGCGATTGTATCCTTTTCTCCCCTCCCCTTAATCTTCTTTTCTTCGAAGTTTTCAATCTAAGTGAATACTTCAATTGTCTCGAGTATCACGGTGCTTTGTAAAAGGGAATGTTGAGGTTATGAAACGCGCCACTAGAGTGGCTATCGTTGCGATAGTACTCTTTTTCAATCTTCTTTTCGTGTTTTTTCATCTGCGCAATATCTTTACTGTTTTCGATGTCGTAGGTGCTTCGATCAATGGGTACATTCCTCGGCCAGTGAAGACTGGACAAGATAGAGCTGTGGTGATTCCGCACTTGAAAACTGAAGACATAAGTTGGGTTGAGGAATTTTTACCTGAGTGAGTTTAACTCATATCAAAGCACCAATTGCCAAATCCTTATGACCAATACTGATTGTCATGAAAATACAGTTGGCAGTCATACATTTACTCGGTTGACGATCCAGATGCCAAACTACATACGCCAAATAAAGGCCATGAGTCAATAGTATACCTCACATACATCATTGACAATTACGATAAGCTTCCTTCGATAAGCGCTTTCCTCCATGCCCACCAAAATGGTTGGTGGGATGCATGGCACACAGACGTAGCTGGTCACGATAACGTTGTTTCTTTAAACACCCTCAACCTTAATTTCGTACAAGAACAAGGCTACGTAAATCTTCGATGTGCTTTGAAGCCCGGCTGTGCACTATCAGATGTTGCCCCCAACACCCATATCAACCCGGAGATCTGGATGCAAGTATTCGGAAACGATACGGCTATGCCCGCAGAAATCGGCGCAACATGTTGTGCTCAATTTGCGGTTTCGAAATTACAGATATTGCAAAGGAAAAAGGAGGAGTATATACACTATCGGGATTGGATACTCCAAACTCCATTACCGGACCGAGAGAGTGGCAGAGTTATGGAATATCTTTGGCATATCATATTTGGGAGGGATGCAATGCATTGCCCAGAGCCTAATCAATGTTATTGTGACGTATATGGGAGATGCGATATATGATTTTGGGGGGGAAATAATGTTCACACGTCAAGCTTTAGGATATGAAAAATTCTATTTGCGAGATCTACCATACTTTACATCTTCCATGACGAGATTCGGAGAGATTAAAATCATACCGGTACTCAATACTTTGGTAATTTCGGCGACCGAAGACAAATTTCCAAGATTTAAGGTGCCGCCATATTAGTGCATTTAGCTAGTCATTCTCTTCCCCCTCATACCCCACCTTCCTACTCGGATTGAGAATCCAAAGGCAGACGTCAAGACTAGTCCATGATATACCCTGATAACTTGGTTCGATCCATAACTGCCATCAGGTGTTGACACTGTCTCCAGATCAGATTGTTGTTGTCATTGTCATGTCGTCAATGTATAAACTGTGGAAATTGACCACTTGACTCATTACATGGTTCCACGAACTTAAAATTTAGAAGACTTTGATGCTTTGTGATTTAGTTCGAAAGTTGTCGATCACTATGTTGTGCAGCAAGCAGTCGACGTTCGTCACTAGCCAAAGTCTATTCGTGTCTTAGCGGCCGTTGAAATGCTGCTCCAAGTGTTTGTTTACTACCATTAAACGGTCGGAGATTGTGCGTTTAAGGTTCAAGGTTTCCGGGGTGGTGTGAGGAAATCGCTTTCATTAATTAGTATACCCCATTGGCTGCTTTATCCTTTATGGGGGTATTCTGCGTTGGTGGTCTATAGCAGACCAACAGTCCGAGGTTTCCACTGGCCTTTGTGGGGAAATGCAGAGATCTTGGCCTTCATCACTTGTGTCACCCATGCAAAGTCCAGAGTTGTATCGGACATCAATTATCTGCTCTGTTGACGTTTGAGGAAAATCGTTTGTCAGATGAATCCGCTATCACCAGGATCTGACATGTATCAAGTGAGCCCCTGGGTATTCCAGATTGTACATCGTTATTAGAAATGAGTATAGAAGGTGCGGCTATAATGTATCAATATATCATCTGGATGCATAGTATTAATAATAATACACCCTTTCCACACCTACAAGAACGACTGCTTCTACGTACATGCAATAATACCGCTAGGTTCACACATCCCTGAACTCTTGTGTCTTGGGTAAAATCTATATAATCGACAATGTTTCTAGCAGGGGTGGTTTATAGCGGAGGGGGATTATGGTTTAGCGGAGAGGGGTCATGATTCATGTCTGGAAAACAACACTGGCTTCTGATAGAATGATGTCTTGAGACCGAAGTTCGCTCACCATATACAAACAACGACTGACCCACAAGATTTGATCAGCTATTGATATAGTACCTCCGTAGATTCTATACGACATCATCAAGTTATCGGATGACTCTAGTTATCTCCACAGGGGCTTCTCTTGGAAGACTCCAGCTCTTTCCCATTTCGGGTGTCTATTATGAAATTCTTACCCCTCACTATTGAATCAAGTGACCAGAATCAAGGGTTTCGGCGATGTTTAGTAGATGAGATCTCTTCTAGTGGATCGATTTTATCTACTTCAGTCCTAGAGTCCAGTTAGGTCGTTTCTCGGCACCCGTCATCTAGACGCAATTCACGTGTAATTACACACTATTTTCTAATTTAAAGGGATATTCAAGTGTGTTTCATTCCCTCCCGTAATTTTCGGCTCCGATTTTAGGAAGCTAAGGATATATCTTTGTTTATATGAAAGACAAGTTGTCTGTAATATCACACTAAGATATTCGTTATATTCCCTCTGGTTATTTATTTTCGTACTTGAACTCCCAACCTAACATCAAGCACATCCGCTTTTATGATCAATACACATGAAGGCCCTTATTCAATTACTCATTATCGGGGCATGGGCCCCGAACCTTGTCTTTTCTGCGATCGTGGATGGCAGGCTCAGTATTACAGAGGGAAATGCTCCAGCGCTCATCACATCTGCGATCGCAGATAACAGGGTCAGCATCACAAAGAGAACTGAAGAATGGACACCTAATGAACTGGTGGTAATTGCTAATAATGGATGCTTCAAAATGATTGAAGAGAACATGGACAAGATTCCCGATTGGGTTCAGAAATACAAAGATTGGGAAGCTTTGGCACTGCAGGACACTGCTAGTGGAAAGAGTCTCTCGGCTCGGTACGGAGAAGAAAAGCTTGGCATGCCTCACTGGTTTTGCGATCCCGATAATGGCTGCTCTTCACTGCCAAGTCCTCTGAAGATTCTGCAATTCGTGGATGCCACCGAACCGGGCATGCCTCGGGATAAGAGGGTCGAAGAAGCTCAGGGAAGATACTGGGCCGCTATGAGCTACTACATGGTCTTCCGCACTGGAACTCACACACTAGTAAGTCTATTCATGATTGCTTATCATTCCTTCGTACTAATAATTGTCAGAATGCGCTCAAACGTGCCCAGGATTTTGTGCTACCCAGGATCGACACTATCATTGGGGACTTTACCAAGCAAGGCAACAGTGAGGCAATTCTCAAATGCAAGATCAAAACCTTTTTTATTGATATGATATATCAATTCTCGACCAAATTCCTCAGAATGAGCTTAGCTAAGCTAGTCAAAATTGAAGGTTCCGGTGGGGGACCATGGACTTCGTTCAACAAGCTCGATCCATTTCAATACGGCACTCTCTTGAAGAAGATCCTGGATTTTGCATTGCCAATGGAGCATACTTACAAGTATAAAAAGTTTGGAGCAGGCAATGATGGAGAAACTTCTATCGACTTTTTGCGCCTCACAAGTATGACATATACGAGTGATCTTTACTGTGGCCACATAGATGGTCAGGCTGCTGATGGAAGCGATATTGGGTCTCGTATCAGCGATTCCAAATACCACATGAGTGAGATCATGAAGCAATACATCAAAAACATTAGTGACGTCTTCAGAGCGCTCAACGGATTTGGAGAAGCCCATTTTGATCAAAAGATGAGCGATTGGATGTTCAACGCCAATTATGAGGAGATCGTTCACCGACTCGACCGCGTTGACATTTCCGAGGAAGCTCAAAATTTCAGTCACACCCTCTCAGGCTATTTTATTTCTGCTGGTTGGGCTAGCAACAAATGTTACATGAAGTGCCAACCCAAAATGTTTCGACCACATGTTCAGAAAAGATGCCACGATGAGAAGTTTGCCGCAGATAGATTCTGTCCTGACGATGCGCCTGATACATTGTGTCAAGTCAACTGTTACACGATGCTGGACTCTGGAAATCATGAGAAGAAACTCATCGGCATCGAACAGCTCGGCAAGCATGGCTTTGATATAGAAAATGTCAAGAGAGACTCTTGGGAAAACTATAAAGAACTGAAAAGACTCAAAAAACCCCAGATAGATTACGTCAATGGTAAGGAGTTTACGTTCGGCGCAGAAAATAAATCAGCCCTCGTTCTTTCTGTATCTGTTTCCAGCACCAACAAAATCTCAGACAAGCCCGTCAGATCTTACAACTTCCCATGTTTCAGTGGCCAGGACTATAGAGGTCTCGATACTGAACAGCACTTGATTAATATGAATATGGGATTTGGTTCTACTGATTGGGGAGGAGGAAAGAAAGGAAATGCTCGTGCTTGGGAGATGTTCCAACAGCAATGTCCAGAAGTGAGCCAAAGATCCCATTTCGGAATACATTAACTAACCTCAATCTCAGCAAACCCGTAAAATGCCACCCCTTACTCGCTATCTCAACATAATTTGCGGACAACGACTCAAGTGGCCCGAAAGAATAGCCAGAGATGGACTTGTACACCGCCGAGTCATGCAACCGGACATCGAAGGAAAGAACTTCGAAACCTGCAAAACACTCCGGGAAAAAACCGAAGACATGGACGAAGAAACCGCAAATTATCTTTTCTGCAACGGATACTGGCCCGAATCCTCCAAAATTTTCGGCAACGAGAAACCGTGGATTTATACCGATTGGAACGCCCGTTGGCATCGTGGTTCCGGACTCAAATTCATGTATAACCATAAACTCAGATGTTACCTCCATCGATCGAGCCATCGAAAGTTCCGACCCGATCAGAAGTGGCTGGATATGAATTGGATTGCGGACCCCTCGAAGGTGGTGGGTGATGGGAATAATCCCAATGGTACGGTGTTGGAGTTGGACCCTGAAGAGGCGAAGGTGATGGAAGAATTGCCTGATGATGCGGAAGATATTGATCCCGAGGCGACGGAGAGGTTGAGACATATTATTGAGGAGTTGAGTAAGGAGATTATGAAGAGCAAGTCCAAAGAGTCAAACTGATAGGAAGAGAGAAGAAACACGAAGAGAGAGAGATAGCTTTAATGTGTAATCCGATAGGGAGAAGAGGTTGAGAAATTTTTACTGCTCCATGTTGGTGGATGTTGAAGTGATACAAGATTTATGTATCTGTTGCAATATATCGCTAAAATGAGAATCAAATCGAATCTGTGTAGATGAGATGAGATGAGATGAGAAATGAGTGATTATGGCTAGTAGTGCTTACCTCTGACGAAACAATTTGTGAATTTTCAGGTCACTGGCGTGTGTATGGGCAAGATCTTCTCATCACCATATGTTCAAGTGGGAGGTGCGAACACACATAATTTCAAAACTTGTCTCATGGAGAATATATTGTTTCTTTTCCCCCCATTTCTTCAAAATTATCTCCGGTTCACTTGGGGGGAAGGGGGGCAGGGGTTGTGAATGCGCCCCTCTTCTCGAATGTCAAAGAGATCGAAATCATACAGTCACTCAAATTCAGCACGGAAAACATAGCCTCTTACAACAAACAAAAGAATTTGCAAAAATCTCCACACAATGATTTTTCGCAGGATCTAGAAACGGAGAAATATAACTCATTGATACTATACATGGTATATGATACATAATACATAAAAACGTCTAGCTCTATCTACAAAAACATAAACATAAATGAGAAACCATCTTTTTCATCTACTTCCTAATCCAGTCAAATGTAATTCTAGCAAATGCTTGAGAAGGGAAATCTATCAATCGATAGAATATTTCCGCGCTAGGAATGACCGTCAACAAGCATACAAAGAAACAAGCTGTGGTTGCCGCCTCAAAGGATGCGTTTTTTGTTTCTGTGAGATGAGTAAAGAGTTTGATGCCCACGGAGTAAATGATGATGCTTTGGACAAGAAACCAACCTATTGATTGTTAGCTTTGGCGCCACAGAGAGGAAATAGTGAATGAGACTTACTAAGGGATCTTCTACCCAAATACATTAGGAATGGATTGCGGAACACGGCTTGTGGGAAACTCCAGGTCTCCAAGACCAGGAAGGTTCCAAGTAAGAATAGATAATTATCATCCCTGGCCATCGGAGTGCCGGCTTCCATTACCACATCATTCAATCCACCAGTCGAATACTCGCCGGTATGGATTCTTACCTCCTTATAAACATCTTGGGGTCTCCATGCGGCCCAAATATACATCATGATCAAACCTGCCATGGTAAGAATGGTATACAATGGCCAAACGGGCATTCTAAATTTTCTGCCTCTCCAGGTTCCCAGTGAAATTCCGGCTTGGGCACGCATTTGAAAATTCATATTGATACTCATATCAGCCAACAAAAGACCAGTAATTGAATACCAAGCCCAGCTATCAACCCACCATGCGGTAGCAATGAATCCAATGAAAGCCTTGACTCTCCATGACTTTCGCACATAGGGAATAATGACCATTGTCATGTAAACAGTATAACTTTGTTGGAATAGAACGGAGATAACCCAGAGAGTCTGTGAAGGAAAAGCATAGTTCGCTGCTTGGAGGTCAAATTTCTTATTCGTCCAGAAGAGAATGAAGACCGAGTTAAAGTATGCGAGAGCATTCGGGATCATGTAGGGAGTATCGATGGTGGTGTTGTTCGTTGCGGTTTTGAACTCATCGATATAGGACGTCCCAATGCAGGTAAAAACGATGTAAATGATTGCGAGGGAAAATGCAGAAGGAAACCAGAGACGTAAGCCTCGGCGGAAAGATGACGATGCGACAAAATCGTGCGAGGGTTTGTTGAGGAATGGTGTGCAGATTGTGCGCGCAGAGATGAGAATGAATGCTGAATAGATCAGAGATTCATTCCAGAAGAGGACGGAGACTACCTTTCGGAGCATTTCCTGATATACAGGGCCATCGGAATTGGGGGTACCGGTGACGGCTGTGGGAACGAGGGTATTCAGAAATGTCCATAGAAAAGATTGGATAACTAGAAATCCTCTGAGACCGACAAAGTGAGACTGGGAAGGAATCTGGTGAAGGGTAGGCTCTTGGTAGAACTCCTTCACAGGTGTCAATTGGGTGAAAGCCATATCGAATACCAATTTTGCCGTCGAACTGTCCCAGATTTTGGATGGAGAGGGATGTTAAAGATCTCTTGCACTTTTTGATGTGGATATGGGGAATTATGTCTCCAGAGATTTCATCAGCCTCACCGGACTTCGACACCAAGACCTTGCTCTTTACACTTGCCGATCCCCTCGGTCCTTCTCGATACTTTTTTTTGTCTTTTTGTGACGTCTGCCCCATCAATATTTTGCGTTGGCAGTATCAACTTTGCAGCTGCCACTTTGGTGATGCCGTGCCGTGTCATGATGAGACATTCCTCCACGTTTGTTCTAAAGGAGAGACCTACCGGTATAGTTCCGAGAGCATAGCGTAACAGGAATTTTCTGTTGAAGTGCATTATCATGATCTTCAAGATATCAATATCCTTTTGGATTCTGCCACTCCACTTCTTGAAGATGTCAAGGTCTTTTTGGATTCTGCCACTCCACTATAGCTATCTCGGCCTAGTGGATACCTGACGCCGGATAGACCAAAGCTTAGCGCCGCTAGCCCCGGCACTGATCCACCCAGCTTCCAGGGACTTCCGGCACACCGCATGGCAGACCCTGACGTGAGGCTGTCAGTTCCTCAAATCACATTGGGGCGTTGCACATGTGGCTAAATTTTGGCGCACGAGTAATGCTGCCAGGACACTGCGCCCATGTGGTCGAGAGCCGGGAGGTTATCCGGTGAATTGATGCCAAAAATCTGGAAAATTTTCGATCAGATAAAGCTATTGCATATATTAAAGATCATTTATATGTGATATCACAGTCTGAGAGCCAGAACTTACTTTCTTCTAAATGAATATCTACGCAATCTTAAGGTACAAGGTACCTTTCTAGTTCAAAGAACCTCTCATGTACCGGGATAGGGATGATAGCAGGGGGTACGTTTTTGATAAAGAAAAATCTTAATCTTTGTGAGAATTTCCAAAAGTCTATGATATAAGGTTGATATACGGCAAATTTTTATTGATTGTAATCATAATTAGTGATGGCTACCTGGCTCAGCACGCCATTCGCTAGGAATGATACTTTGTCCAATACTTCAGAGGTGGTCCCCGAATCCCTTTAGGGAACCTCTTGACATCTGCCGTCTAGACTGGACAAGCTGAGATACGCTATCAGAAACGTGAAAAAGTGTATTGTGGGATAGCTCGCGTGGTTGGCCTGATTTGGCATGATCCCCAATCAAACTAAAGCAAAATTTGGAAAGGGGTTACTCACATAAGAGGTTCCTCCAATCACCTACTCTGGCTTGTGGGTAAGGTGATTTTCCCCATGAATCACATTTGTGACAGTGTACGGTGAAGGTTATCTCACTTTGTCAAGTCTAGAAGGTAGATTGATGTGCACCCAACAACTCAATTGTACATTTAAGTCAACGCACCGAGATTTTGATCCTATATGGTAGTATCAATATGATCTTCAGAGGAGTATTCTTAGACTGCATAGGAAACTAAAAGCTCCTGCATGTTCCTGCGAATTCTTCGATTCGAGATCTTGATTTTTGTTTTTTATGTAGACTGGGGAAAAGAGCACACATCTTGGGGTATTCTTTCTTTTTTCGCGCACATGGTGTTTTCGTCACTCGCATGTTATCTTATCTTCGAACCGGCAGATTTCTTTTTAGAATAGTGGTATGTGAGAATTAAGTGAAAATGATGTTTTTCGGATTTAATGAAGATTGCAGGGAATTGCAGGGAATACGGAGGTTCGATATCCGGTTATGTCGATCATTTAATATCGAAAAGGAAAACCTTTTCAATCTGTGACGACTAGGCCCTAAACATTAAGCTTAGACTGACAAAAACAGGATGGGAAATGAACATGGGAAAGTTCGCTATCAATATCCATGTCGTCGCTACCAAATTCCAAGTTCCACTGATTCCTGTAGGGATGGAGGAATCATATCCAAATTATCTTATCACCTCATTGCCCTTACAATGATTGCTTGTAGTCAATAATGCCAGGGGTATATGCACGGAAATATCTTGGCACGTGAAGCATTTCACAAGATCTTGACGAACCGGAAATTCCGGCGGCAAAGACAACAATAGCACACTCAAGGTTTTGATAAGAATATTGGCAAAACAACATAAACTTTTAGCAGGCATTGAAGCCAATGCATCTCTATATTCTAAATTTTCCTCCCTAAATGCCGTCCAGAAACTCTCCAATTAAAATGTATATACAAATTCATAAAGTTATTCATATCATCTACGTTCTTGCAGTAGGGTTCCATGATGAATATTTAGTCAACTGCCGAGCATGTCCATACAAACCTATGGTGGCCAAAAATAGCAGATAAAATGGATAGGCGATCGAGAACTTGATGATCATCCATCGTGACGCAAACTCGGATTTAACTTGATTGGTGACCCAGAGTGTGCCAATCAAACAGAAAATGCTGTTGATCAAATTAGTAATGGAATCAATGAGTGGATATAGAAGTCTTACCTAACGAAAAAGAACCACTCAGAAACTGGATATTGGAAGAAGACAGTCTTCCAGAACGCTGCTGGGGTCAAGGGGAAATTGAGAAAAATGAAGCTTGCTACCAAGCAGGCAAATTGGGTGACCAAGTAATAACTGAGCTCACGAATGAGCAACAAATTGAGCAGCCCAAATCGTGTCGTGAAGATTCTCTTTCCTTCCTTAGCTCGATTGAAGGTCAAAATCGAATGCTTCAAGCTTGCCCTGTTGAGGGAGTCAGTATTGCCGATCAAAGAAACGACTTAGGGGATATAGAAACTTACTGTGCCCATCCTTGTGCCCATCTTAGACGTTGTTTCCAGAACGCTCCAAAAGTCGTAGGTGCTAACTCATATGACACAACATTGAGATCGTGAACAATGTTACAACCTCGGCCTACAGTTCGAAGTGCAGAGTCAATGTCTTCAGTGAGCATGTTCTCGTCCATCTTTACGTCTCGAAGAAGTGATGTTCTCCAGTATCCATTGGATCCTGTAAATAGACCAAAACCCCAGATGGTTGCCCTTCCAGGATGTGAGACGGCGTAAATCTTGTCAAATTCTATGCTGATGAGACTAGTGAGGAACGAAGCACCTGTGTTGAAGACGATACATCGGCCTTGAACAATATCGACCTTATCTTCCTTGATAAAACGTTCAATGGCCCATCGAGGGCTATGGGGATGTATGTAATGGTCACAGTCATATATAGCAGTGATATCAGAGCCGGTATCTAGACTGAGATAGTAATTGAGGTTGTCAGCTTTCGATGTAGAGCCTTCAACCTTGATGATTCGAAGCTGGGGAAATTTGGCGGTCGCTTCCCACATTTCTTCCTCGAGGGGTTGAATTGGAGAAGGTGTGTTGTAAACAATGTTTATGCGAATTTTGTCAACTGGATACTCCAACTTCTGACACGCATAATTTATTCGATCCATTATGATGTCTTGTTCATTTGGAAGATATGCGACAATGACAATGTCCACGATCAGCAGGTCATCATCTGGTGTAGGAAATTTCCAGCCCTTTGCAGCGGCTTTCGTAACAGTAAGACGTGCCTCTCGACATGGTTCCATGCTCATAAATGCTTCTAGTGCTGTAGATGCAGCAATGATGAAATTTGTGAAATTATATATGAACCAGAAAACCTCTAGAAGTTTTGTGGGAAAGAGCATATATGCGAAAATAGATGAAACAAAATAAGAGCTGACAAGCAGACAAGGCGTCCAGTCGTGGATAAAGTTCGAGCATCTTCCAAAGGTATTGCGAATGGAGATAGAGGTTGGTGTTTTAGAAGTTTGTGCGCAACTTGGGGAAGTCACAATTTCATCTTGAACAGAGAACCTGACATTCTGTTTCTCATCAATGCTGGATTGTGTTGGAGCATCGTGAATGGTCACAAGCGCATCTTTGCATGTCCTGCTCACAGATGAGCTTGGAGAGCCATCACGCTCGGGGGTGGAAGGTGAAGGGCTGCTGTATGTTGGAAGTTCTTCAATTGCAAGCGTTCCATTGTCGTAAGCCCCCATTTTGTCGAAGTGATGTAAGTAGACAGTAGATGCAATGACTGGTACTTTGTGAAGTTATAGAAAAGAACGGACAGGGACACCACCAGGAGTAAGAAGGTAGATCAAAGAATCAATAAAGATAGTATGGTGGGAATTACAACTTCGAGGGTCTCTACACAGCAGCGTCCAAGGATTGGATATAACATAATAACATAATGGCAAGATACAAATTTCATCAGCTTGAGCCCAAGCTACAGCTTCACACTAGCCTTTCCGGCATTGAAAGTTGACTTAGCTCCTTGTCAACTTAACTAAGAGATAAGATGGGCCAGCTCAGGCAATCCATGCGGTAACAGTGATAGCATCTTATCGAATTTGCGACGAACACAAAAGCATAAAACAAGAAAGATCAGCGTCCGCTGACGGCGCGGTCTACTTTCTAGGCTCTAGCAGCGGGACACTCTCGGAGCGTTGCATGCACACACGTTTTCTTTCGAAGAGACTAATGCCAAGAAATACTGACCCATGATTGTGTGTATTAAAGAAGTGGACTTCAACTTTGAAGATTCCCAATCCTGTAATCGCAAGGCATGGGTAGGTGTAGATCTTTCATGCCAGGCCCACCGTGGTGCTGAGCTGTTCCTATGAGAACAATTACCGAATGTCCGACCCCGTGTGGTGTAAATGAGCGACTCGTCGAATTCGTAAAGACCATCGAATTCTATCTTCTGAATGAGGGACATCGTCGGATGAATATTCTGACGATAACATAACGCGTGGCTTTGCGCGTGGGAGGAGTAAGAAAAAGTATAGATAAGTTCATCGGTAAGTTAAAGAGCCGCAACGCGCCAAGAGAGTTTGTCCGTCGTGACTAAGCTAATCCACTTTAAGAAGGCGGTGAAAACGATTACAATGTAATCTTATTTTCCAACTTTTGTATCTTCCTGCCCCCAAAATATCCCACGATACCATGTATGAATCCACATTCGTCCCTCTAGATTCCCAGTTTCTGCTGCCCCTGAAGGTGGATGTCCATGAATCTCCATGGTGTTCACCCCGACATCTTTGAATCTCGATGCTGTCCTGGGATATGTGGCTTTAGAATAAGCATACATGCTGAAACTCGCCATGAATAGATCTCACGCATGAAAACCAAAAAAGAAGCACTGGATCGACCGCTACCTTGGATTAAAACTATCCACGGAGGCGAATCTCAGATTCCAAGGCGACCAGCTCATTTCAATGTGTTGTACTGGTACTTGTGCTGCCAGAGAGTATGCAATTCCGAAGCTAGATGCACATACCACAAGATGGTAAACCACAAAAGGACTAACATGATTTTCTTAGCGGCGGAGTTGTATACTTTCTGGCAGCATGAGTAAAGGGGGAGAGGATATACATTGAAAGATGACATATAGCCGAAGTTTCTGCTGCTGAAGATCTGTGCGAATCTGGAGAAGCAAATCAATGCCGTCGCAGCGCAAACCAAAGCAATAAACTCCAGAAAACCAGACTAGTTCAAAAATAAGGAAAAATTCATGCGTTGTGGAGCTTTGAGCTGAATCAGCTGATTACTGACTTGGAACGTGTACCCAAGTGATGGATAGGACGTGCTTCTGGGATCTGCATGCAGGCCTTGGCCACTTAGAGGATAAACAGCGGACTTGGTGCTTGCCGTCATTTTTAATATACTTAATTTAAGACTAATTGTGATCCATTGATCAGCCCGAATGCTCAAAAACCGTACTGGTAGTTCCATGTACTAGTTTGCCCGCTTTGGGAGCTCCCTGCAGAGTGAACGTCTCGATCTAGACAAGCTGATTGGTCTTATCAACAGCCTTGTTATCATGCTGAAAAGTGCGTAAAGTTCTTGCATTATTTCAAAGAATCACTACAGTCGGCATCCTCTTCTATTCTGATTCTTCGTCTTTCATTCCCCATCCTTTGATCAGGATGCATTATCTTACTCTTTGCTTCGTTGGTTTCGCTCTGAGTCTAATAACAAACGCCAGAGCAAATTCAACTTCGAATTGCTCTTGTGGTTATTATGATCCAGCGACAGAGAACCTGTTTACCGACTTCTTGATTGTTTACTTCAACGAAACGACCACATTTCCGTCGGAGGTATTCCAGAACCAAGAGTATGCAAACAAGTACGAGAAGAGCTGGAATGCACAGTATCGTTCAGGTGCCGATCCGTCCAATGTCCAGATCACAAATTCAACATCCACTGGCATCAGAAACTCTTCATCGTTGGAATTCACGATAAACCCACCAACCTCTGAACATCTCGTCAAAGGTGGCGCGATCAGAACTTTAAGATCTGATATTCAATATGGTTCTTTCAGATCAACCATTCGTCCAGCTCAAGCTTGGACTGGAGGTACCGGCATGTCAATGCTTCTTAAGTACAACGAGACACAAAATATCCAGATCAATAGTTTGAACGCTCAAAAGCCTACAGATGCGTGGATCAATACTTTGCTTGCAGACGAGTTCCCAAATCGGGTAAACGGACTCAATTTCAGTACATTGGCCAACAATGTCACATACAGTCCAGAAATTAATCCTTGGGACTTTACTGAAGTTCGGATGGATTGGACTAAAGATACCGTGCAATTCTACATCGGGAATGTTCTAGCTCGCTCAGTATCAACCAAGAACATAAGCAGCAAGAGGTTTCCGATCACCCCATCGCCTCTATTATTCAAGCTTTGGTCGAATGGTGATTCATATTTCACGGCTGGACCGCCCACGAGAAACACCACAGCCAACCTCGGATGGACCCGATCATTCTTCAACTCGTCAGTCATGACAAAGGAGCAGCACGAAGAATTTGATACGAGATGCGCGGTTACAGATGCATGCTTGATGGATGATACTTCATTACGTGGTTATACTGCCTTCGGGGTGGACTCTATCACAAAATGGAAGGCCACACACCATGAAAGTGGCGTCCGAACTTTTGCTTATATTTGCCTCTCATGTTCTGTGGCTCTGACTGCACTATTACTCTGTAACGTCACTTTCCAGAGATGGCCTACGAAGGACTCCAAGACTCCCAAGGAACCAAAAGTACATAGCTGCTACCGTCTTCCACCCCAAATTTCCAACTCTAAACTTCTCTCGTCATCGGATACGACACCAACAATGTCAACGAGAGCTTCATCTATGGATCTGAAAAATCCCAAAGACGACCTCGAAATAACGAAGGTTGGCTTCACGCCCGGATCTTCAACGCTTACACTTAAAGATATGACCAATCAAGAAGCAGCACGTATGCCAAACAATAGTCCATTCGCGGCATCTCGGCAACATTCTACCTCAAACATGAGTGGGTTTACTTTGAACGATCCTATATCGCCGTCAGCTTCACAGCATAGACTCTACAGTTTCAATGATGCCCAGAATGATTCGATGGCTATAACACCCCAAAGTTCCTTGTTCTTCGGTAAGGACGGTAGACAAAATTTAGACGGTGTTACTCCGCATAATTCGTTCATCTACAGCACAAACCCGGCAGAGACATCAGAGAAGAAGGACTCTTCGATGCCAGATATCACCAAAGGTGATGCAACTGAGAATTCTAGACCAGCACCACCCAATCACGCTGTTTCAGAAGTTCCAGCCCCAATTGCTTTCCCAGCTACACCCATCAACGCTAGGACTGCACCCACCAAGCGAATTGAATATTTGGCAGGGCTTATATCGATCGCAACCCTTTTGGTGACTCTGATCCATTTCATATTCACGTTTTCGCCAGCAATGGGTATGGTTGGCGCCCTTGAGCACTACAGCTATGAAATCATGATTCGAAAGACCATTGGATCATATCTTCTCAATCAAATTCTTCTTGGGCTTTTTTTCATTACTTCCACTCGCTTCCTTATCAGTCGTTATTTACGTACTGGTGATCTTGGAAGTATAGCCGAGAAGACGACTGGAAGAACGTTCCGTGTCATGATTCCGATTGCAGCTTGTGCTATGCTTGAGTACTTTTTGATCGATGTGGGAGCTCTCACGTATTTAGAATACCTCCCCAGTATCAGCTGGACAACATGGCCTTATGCTGTGGCATACACAGATTTCGCTCATTACATCTCTGAGATCCTTGAGCTGGTGTACTTGCTCCCTAATGCAGCTCCACTGATCACCTACAACTACTGTACGGGTGTTTTGTGGACCATTCCTGTCCAGATTGAAGGTTCGTGGATCACACTTTTGGGATGTATCGTGGTTAGAGAGATCAAGACACCTTGGAAGCGTATGTGCTACTATGCATTCTGTATTATTAACCATTGGTATGCTCAAAGTTGGGGCACGTTTTTCTGGTTTGGAGTCCTTTACACCGATCTAGACGTCACTTTCAAGTACAAAAAGTGGTTCAAAGACCACGCCTTTGTCCTCTGGACCGGAATCGTTATTGGTTTCATGCTAGCCATTGCCGCACTATCAAATGATTTGATCACTGCATGGACAGGCTTCTCCTTGCCTATCGTAGAACGAGGTATTCATCCGGATCCCGAGAGCGGTCTTCCAATCGCCCAAACAGCCAACGCGGGATATCCAGAATATTTCAACCCTCGTTTCAATGGAATCATATTCGCCGTCGGTCTCCAATTTGTCATCGAGAATTGTTACTTCGTACAATATTTCTTATCCATGAAACTTTGGTTGATGCTCTTCCCCCATATCTTCACCATCTATCTTATTCATGGTTTGATTTGGTGGTCGCTAGGTAGCACAGTATGTGTACAATTGGCTTCTAATACCTCCCTTCCATATTGGTCTGTTGCCTTGATTACGGCGATAGTTTGCTACGGAACTTTGTTTGCATCGTTACCCGTTCTTACACCCGTGGTGGAGACCTTGGGAAAGAATGTTACTGGTAATATTTGGAGAATGGCGCACATTAAGCCGGCTCCCAGAAGAAAGACCTTATTCCCTTTTGCGGACAGGCTTTTCTTAGACTATGAAGAGAAGACGGGAGAGATTGTGGATGAACAGAAGGATGTGGAAAAGAAGGCAGGAATAAATGTACATGAGGAGGAATTGTGAGTGGCGTTTCGGATTTTGGGTTTATGAAGATACAATGTACGATATTGAACGCGATACCTCTAATTTAGTTATGATTTGAAATATTGAAAGAATTATAGAAGTCAAAACTGAAAGGAATCAGCTGCTCGGTGAACTCAAAAATGAAGTATCCAAACATCATGTCTGCTTCGTAATCTCTATAACAACTTTCTTTGCCGACACACCATTTCTCAGAAGATCAATCCCATCCTGCACTCTGCCCAATCCGCCCTCGAGAACTTCCGGGTCTGGCTTGGCCAAGTATTTTCCCTTGACTAATGCCTCCGGTACGTACTTCCGCCATACTGCATCCCCGATATCGAAATCCACAAGTCCTACATCTAAACCATTTACTAGATGATAACATCAGTTCAAGAAGATCTAGAGGTGATAATGATAGAACCTACCCATGACAGGCTCAACATTATACTCATTTGGTACGGGAGGTAATAAGGCAGCAAATTTTCTGGCGCCAATTTTATGAGCAACTTCTGCACAAGCTTGTTGTGTGCTAGCTAGAGCGATGCAGTCGAATATGGCATCACCAATTTGAAGGATTGCCAGGATGTCTTGTATAACCGTGGGTGATTTATGATCAAAAACATAGGTTGCACCAATGGTTTTGACGAAGTCGTGGTTTTGGGTGCCGGCAGTGGTAACAACAGTGTACCCTGCTGCTTTCGCCAGTCTTCACAATTTAGTATCAGTCAATTGTTCAGTAGCATGACAATAAACAGGTGCGCTTACTGGATTGCCGAGGCACCACAACTCGAACTTCCGCCCCAGATCAAAATCGTCTTTCCCGCCGGCTTTGGATCCAACACCGGAAGCGGTATTCTCAAGATTTTGAAAAGTCCCGCAGCAGCCGTGGAAGTAGCAAGAGGAAGGACTGCTGCACTTGCCAGTGGGATCTCATCCGGAACTACAGCAACGAGAATCTCGCTACAAGTAGCATAGAGTTGGAACGCGGTGTTTTGGACGGTTCGTGTGAGAATTCCATCGCACTGGCCCATAACACGTTGTCCAATCCTAAAGCGGTCTACGCCAGCTCCAAGTTGGACAATGGTGCCAGAGACGTCGGCACCGAAGATCCAGGGATAGGGCATGCTAAAATAGGGGATGTCTTGCATCTATTGAGGGAATGAATTGATGTTAATTTGATGAAAGAGATGGGAATAAATAGAGTAACAGACCTTCCAGTCAGTTGGGTTGACAGCTGCGTAGGCTACTTCAATGACTACTTCATTATCTTTGGGGTAGGTGTTGGTCCTGGTCCTACTTTTACTTGGCCTTTTTCTGTGGGAATCCATGCTGCCTGATTGTTGGTAATTGGAGACATTTTGGAATAGTGTGTGTCTGAGTGTTGAATGCTTGTGTTTGTGACATGTTGCATTAATAGAGGATTACTGACCGGTTTATGTACTCTCATCACAGTGGGAAAATTCCTCATGTGGTATTTTCTTGAAAAGCATTCACGGAAATCCGTCGTAAGATCATCATGTCAAGGAAAGGCATCACGAGTATGACATCAAACTAGCAAGAGTAGCACAGAATAGTAATTTGACAAGATAAATAATAAGTCGCAGATTCTAACCGAAATTCGTGATAGGAAGTGTATTCATACCTTACCTAGACCTATTTCGTACCCCTGGCCCCCACTTTGATTAACAATCGCTGAATCCTTCCTGCTTACCAACACGCATCCGAGAATCAAAACTCTCCGTAGAATAGATGAAACTTACCAAAGTTCTCCGAAGCTTCACAATCATTCCCCTTACACTTTTTCTTTCAAGTTACTCTTCAGAGTATGGAGTCAAACCGATCCCTACGTGAAAGATTCACGTGTAGCATTTGTGGAAAGGATTGTGGTAATAGTGAGTTAATCCCTCCATCAAAGATCGCAAGAAACAACAAACTGAGTATGCAGAGAAATCTCAGCTTCGTCATATCTCTTATTGTAAAACGGTAAAATCTCGCGGTGGTGTAAGATCAAGGAAACGTGCTTGCTCAGCTTGTGCCAAGTCTAAGACGCAATGCGATTTAATACATCCAAGCTGCTCACGATGTCTAAAGAAGAGCTTAAGCTGTATTTATGAAGGACTTCACTTGCCGAGAGGAAAAATGCTAGAGCCAGAAGCAAAGAATCATGCCGATACTGATGCGGATGAGATCGAAGAAGTGTCTTTGATTTTATCTTTATCACAAGACGTCGCTGCACCGGTCTTGCTGGATACCCATGAAGCCGGTATGATTTCGAGCGCATTGCAGATTTGGGATGTTATCGCCGAGGATACCTTGAATCTCGAACTACCAAATGAAGATTGGAACCTCGATATTGAAGAATGTATCTTAGAGCATATGGATATTTCAGTTTTCAGCAAGCCTACAAGATATTCCCCACGACTGTTACCAATAGATACGTCCCCTGTTTTCGCGAGCTATCAACCGGAAGATAATGGTTCATACTCTAGACTATACAATCAGCCGGTACCCAACGCCCCAAAAGCATTTGTACTTCGAAAACTGTCCAATAATCAATTTTCCCTGAACAGAAGCTACATATTGTGCACTTTACCGACCTACCCCTCAATGCTACTTCCTAGTAATGACGATGGACTTCCACCATTTATTCACCCTCATTTCAACAACCGTAAAGCGCTTCCCGCACCGCTAGCTACATGTGCTAACCTCATACAATGGATAAGTGTTAAGAACGAGGATAACGTTTTGTTCATATGGGGGTGCATTAGAATGGAGATTGACAGAATATGTACCCAGGTTTGTTCACAAATCAACTTTAAATTGGGTGTACTCTAAATGAAAAAAAATGCTAGTATACAACATACAATAGTGAAGATTCCGTCGCCGCTCTTCACGCCATAACGATTTATTTTCTACTTCGAATTTCAGAAGATAATGAGAAGGCAACTAATTTTGATGTTCCACTAATTTCCACAATGATTGTAAGTAAATCTCATTCGCATTCTTGTTATCCGCGATGCTCTCATACCGTCACACTAATGAAACGATAGAAAGTTTCGATGTACGTTGCTCACCTGGCAGAAGACCTCCAGAATGAGGGTGTCCCATCGTGGAAAGAATGGGCACTGGCCGAATCCACACGCCGGTAAGTAGGTCAACTGTTTCCAACATTTAGTTTATCAAGAGACCTACCGCTGCAGAATTTTATCTCACTAACTCGAATATATCATACTCAGCACAATTATCATACTATTCTTTATCGACCTTTTCTTTGATGTCTCCTCCTCAGTCCCGGAATATCGCTGCGACGGAAATCGCCTAAAATATATGACTCTACCCTGTTCTCGCAAACTCTGGAGAGCGACTACAAATGAAGCGTGGGAAAATGAGTATACAAATTCAATGAGAGGCATACGGCTTACGTATGGAGATCTGATAAATTCTCGAACTAGGCCTGAGGATCGGAGATTAGATGGGTGGTTGTCTCAGTTGGATGAATTTGGAATGCTGGTTTTGGCTGCGGCAAGTTTGACTTCGTGAGTAGTGTAAAAGGAGAAATATGTGAAAGTAGGAGAGAAAGTGGAAAGGATACAGAGGATAAGAACATTAGAATAAAACTTACTATACTCAATGAAAATACCACGCATTATTATTCTCTAAATCTATCTACTACTCTTCCATTCTCACGTGAAGTGTTTTTGACATTTTATCTATCGAGTCACTATGTAGAAACAGATCTCGAGGACTGGTTGAGATCTCCACTTTCAAGAGAATGATAAGCTGTAAAATCGTTCAAATGTAATAAAGCTACCCATCACTCAATCCATGACAATCTAGCTGTCCAGCTCGGTAACCTTCAACAAGCGCGACCATGTACCCAACATATCAGTTGTATTTCTCGGTAGTCCAATATGGCGACTGCGGGCTCTTAGAAGCATAAATTGCATCTATCGCTAAGCTTCATAGTTGTTGAATGCCCATGCCCTCCTTGAATTCAATGGTACGGGACTCGTCTTGGCCATCTTCGAATGCAAACACACCCAAAAAAAATAGTTCAAGCATACCAGCATTTGCCTGTGCTATGTTAAAAGGTGTGCCTTTCATATTGATTTCATCTGTTAGACGGAGCAGCTCTGTCGTAACCTTCCGATTGTTCTTAACGCGCTCCAATACTTTCATGCTTCCTAATCTACGTTTGAAGTTTGCGACGACTACAAAGGCATCAGGTGAATATTTAGCTGTTCCTCTGATCTCCTTGAAAACTGGACATTCAAGGATTTTCGAAGATATATGGTTATGATACTCGCAACAGGTTGTTGACGAACTGTTCCAATTCTCGATAATTTGTGGTTCCGATATCAATGAGTTGATTTTATAATTTTTGGCAACTGGAACTCCAGGAAACAAGCTTTCCCAATGTTCCAGTTGTTCCGGGCGAAAGGGTTCGAGATACATCTTTGCCAGCTTAGAGGGTCTGGATTGAGATGCGAGTACTACCATCGAGTTCAAGAAACGGATGAAGTAACGCAAGGGTCCTGGAAGCTCTTCTATACCTCCTAATTCATCATATGAGGATGAGAATGTTTCCTCGATACGTGTAATCCATTGGGGCTGTACAAGTCTGACATGTCCGTCCTTGATTCTGAACCATGTAATAAGGTAGTTCGTGACAAAGTCTTGTAGAACGAAAGCACAGTACTTATGAGCCAAGCAATACAGCTCTACCCTAGTATTAACGGACGAATAGGAAGTGTTTTCTTCTGGCATATCGATTCGATTTGTATAACACCATTCGACCAATAACTCGAATGCGTTGAAGTTATCCTCCGGTAAGTCTATGACTTTGGAGGTTGCCTCACTAAAGTTCCCCCGGAGCATGGCGTCGAAAACTTCCAGCTTTTCGCATATGACATTTTTGTGCACTTGAATAGGCTTAAGTTCATCACCTACTCGCAAGATGACGAGTTCATCGCCAAGAAATCTGTTAAAAAAAAAGTTAGTTTATTTCGCATGATACTGGCAATGATCATAGTTGAGCATGCTGAGACTTACTTTGAAAAGTGTTTGGACTGTTTTGATATGGGGGAAGGGTTTGCGCCATTGGCAATTTTTCTTCTGGTACTACGTTGACAGGAGGACATGGCGAGGAGATTTCCTCAAAGGGCTGGAATCAGATGAAATTGGCCAGTAGAGAAATCAGTTCGCGGCGAGAGCGAAGTCAGTTGCAAAGGGAATCAAAAAGATGACGTGCTTTCATATGGTAATCCGACAAATTTTGGTATAAATTTGATTAAAAAGTCGATGATCTCGAAGTGGGTGTTTATGAAGTGGAAGTTCTGAAGAAGTCGAATTTTGTGAGAAGGGGGATTTAAGAAGAACTTTAAATAACTTAGCTTGTGATACAATGGCCGTATAGAACGCGTAGAGTGAAAATTGGATGCCGTGTTTTCATCTGTAACTGTTGTAAAGTTCAAAGCAAAGACCGTACATGATGGCCTCGGTACGACTGTCATTTCAGTCGCTCACTGAAGAAGCCATTGGTTGCGACTAGTAGAATTTTGACATTATACAATAATCTCATGTTACTCATCCGGTGAGAGAGGCGGTGAATTATAAGTGATAAGCGGTGAGATTTAAAATTGATGAACGTTGAAAATGAACAAATTTGCAGTTTTGGCTTCGTTGTCATTAAGAGTATACGGCCCCTCTTCTCTAGATTCGATGTGTTATACTCCTAACGAGCTGAACTGATGACAATTGTCAAGGCACCAAATTGTCTGATACCTTCAGCCATAAAATATCAGATTGACAAGCACACTAATGATCTCAAAGAAGCTTTCGTTTGCTTTCTTTGCTGCCAGCTTCCAGGGCTTTAAAGATAATGACCCAAGGTTGAAGGAATTATAATAGAGCTGTGCATATGTATATGTACTTATTGGGGATAAAAACCAATGCCGATATACCAATTAATTGAGATTAACTTCCCTTGAGGACTCTTGTAATCATCATAGCACTTGCTATCCCACCCGTTCCCAATTTGAAAATGTTCATAGGTTACATGAAACAATTACAACTTTGTACTGTCAATGCTCAAGTGATATGCTCTAATCGATCAATCGGTTCAACAAGTAGGAAAAAGGAAGGGAAGCATAAATTCCAATGGATTTAACATCCTGATTGATATTGCTATGAGTGGATATCTTGACAAGGTGCAAAATCTCGTAGATGTATTCGAATTACTCGATGAATTGATGTTGAGGTGGAAATGGCACTTCGATGCTTGGCCTGAAGAGAAGAGAGCCTAAAGGGTAGTCGCGCTAGCGGCCGTCTCGCCGAGTGATGCATGGTCAATGCTCCGTTTGTGGAACCAGACTGACAACTTTGACATTTGACATTTCTCCATCTACACCAACCTCAAGCCATTCTGGCTGTCTTTGATACTCTTACTGAGGAAAGTCCGTGTGTCTTTGCTTTTGAATAAATTCAGATGATAGTCTAACATCTTCATGAGTTGGCAGACCTGGATCTATATCTTCCTTTACAAGCTGGATGGTCACTGCATCCCGTCAGGTCTGAAATGAAACCATGTTTCATCAATGTAGTCGACCTGAATATGATGCATCCAATTCATCGCATACTTCATATTTTCACACAGAGCATTCGGATTACTGTTGCGCCGTCACCGGCCTCAGATTCTTCGTCCAGTTTCAGTTTCTTGCTGGTGAAGCTAGCGGTCAGACCTCCTCGCCACGTCTTTTTGCCCACCATCGCATGTTTCGCCTTATATGGAAAGTCTTTACCTTATCCTTCATCATGCATAGCAAGAATGCCATTTCCAGTCCTAAATGATTGCAGTAGCGTCATTTTCGATCTGATTTGCGAGGTGCGGGTAGATCTGATTGAAGTACGTTTTTGTTTCCTCTAGATACCTGGGTAGTCAGCCCTATGAGCTATATCGATGCCGCTTAGACGATAATCGGCTCGCATGGTAGAAGATTTAGTTAGTCTCTATGACAAGATTAAAATGCGCTGCTCTGAGGTTACCCTTGTTCCGTTTGCAAAGACATAATTTGTACCTCGCGCATCGCTTCCGTTGCGGTCTAGTAAAAATCCCAATTGCATAACAGCTCCAGTTCAATCGTCTGAAGTTGTTAACTTACAAAACAACTAGTAAATCCCATATTCGCAATCATGCCTCAATCAGATTAATTTGAATATTCGGATTGAACTTGAGGTGAGCATTCTCGTTACAAAATTACCCTATGAAACAAAGCTTAAGTAAGGTGTTGTAAAAACAGCCAATCGGGTACAATGCTGCGAATCTAAATCAGGAGGCTCAAGGACGGATCAAGAAGATTCGGACGCAAGTCCAAGTGGAGTACGTTCCATATGTTCTTCCAAGCTTTAGTGTCGATGCTCCACATTGGCATATATATACAATCTGCGGGGAAGCATCATTCCTCCCTTCATCAATCACTTTCTCTAATCATTTTCATCTGATCGCAATTTTAGTCACTTTCTCAAAGTTGACAACACATTCATTTCATACCTCAAAACATTCTTTCCACGTTGATCGTGTAACACGTCTCCTTTATTTTTCTTCTTTTCACGCGCAGGACGAATAACGAACACTATCTTTGACCCGATCAATTAAACATTATTTCCCATTTAAAGCCATGAAGTTCACAGCAATCTCAACTTTTCTTCTTGTGGGTCTTGCATTTTCAGACAGCGCATTAGGCTATGCATCTCGTCATGTACATCGTCGTGCATTAGGACCACATGCGAGTAACATTGCTCCATCTCCGTAAGTCATCACTGATGGATATAAAATGATGTATAAATTGACGTTTAAACAGAAAAATTGTCAACTTGAACAATGCCCCAGTACCCACCCCTCTCGCACTTCTCCCACGCCAGAACAACACCAACAATGGCGCCACCGCACCCAACATTAACGCACAATTAACCTTGACTGCCGTTCCCGCCAACACAACCACGGTTTTAGTCTCCTCAACTTCAACAGGTCCCGCACCGACCGGAACTGCAGCGGCCGTGGGAGGTATTCAACCTCCAAATGTCGAAACGACAACTGATCCAGATCGACCATTTTCTGTGAATGGAAACACCTTTACGGATATTGAGGATGCTGTTGATAGGTCATGTGCAATTCAGCATAATGCTTGCGCGGATGCGATTAATAATGGGGAGTTGTCAGATGTGGAAATTAGTGATTGCGATAATCAGCTTTCAAAATGTGTTGCGGCTGGTTAAAAATGAAACATTAGTTGGCTGCGAAGTGGCGTGGAGTGAAGAGAAGGAAAAGACTTTGAGAGTTTATAATAGTTGAGCTATCACTGTTTAGTTTCCCTTTAATAATGACCACGATATATCCTTCGGATGCCAGTACAGTGTTTTTACTGAATGTGTATGTATTATCCGTAACGCGTTCAACCGAACCTAGATATTTCACCTAAGTCGTCTGGAATAGGATGGCCGGGTTCTAGAATCCTGGGAAATGAGTCTAGCGTTATTCAAATCGGAAAGTCAGTTGAGTTGATTCTCATGCTTATAGGAAAGATCATTACCATCATCTCGGCAGGAGTTTGCAAGATATTGCGTCTCTCTGTAGGCTTCTTCCAGATTAGGTTTTGATCGTTCGGGGTCGGAATTGTGATTGAGTATTAATGAGAGGTCGAAAGATTCATGTTCTGGTACTCATAGAACTTGAGTCATCCATGATTATAAAATCGAGCAGTATTATCATTGTCTCGTTGAAAGGATGTGGGACTCGACAATCTTGTCATTCAAAAATTTGAAAGATCTGGCGGCAAACATTCCAAACCTATAGTAACTTGTTGGAAAGCTTTAGAATGTTTTTGCACAAAGAGAAAATTGTTTGGCGATTTTTTGATGCTTCCATAGATCTAGAAAAAATGCAGAAAGTTAAAATCTGAGGTAATGGCAATCTGAATGTCGAGGACTTTTGGCCCTAGCAGAACAGATCCTCGACTTCATGATAGGGGTCATGAGGCCCTAACTACACTAAATTTTGTTCACACTAAGTGTACAGCACCGTGTAATTTTGGTTAAATACCTCGAATCTCAATTCATCACAATCACAAATTTCCCGCCCTTTCTTTGCGATGCCTTTTCATACGCTTCAACACCATTTTCAATCCCAATCTCTGTCCATGATCCTTCTTCTGCTCCTTTCAACGACCCTTCTTCGAATTTACTAGTCAGTTCCTTCAATTGAACCGCAAGATCCTCGACACCATATGCCAATGTATTGCACCCTACCAATGACTTTTCCCCTCGATAAAAACTCAACATATCTAATGTCAGTCCCGTATCAGCGCCACCCCTAGGTGATGCAATAAACGCTAATCTACCTCCTCTCGCAAGCTTATTGACAGCAGCCTGTACCAAAGCAGGCTGACCTACAGTATCCGCCACAATATCCACACCTTTTCCATCCGTCAAATCATCAACGGCATTGAGTTCTGGATCAGTCGCAGTGTTGACGTCATCATTATCGCTTCTAGTAGCAGATATCACTCGACAACCCATACACTTCGCCAATTGAACTATTGCCGAGCCAACAGCACCATTTGCGCCTGTCACCAATACCGTCTCGCCTTTCTTGGCATGTGCCCGCGAAAGTACAAGGCTTGCAGTCGTAAACGGAACGCCAACACAAGCTGCCTGAGTAAATGAGAGTCTAGCGGGCTTCGGCGCAACAGAATTTTCGGGAACGAGACAATATTCGGCTTGGAAACCGTCCTGGGTGAAGGCGATTGTGTTCCCACTGGTACCGTAGACTTCTTGCCCGATTCGATCAGATGGGCCTTCCACTACAATTCCCGAAAAATCACGACCTGGAGTTCGGGGAAATGTGGTATATGGAAAACCACCTTTGGAATTCAGAAGGTCGCTTGGATGAATTGCCGAAGCGTGGACTTTGATGATGAGGTGGTTTGGTATCAATGTAGGCTTTGGGACATCCTGGAGAACCAACTTGGGTGCTGCTGCTGGATCATCGCGGATAAGTCGAAGTGCTTTCATTGTGGTACTCATGATTTTTTGAGTCTGATTTGAGATGATTCGATATGACATGCAATTAATGCTGAAATGGGAATTCAAGAAAGTAATACTTTTGATGTGCTTTTTGTAGAGGCTCCGAAATCCTGCAGCTCGATTATTAAGAAGCTACTAATCACCCGACATGCCCCATTCCCTATGATTTAATTTTTCCTGGTGCATTAGACAAGTATTAGACAAATACCAATTATGATAACAATCATTAGACACTGGGTGTTGATATTTCAACTGTTGCTCTTCATCGGGAATTGGCGGGGTAAAAATCCGGTATGGAAGGTTACGGAACATTAACCCCTTTCCGCAATATCCGCAAATAAATTGAGGGGTGCTCGGGTAGGTGCACAGCGACGGGTAAGTATTCAGGTTTGTAAATAATACATCACGTTCATTCTGGTCACTCATATTATTAATTATTTGAGAGTATCAACTGAATATTGATCTACTAATAGATATTGACAAATGTTCCGTAGAATATTAGTATCCATGCCGCTGATTCCCAACCTTCCTATTATCTAGCGTTTATCACGCTATCGAAATACCAGATACAACAAAGTTCTTTGCAGAGGCTTCCCTTGCTAATCGAATTCCCTTTGATTTTTGCTTCACTCCATCAACATTTCTCCAGTCACCCGTCTACCATAAGACCCTGAAATTAGGTTGGGCAAAGGAGAAGCCAAACTGCACAGAGACCAGCACGAACAGGACCAGGGCCTCCCTCTCTAAATTCAACAGCTTCCCCGTCGTCTTCATTATCCTCCATCATATCCTTTTAGGCACCCTGGAATCCAGTAATGCCAAGGGCCTCGAAACCAAGCTCTTCAATTGTCTGAGCGGATGTGTTAATCTCATGCTCTAAGTTTAAATGCTCTGTGTTGTCATTTGTCTTCTGGTGAGAGCAAGTAGTTGGGGTAAAAGCCGCAGCAAGAGCGAGTGCTTCGGCCACGTTAATCTTGGGTGCGATGCAGGTGGGCTTGTTCAACTCAGGATTTGACGGTGTACTACATGGGGCAGGGTAGAAGCCTGAGATACTCAATGTTCTATAGTAAACATGATTGCATGTTCTGATAGAACAGACATGTTCATATTTGAGTTTATTTCTAGGTTCACCTTTGGGCTCCACTGTAGAAGGCTTCTTGGTAGGTTTAGAATCTGCTGGATTGTCATTGATGCGACAGAAGCCATCGATGCTGAATTTTTGGTAGTAAGCATGACTGTATGAGTGGACAGGACAAGTATGTTCATGACCAGTTTCCTTTGCCTTAATATCTTCTTGTTCATCACCAGTCTTTTTGACCCGCTTGTCCTCTTTGGGAAGCCCCTTGGTTGGTGGTAGAGAAGTGCAGGCAATGGGGTGAAAGCCACAAATGCTGTATCTTTGGTAATAAGCGTGATTGCGGGTGGTAATGTTAGAGTTATCAATGCCAGTGGATGAATCGTCAGGCTTTGAAGTTCTATTTGGTTTAGGAGCTATGAAGCTAGGGCTACAATAGTTTCTTGAGTGGAAGTGTATGAAGCTTCTACCCATGCCAGTAGGTGTGTTGAAAGATGTACGAGCGGCCATAGGACGTTTATTTGAAGCTCTCTGCAAAACAACATTGCGTGAAGGTAGGGATTTCATAATTACATATGTTCTGCTGATCGACTGGGGTGAAATGCCCTCCATGCTGAGTAACATGTCGGGGACTTTGGTAGATTTATTGTTTATTGATCGAAATGTTGTGATACTTTCTTGGTACTAGAAGGTCAAGGAATTGAATTGTTATAAAGAAGAACAATAATTCACGATTAGATTATCTTATAGACTTTATAAAGATGTGAAGTTGAAAGGAAGATGGTTGATAACTAACTGCTACAGCTTCCTTTTTACGGCTTAACTAAAAAGAGAGTGTGATTGGAACATTTTAACAATCTTGTAATATGATGGATAATATATAAAAGAATTGACTGTGGTGTAGTCCTTGTTGTATCGGTTGAATGAAGTGAAAGAGATAGGAGCAACAATCATTCACTATATCGCTTGATTCGCAAAAAAGTTTATTTTCGGAGAGAAGCTTTCGAAGAATATTCCAAAACGAGCCAAAAGCAATATAGACTAGTATCATGTGGTAAATAAGAACTCTGGAGGTCAATTGATTTAAGTTAAACCAAAAAAGAAAGAAGTGATGAAGAAAGGGGGTTCTAGGTAGTTGCAGCAGGTGCGCAAAGACTTCGCAGTGAATTACATTTAAGTAACATGATGTGATACGATAGTGCTAATAATACCCAGTACAGCTCAGATAATACAGCTCACTTCCTTGTGGACGAATGACAGTCGATTAATTTGCAATTTGTTTCAATCTACATACAATGTGCTTAACAAACTCCTCCACAATCCAAAAAGATATCCGCAAACAGTTTCTTTCAAAGCTGAGTTGATGCTCAACGATGAGTAAAGCCAATGGTATAAATGTAATAATAAGCAATATGTGCAAAGAAAACAATAATGACGCCCAAAATCCAGCCAAAATTTACAAAATTCGCTATCGGCCAATCGTTCAGCCACCAATAAAAAACAGAAAGCATTATATTCCAAGTATGTATTGCAGGGGAGGATTTTCTGCAAACTTCCAATATCCCCAACACCTCAAACTAATATTCGTCCGCGGAAAAGTGATTCGGTTTGCTCGCTTGGTCGTCTAAATAAATTAGGGCTGGTATCTTCCACTCAGGGCAAAACTCTCTCTGGAATTCTTTCGTCATTTTCTGGTAAGTTTTGTCGATAAGTTCGAAATTCACCTTTTTCTGAGCGTCAATCTCCGTTTGGTTGCCGTCTTTGGTGCGCGAGGATACGTCCTTTCCGGTGGTGGGTACAGATAAAGTCTTCAACTCTGGCATTTTGGAGAGGATCGTGAAGAATTGCTGAGTGCGACGTTCGATTTGATCGATTGAAGAATTATCGATTCCAAGAAATCTGCGGAAGAAGAATCCATTGAGTACGAGGTGGTTGACTTTGAGAGAAGATAGTGGACTGCTTTCTCCGAAGTCTAACCATGAAGCCCAAAATTGAAGTGGGAAGAATAAGTGTAGGGTGTCGGACTGCTTGTTGAAGGGGAAAGATCCAAACATGGCTGTTTTTCTCATGTGCCTTTGAACTTCCTCCATCGCTTCGTGATTAACGAGAAGTGCAGGGATGCTGGGAGTTTCAAAGACACCTTTCATGGGATAGAGACCACCATTGTTTTTCACCTGAACGGCAACGTCTTTTTGGAAAGTATAGTTCCATATCATACTTCTGATCTCCTGAGGAAGTTTTTCGAAAAGGTGAAACTCGGTAAGTGGTTGTGTTGCTTCTCCGTCGGAATTCGAGGACATGATTCTTTTTACTTCAATGGTAGTACGTTTGGTCTCAACGAAGTCTTCAGAAGTAATTGATCTTCTTCTTTTGACTCCTTGTCCTTTTCCTGAACGGTTCATATCGCTAGATTCCTGGAAGAACATCTTTAGATATTGATACGTTTAACTTTATGAGTAGAAGTAATAGATTTAAGGGGTATGCGTAGGATGTCGAAAAGATTTGAATGAAGGTCGCAAAAGTATAAGTGTAAAGATTAGATTAAAGATGATGTGTGTTATTATTTGATATCAGAGATATCAAAAGAATTATAAGTGTAGGATGAAGTATTAGGAAGCGTTGTCTAATATATCAGAGATGTTCGAACAAAGTGTAGGTGAGTGTAGGTGGCAAGCTGGGTACTGGAAAGATCAGAATGAAATGACAGGGGGACAGACTTCAAGTTTATAGGATCTCAAGAAACTAGATCGACACTTCCATAGGAAAATTCTGTCTAATCAGTACGTACTATTTCAAGTCCTAATGCTTAATTCCATATTGTAGCCTTTTCTTGGTACATGATTCCAGCTTGGGAAAGAGCTAATTCATGCTCTAAACGTCTATCTTATACGATTATGCTTTCTTGTCACAAGCTATTTCATATCCTAATCCTTAATTCATACCACAATTCTACTTTTTCACATAATTCTGAGCAAGCTTACTCATATACTACTCCTCAATCTATATACTAGTAGCCCTAATTGTGGAGTAATTCGATTTTAGACCCGAGCTATAGATGACAAGCACATGCTAGTAATGCTAATCTAGATTCATTCTAGAAGCCTCTCCTCCCCACGATTTATTTTTGGTAGCTTTTACCACACAGGTTTTGTGAATCGTTATCTCTTGATGGATTGAACAAAGCTGTCATTCAATACAAACCACTTCATAAGTAATGATATTGGATGTAATAACTTCTCGATACATTATGCAACCTTCATGGCTGGATTACTAAAATGGGAAGCATATTTCATAAATTTCATGCGATCTACATTGCTCCTCTTCATGTGCCACCAGAAATACCAGAGACGCTAAAACACAAAGTCCACCATCATCCAAGATTTCTTGAAGATCTTTAGGTTTCCGAAGCTAATTTGGTTTGTATTGGCTCTAGAAAAAGAGCAAGATCTGGCCAAGGATATTTTACTCCGCGATTCAAGAGAATTCATTATATCCCTCCATTCTCAAGTCCATAAATGGTCCTTTGGCCCAATCAATAGTATCCAGCCAATCTAAGTCGTCCATGACCATCGGTTCGAAATCAAGATTTGATAACGGAAGTGTAGTAGAAGTGGACGCTTTGGGAGTATTGGTACTCTTAGGGGGATCAAGAATCTTATCCAAAGTCCTCTTGACAATTTGACGCATTCTTCCACATAATTCATGATTCGCGGCTGTCGGTCTTACCCAATCCAGGAAGCCGACCAGTAGACTAAGGTTTTGGATTACTTCTGATCGGGGCAAGTAGTATGCTGGCTTAGCTGCGTGATTTTCCATCTCTTTGATGAGTTCAACACATATGACGCCTGCTGATGGAATTCCGTAACACATGATCTGAAAAGTTTGTTAGCTTTTCCTAGCATAAACTAACAACCGTGAGTCACTACTTACAATCCAGTCATAGTCAGAATAATAGGTCAGAAACCGATCTTTGGAAGTCCACATTGACACCGTTAGTGCCAAGAGTTGTCTCGAAATGTCAAGCAGTGGCTGCTTGTCACCCTTGACTTTTCTGACGAAAACTTGTTCCAAAATAAATGAGCACTGAAGACAATTGAACTTAAGTGCAGTCTGTATCCAATGGGTAGTTGTAGATGAGTTGGTTGGAGTAGAGCTTGAAAGACGAAGCCATGGTGGAAGCCGCTCCTGAATATTCTCGTTTCGTTTTCGTAGGTCCCTAATCTAATTAGACACTGAATGGCTTCTCGGAGCTCTGCTTACATTATACGAGCTTCGGAGAATTGGTTGACAGTCCGAGTGAAATCTCGAGTATTTCATCTATGATCTCACCATACATCATCGATGCTCGAATTCTCGAGGAAGAATATATGTTACCCTCTCTATTCCAACCGTTCTCATCCAGCTTCCTCGCTGCTTCTTGAAGAGTCTCTTTTCCAGCCAGAAGAAGCTCATCTTCGAGATCAAGAGGTAATGGACATGAATTATAGCGACGGCTCAAGCCAGGAGGCCTACCAGTGAAAATCGATAACGTTTTATCGTTGACAAATATAGCAGAGAATATACGCCTCTTGATCTCTAGCGAAGTCGTAACTCCAGCATCGGGGCGAATGGCACAATGGTGAAGGCCTAGAGCTGTAGCAAGATGAACTTTGTCGCCCTGTCGTCTCCATAATTTGAAGGCTGTAGCATCATTATCAGCAACACATTCATCATCGTTGACCAGAAATAAATAAGTCTTACACATATCTCCTATGATCTCACTCTGAAGTGTGTTTGTTTTCCACAATAAACTCAGCATAAGAATGTTACCTATGTCCATCTTACTACATATTTCTACACAGCCCTCGGCACACTCATACATTTCTTCAGTAAAAACAAGCCTCTCCTTTCTTCTACCTGACTGTGTTTCAAAAAAAGATTCTTGTTCCTTGTCTCGCATACCAGCAGCCCGATGTCCCAGTACGCAGAATAGTATACCCAGAATTTCCCACCTAAAGTTCATACCTGACATTGAAGATAACCAGGCATCTCCATCATTAGCCTCAGGGAATTCTATACTGGTATTTTTGCTTAACAAGTATACTACCTCTTTGAGTCTTTCTGGCCTCCTTGGATGTCGTAGACTTTGACCGAATGTGGACCATAGGGATTTCATACAGTGTAGGATAGTAGGCTTGTGGAAAGCGTACTCTATTGATTTTAAATTATAATTTTCCATAAGTGACTCACAGGTAACTTGGTCAGGAAGTTGACTCAAAATTCTCATTCCCAAAGATATTTCTGCAGTTTGTTGACCATTCGTGACTATAGATAACGTGGGGGGCGTCGTTATCGAACCTGAAGCAAATGCATTTTCTCCCTCATCATCGACATCCGACACGAGACCATTTTCGTTATCAAGAAAGGGTGCAGAAAAACTCGTGGGACCATAGAACCCAAAGACTTTTCTTGATGCTGCAGCATGATCTATCCGTGAATCTATAGAGCCAGAAGTTTGCGGCGACACTATAGAGTCGTTCGTGATATCTCCGACGGGAAGAGAAGGATTGGATATCGAGTGTTCAGAGGAAGGACCATGACTAGGAGGATGCGAGGGCACATATATACAATTTGCAGCGGCACCTTTTCGTTGACACCTCAAGCAAATGGGAGTTGTATGATCACAGCGTGTTTTTGCCTTTCGACAAGGTTCACAAGCTTGATCCTTACGTTTCCTACGTCGGGGGTTGGAGGAATTGGAGGGAGGTGAAGTTATCATTGACATTAAAATTAAGTTGGAGTTGAAATGGGGATGTATTGTTTGAGTTACAAAACAATAAAACCCTGATTAGTATTTAGGCAGTGGTTTTGATAAGTTAAGAAAATACTATGGGAAAGAGATGTTTACGTGAAGGCACCGATAGCACGGACGATAAGATCAAGAGCGACCTCGGCGCTTACGACGAATTTGTCTGACAGCAGCAACGTCATCATCATAGTTAGGTATTCAGGAAATCGCAAGATATTGCCTGAGTATATAATTCGAAACTTTGCCTTCAAGATGCTGTAAAGATAGGTTTTGCCGAGATTCGAATAAAGGGGCATCGAGGTATCACAATACCGACTAATTTCTATAATGGTAGCAGTACCACTACCATTCTAGAAATCTGCTGGCCAAGAGTTACTTTTGAGTCAATGCTCAGTTCTACCTCTACGGGTATGACGACATGAACTTAAGACATCTACGAGTAGTGATTATAGATACGTCTTTCTTCACAATCATGAAACTGCAAGGGAGAATCAGCCTAAGTACAGAAGTCATATTTCCGAACGCCTGTACTTGTAAAGTCACGAGAATTTAAGACCAACGACATAGACTCCCACTTTTCATATACAAGAAGAGTTGAGGATTAATCTCATGCTCTCATAATAAAAATCACTATGTTTCAGAAGCACCGGGATAATAATTAAGTTCATAATTAAGTTCTATACTCCACTCTTTAAATTTCTCTTGGAATTGTTAGTGTTCCTCTAAACGATCTTTCGGCGGCTAATATACAACTCTCGTAAGTTTTTCCTCGCGGCTCATCACATCATCATTAAAAATCTCAAGGTATGAAGTATTCTCAATGAATTCAATGTAATGATATCAGTATACAAAACCTCCCTGCAAAGGTCTCCTTTAATGGGTCATCATCAAAAAACCCAATGACCATGATAGAAGACCCAACTGTCCATCCCTACAACCATCTGCAAATATTCGCCAAGGTCCTATAATTCTCCACGCGCAGAATCCCATTCAAATACTGCGGGTTTGTCTTGAAGAATTATTCCCATTTCTAAAACTTACAGCCTGCGATACTCCTTCACCACGATCCGACTTTCCTCTAGCACATCACTTCATATACCTCCACGTGCGTGTGAATCCTTCCAAATCCGAGAATAGAAATCCGGGGTGAATTCTCGGGCGGCAAGAATGCTCTCACGAACCCCGTGCCTACGACCTAAAATTGCGTTGAAAATATTTAAATGATAATTACCATCTATATACGCAAAAACGCGAGAGATTTTCAAAACTCCACTTGTCTTTCTGATCATTCTATCCTTCTACCCAAGATTTCCATCTCATTTTGAAATTTCCGACATCGAATACCCAAGTGGCCAAGTCCAAAGCTCTCCCTCCCACAAGTGCGTAACGCCTCCGGTCACCTTCCCGGCCATTCCATCATTCCCAACGCTTCATCCGTTATACACAGTGAGATAATAAAGGTGTGTTCTCGACTTTCTCGAATCATTAAAACAAACATTGTACATCTAATTCCCATCAATCCTCATGTCTCTCTCCACATCTCACACCCGTCCCGTGCGCCAGTTCTTTTCTGACTGTTACTGGAAAGTTATTTTTCTCGTCGTCGATATCATTGTAGAAAAATATCGATAACCAAAACCAAAATGGAGAGCTCCTCGCGGAATACTACGGATTTTGTGTATTTCTACGGCCAGAAAATGAAATATACAGATGAAGATACCTCAAAACGTAAGATTCTCTTCACATCTCCATCTTCATCTCCATATTATCAGAACCCCATTCCCACTGATTCCTCCTCCTAGAATCACCCCAAGACACCACTTCTACTTCCACTTCCACACCCAATTCGACCCTCAAATCCTTATCCTCATCCTCATCCCCCAAATTTCCCAAATACCCCAAGCCCTCCACATCAGAATCAACAACATCACAAGCCTCAATCTACCCCTCAACCCCTTTCTCCAATTTTCCATTCTCGTCAAATAGATCCGGGACAGCCCCCAAAATATCAATCACAACAACTATCGGTTCCATGATCTCGAATCATCAGAATCGGAATGTGGGACTTTCGCTTATGACGAGAGATTTGGTGGCCAGTCCCGTTGAAGATTTTATCTTGGGGAGTCCGCTGGACGGGTTCATGTAAATTTCTGAGGGAGGGCTTGTTTGCTTTGTGGATACTAGCATTTGGAAGAGGATTGGAGCTTTCATTGGGATTGGGTATTTGGAAGGGCGGGGGGTTTCTATGTATATATGTGATTGTTAGTTGAGGGGAATTTCTGCCCGACTTGGATTTTGAGTAGGGGGACTTAGGAATTTTGAGACAATAGGGAAAAAAATGTATAGCGCATCTGAAAATGAGTATCAATACAGGGATATCGAATTATCAACATGAAACTTGATTGATTGGTTGCGTCATCATGCTTCTGACTTTACAGTCATTGCGGATAAGTAACTCTAAATCTTGTCGCACACAACAATAGACTGTGCGGTGATAGAACCAAAAAACAACCTCCCCGTTTTAGGGTCATGTACAACCGAAGTAGCAGCCGACAGAACACTCGCCTCAATATCCTCTAAAACTTTCGTAACCACATATTTCCACCCTCCATCCTCGGTATCAAATTTTCTAATCCTGAAAGCCGTAGCTGGAGTATTGATTGTAGGATCATCAATCGATTTTACCAGCTTGACTACATCTGGAAATGCGGCTGCCAGAATATCGCCATTAGCATCTACGGATAGATTGTCCAATGGCATTTGCAGATCAATTTCGTCAGTTTGAGTAAATGTATTGTTGGCTTCCAGAGCATAGACGGAAACTTTTCCTTTGATGGATGAGGCGACATAAAAGAGGCCATCTTGTCCTCGAACAATGCCATTGGGAAATCGATTGGAGGGACCAGAGTGACATTGATTGTCAGACCCACACACAGCGATATTTCCTCCTCCAATGAGCATATCTAATGAGCGAAGCTATATATTTGTGAGCAAGCCTGGACAAATGTATTAATGGTACAGGTCTACTTACAAGTCCGGTCTTAGTTGAATGATCATTAGTGACTACAAACCCACCATCTCCGGTTGCGGCAATGTTATTTGGCGTTTTAATGATTGGATTGGCAACGGTCTTGACAAATTCCAGTTTTTTGGTTCCAGGAACCAAGTCAAAGACTTCGACGGTGGAGTTCGCTCCTACTTTTGTAGCGTCGAGAAAATTGCCAGATTCATCAATTGCTGGCCTGTGATTGACCATCCAAAATCTCAATCGAGAATCAGACAAGAACTCAACATCAAACCCATGGACATCAATAGACTTATGACTATCCACCCCCTGATACCCTCCTGAAATTTCTAGCGTGTGTAGTCCAAAGAGTCCATCCTCTCCCGGCTCATCGATTTTAAGTACTGACACGTGATCTTCCAAGGTTCTTTGGGATACATTGTAAAGATTTCCCCTGGAAATTTTGTAAGTATGTCGTGCCTTACAGACATAGAATGAATATTGACTTACCCCGGACCCCAGCCCCTTCGACTTGCAACTGTCGAACATGCAGCATACAGTGTACGATCCTCGTGATCAAGAAAGAGATCTTCGCAAGATGCTAAAAGCGGATGCTCTACTCGTCGACATGTAAACGGATAATCTTCGAGATTGTTATGAATTCGTCCTACTCCGAAATTGAGGTACAACCAATCCTTCAGGATTGTTTGATAAAAGACAGCAGAAAGGACGGTCAGTGCTCCTAAAATGATTGTTTTGGAGCCCATTATTCCCAACTGTGAAGGTTCATTAATTTCCTCGGAAGCTATCGGTATGCAACCTTATATATAAAGTTTGCGGTTTTGGAAAAGAGTTTGTATCAAAATGTCTCGATAACATTACAGAAAGTGTCGTTGGGATTTCCCCCTGCTGACAGGGTGACAATCCTCAGCGGCTCAGACCCATATTTTACTAACGTGAGATGTAAGACCGTTGCATGTGCATTACTAATAAGTGATGCCAGAAGCACAAAAGCATGATAAAGCTTACCTTCCTGGTTAAATTAACTCGGTGGTAATTCGAGTGATTAGTTGAAGCTCAAAGTATCATGGATTACATGAATTGAATTGGATAGTAGGTAGATCGAAGTAGACACTTAATTAGGGACTCGTGAATGTGAGATAGCTGATTAGATAAGCTACACGTGACTGAGAGCGCTGAGACGAGCTAACTGTTTTGAGTTTGGCGCATCAATTCAAAGCGAGCTTTCATCGGAACCTTTGAAGTTACCCCTTCATCAAATGAATTATCGCCAGCATCAACAACTCTTGTGTCATTGTATCTTGTAGTTTTGTCGAAAATGTGATCAGGGAATCACTGTAAAGGATGACTCCAATTTATTGGTTTACTGGGCTTATGGGCCATCATTCTTCATGAACAACCTGCTTTCGAAAGAAGGATATCCACATAAACTTGTTTCTGCGTAATATATTCACTTCCAAGAATCAGTAAAACGTCATATGCAGCAACAAAGCATAACAGGACAGGTAGGTTGATGAGTATGGAAAGATAGGTTTGATTTGAATATATAAGAGATATTAAGATCTGTTTATTATTTTCTATTTCCTTCATTCCATCAACAGAACTCTTCTTCCGCAGAATAATCAATTACACCCATTAAAATCGCCCTCAAAACCAATAACATCCTCCTTTGAACTTCTAATACCACTTTCCAAACCTCCAATATGGCCAATACCCTTTATGTCGTCCTGGCGACCATCACAACAATCGTTGTTCTCGTTGGCGGTGCCTATGCCATGGGACTTCTCGACGATTACATCGAGGAACTGGGCGTCTTCGCATTTAAATTCAAGGCCAAGGCTGAAGCAAAGAAGATGGGTCTTCAAGGTCTTCAAGAAGGAACAGATTTCCTCGCAAGTAAGTAGCATCATGTCCCTTGCTTGTGTTTCCTCATTCTTCGGACCCTTCATAATTGATTAGTGCTAATGACATGTTTCTGTAGGTGACTTGAAGGGTAATCAACAAGCACAAAATGTTAGAGAAGGCAAAGGACCCATTGGCGGATTGAAGACAAACGGAGAGGGCCTTGCAAACGGGATCTTAGGAGGAGCCGACTCTTGTGGAGATGGTTTGGTTGGAGGATTGAAATCTGGTGGAGAAGGATTGACCGGAAAACTTTTTTAAGGATAAAATTTATCGACGGAGTCTCCTTTAGTGTGACGACGTAACGAACTATCGATTACGAATATTACGAAGTTTACGGAAAGAAAAGCGGTTGGTTTATGGATGCGGGGTTCAGTCGGATTGATTAGTTTCGTCAGTAAGAAGTCGGCTATGACTTATGATTTGTGGTTTCAGATGTAACGATGGGATGAACTGTAGTGATAGAGAAAATCATATCAAGGCGAGCGTGGGACGGCGTTACAATGCACAACAATCACACGATGCAGGAGTTTCCTCCAGATTACAGACCCCATCACCCAGTGACCAGTGAATCAATGCATGGCCCCTTTGGACCCCATCGTCAACATTCTCACTTGTGACCCTTTTTCCCCCTTTCAGATGCAGTTGACCGGAAATCAACGTCAGGTTCAAAACAATGCACGATTAGTAAAATCAATACCGATTCCACTCCCGAGAAGAAAGGGGCTCTACGTTGTAGGTATATATTTCGTATCTTGGGTCAACTTCTATGCTTCTTTGCATTTCCCATGGCAACACCAGGTACGAATTAGAGTACACAAGGAACTCTCTGTTAGCCACCTCATCTTGTCCCACCGAGCCCACTTCCCTCGTGGTAAAAATGGTAATCGTAAGCTTCGAGATTTATCGTCAAATTTTCGACATGTCTGGGTAAACAAACCTGGTGATGAAGTCAGCCCTTCCTGGACATCAAGGAACCCCATGTCTTTGGAATCTCAGAAACATTCTCTAGAACGAATACACTTACAACGCCCTTGATCACCCCTGGGTTATTCGGTGCTGAGGGATTCCATTGGTAAGGAAATTTCTTCCCAAATTTGTTTCCTTTTTCTGTAACGGAAAATAAATGAAAAATAAAATTGGAATGTTCCAAAAATATGGATAGATTGATATATGTCGCGAAGGTATTGTCGAGCGATTGGGGCCGAAATATCGATGAAGAAAATGTGATATCGAATTAGACTGATGGATTTTCAATTTAGCTGAATTTTGCTTTTTTTCTTCTTTCTTCTTGCTTTTCTTCCATGAACTTTCTTTTCCATCGAGTCGACAGAGCATAGCGTGGAATTAAGTTGAACCTTCCACTTCTTCTTTCTCTTTCTTCATTTCCTTCCTCCTTTCTTTCTTTCTTCTTCTGCATTTGTACTCCAGCTCCGACTCCCTTGGTTCTCCGAAACACGTCTACACGACAACACAACGCATGACATCAGTTTGTGTCCATTTGCAGCTTTCCCCAAGTCTTGCAGCGAAGGACTCCAGTTTGCATCGTAATCTTACCACCTACTCTTCCTAAATTCCGGTACTCTTCTGTATGCTCGGACATCATTATATTGTCCTTGGAACCCGCCCGCCCCTTCCGCAAACTTTCGTTCGAATACTTGGAATTGATTGGTGATTGGAGACCATCCTAGGAAGAAGCATCGAAAAGCAAAAACAGAAACTAGCAGGACGGTTACTCAGCCCGCACGCATCCAAGGGCTTGCAAGTTGGAACTAGGAACTTGGAACTGTACCTGGGTAACTAACCAAATACCTACTCGAGTAAGAGCGATTGTAAGACTACAAGACTACAAACAAGACTACAAGACTACAAGACTACACAAACTGTACCAACTTACTTCGTTCCTGTCAAGCCTCCATATTTCCTTCCGTAGATACCGTTCTGCTTAACTAGCACTTTTTAACAACGACCGATCACGATTCAATTTCACGACCCCAATCATTAATTGACCCTGACCTGATTTGGGACATTCTTATTTTTTTCTGCATGAAGAGGGCAAAGTCAAAAGAAAAGAAAAAGAATTCAAAACCCCTCAATCCCTCCTGGATTCTCTTGTTTTTTTGAAGAACGACAATGAAAGGGTTCTTCCTTTTGATCAGTCTGGAAATATAATTTATTGAGAATGCGACAAATTAATCCACATATCAATCCAAAAGTTTGAATGTTTTGATTAATAATTGTTTTATTCTTTATCCAATCCATACATACATGAGTAGGTACAGAAATCGAGTTTGCCGGCCAAGTATCTACCTACCTATCGACGCATAGACTGTCGTCATCAATCATCACATTTTCCCATCCCACCTCGAATAGCCTAAACGGAGGAACTTCTCGCACAACATACTAGGTATTTACGAAATCAACCAGACGAAAGAACAAAAATGCAAAGAGCAGTCTCATGGCTCCCATCATGGGACAGGACGAAAACCACCAGTAAGAAAGGTTTTGATAAGACCTGGGCATGGGCAGATAAACTGGGTGCTCCCGTCAATCGATTAACAAACAAAATTGGTTCCGAAGCTTTTTGGCCCGTAAGTTTTCCTCCCCTCTCGTTCACGTTCTCCAAAGTCTGGTTTCCAGATGCTGATGAAGACAAATAGACTTCTTTAGACAAGGAATGCGATAAAGCTGCTCGAATTTTGAAAACTTTCTGTAGTGAGTACTTTCGGCCTACTTCTCACTCCAATTCTTCTGAGTGCTCTCGCTGACATGACTACGTCGTAGAGGATGGATTTTACACCGAAGAAGATCGACCATCGACCCAAGTTGGTCCTAATGCGAATTCCAAACAAAGAGTTTTGAAGAAGATTCCACAAAAGGTTATTGAAAATGCCGTCGGTTTGGCCATATTCACAACTATGCGAACAGGCTTATGGATTTCGGGTGCCGGAGGATCTGGAATATTAATCGCGAGGAAAGAAGATGGTACATGGTCGCCCCCTTCTGGAATTCTTTTACATACTGCAGGTCTGGGCTTTCTGGTCGGCGTCGATATCTATGATTGTGTTGTTGTCATCAATAATCGCAAAACTCTCGAATCCTTCACGAAAATAAGAGCAACCTTAGGCGGGGAGATCAGTGCTGTCGCAGGTCCCATTGGAGTTGGAGGAGTTTTAGAGAACGATGGAAACTGGAAACAAGCCAATAAGCCAATATTCACTTACTTAAAGTCCCGTGGCTTCTACGCAGGTGTGCAGGTAGATGGGACGGTTATCATCGAAAGAACAGATGAGAACGAGCGATTTTACGGACAAAGAATTGGAGTTGCAGACATCTTGGCCGGAAAAGTTCGAAATGCACCTTTTGAAACGAAATTGCTTATGGAAACAATCAAGGCCGCAGAAGGCAAGCAAGATGTGGATACAAACTTGTTGGATCAACTGAAAGATGAACCATCACCTGGTGATGTGGATTTACAAGCTCCTACTTCGATGATACCAACCTTTGGCATACCTGAACCAGATGATCCGGACCCTTTCGGAGTATTGGCATTAGAGGATGCAGGATTCGAGATTCGCGAAGCGGGAACGAAGGCTCGACCAGTCAGTTCACAATTCGAATACAACCCATCTCCATCAAGTCCGATCTTCACCAGATTCAATAGACGAAGTTTCGACACTCAGGGTGCAAGGAGTAATAGAGAAAGTTACATGTCAGGGAAAACAAGGACAAGTACAGATCGAGGAACGCAGACTACTGAAATGGGCACACAAACAGACGATTCACTTTCGATCCGATCACCTCGCACATTATCACCAAGCACGAGCCCAAGTTACAGCGAAGACAACAAGATTATAGAAGAAGACGAAAAGGCAATTGTATTGGAACCGGAGGAAGTCGACTACACGAAAATTGATCTCGGACCATATCAGAGCTTGAACCATAGCCAAGAATTTGACGGTACGACAATGAACGGCAGTCCTCTCATTACCGAGGAAATCGATGAGAGACGAAAAGATTCAAAGGATTCATTCAACTCGATGGATGATCTCTCAGACGACGATGAAGATTTCGAAGAAGAGGAACCTGTAGTTTTCGAAGCTGCTTCAGCACAAGCTACAGTCATTACACCCCAAGCAATCAAGGCACGAGGTGGTGTTGTGAACATCCCGAAGAGAGGTCCACCACCGCCATTACCCCCAAGGAATTCATTGAGGAACAGCAAATTTTCTATGACTACCCCAAACAGTGATAGAAGTCCATTGAAAGAAGGCTTTGAAGAGGTTGATGTACATGGCGTTGAGAGTAACAACATCAAGAGAAGTAGCTTGGAACAAGCCAGCATGACACCACTCCCTTTCAGCCCAAATAGAAAGAGCTTTGAGCAATCTCAAGCCAGCATGGTACCACTTCCTTTCAGCCCAAAAAGACTGAGTTTCGAACAAACTCCTGTCCTCATGGAGGATGTTGAATCAGAGGAATCAGACTCTCATGAACAAGTCGAGGAAGGGCACGCAGAGATCAAATCAGCCCACGAAAACTCTAACTTCAACGAGAAGATCGAATTCCACGATAACGCACGCTCAACTGAGCGACCTACTCTTACCAAAGAAAATACCGAGTCCTTTCACTCAATTGCTGTGAATATTCCAGGAGGGTGGAGTTAGAGAATGATTGAAGAGAAGGAGAGACTTGTATAAAAGAAATGATTCTGTATGAATTGAAAACTGGATATCGGTATATGGGTTTAGGATTTGAAGCTTCGGTGTACACACGGAGACTCCAATCATAGTATGAACGGAGTTTGAGGAGTTTGTTATATATGGGTTACATTGGGTTTCATTTCTTGGGGTTTGGGAAAGGCATGGATGGGGTTACTTTCTGTGTGCATGGGATGGGCGAGATATTCAGGACGGATTTGAAGGGGATCTTGGGGATCTCCCGTAATGGTTAATGAATCTCTTATATCTATTATGAGGATTGAAGGTTCAAAATTGGCAGTATGGGATTTGTTTGGGAAGGAGATTGTGGATAAGATTTGGAAAGATAGGAGATGAGGGGAGTAAAAGGAGACGAGGGTTAATATCTAATCTTTAGATTCTAATATCTTAATCCTGTGGTAGATAGATCGAATTAGTAGGGCGGTTAGCCGTGGGAAAACAAAAGGGATTTGAAAGGGAGAAAACGGGAGAGAGTTCAAACATCAAACGACGATATATATAGATGGTTCTAAGCACTTTATTATATCGATACTATGAGTCCATATTTGAATTGTTCTTGTGAGACTTTGAGACTTATCACGCTGATTCCTAAACTGTTGAGATAATTCGAGTTTGGTGGTAGTGGCGCAGAAGCTGTTGTGACGGAAATGAAAATATCACGTGATATATGATTTTCAATATGACACTGCTCCGCGGATTGGTGACTTTTTTTGTTAATCTGGAATAGCTTTGGGCAGGTGGTATGTAAAATCTATACGAGAATTATAGGAAAGGTTGATCGAATTGAAGAAGAAGTTGTAGATGGGATAATCGAAGGGGTTAAGTTGATGTGTTGATTAGGAAGATGATTGGTTGGGTTGAGTAGAGTAGGTCTAGGGTGTTGTTGAGATCGGGTTGGAAGCTGTATTGTTTGATTTGGGAAGAGAGGTTTGGGGAATGTTAGGTTTTTTGTGTTACTGCTGTTTCTTTGGGAGAGGGGGGAGAAGGGTTCGAGAGATGCTGGTGATTGATATCTCCTGGAATTGTCATCTATCTATCTAGGTAAGCTTGCTGTATTATTATTTACATCGTTTTTTCAGGTAGACCAAGTGTCGAACGTTGCGTTCTTTGACATACACCTCGGTATCGAATATGTATCCGCATGTCGATTTGATCATGAGAATGGAACCTTCAAAAGCATTTCCCAATATCCACTTGACGTACTTCATTTGTATCTCATTCTCACGGACCACATTCTGTCTTTCTCAAACAAGATGTTGGATGTTTATATACATGAAACACTCTCTTGATTGGCCAGTATTACTGGAAATTGTGACTTCCTTGCTAAACCTTTGATCATTCATCAATCAGGAGTATTCTTTCCCTCGATTGAAATCCTCTCAGCTTACTTCATTGGGGTATTTTCATTTATTTTTCATCTATTTCTCGCGCGCATACCTGTGTAGGTCAATTCTTTTTGATGGATGGTAGAATAGAGGGATGGAATGATTGTGGGGTAGAAGCATGGAGATGTTTAAATATTAATCCACTCCCATCTCTGCATATGATGAGAGATTGATTTTTGTACTTTTCTTCATTTTCTGCTACTTTTGGATATATATTCATCTTTACTTTCTTTAACGTCAGGATGAATCGCTTTACTTTGTTGGCCCTGGTTGGCTCCACTCTCGCTTCTCCTATTAAATCGGTCAAGTCGCGTGCGGCTGCTGATGCCAAGTATCTCTTTTCTTTGTATGTATATGCTTTAGTCAAAATTCCAAACGGTGGTCTAGATGCTAACAACACCAGCGGAGATTCATATTCCGAAACCGGCTTCGACGTCACCAGCACGCAACCCTCCGTTACAAATCCATTCGGTAACCCCGCTTTCCCTGGCTACACCACCGACAATGGCATCAATTGGATCGGCCATCTTGTCGAAACCTACAATTCCTCGCTTATCCTATCATACAATTTTGCATATGGAGGTGCTGTTGTTGATGCCAGCATTGTTGCACCCTATGAAGATACAGTCTTGACTCTGGTCAATCAAACGGCTGAGTTCGTGGATAATCTCTCGCCTGCTCCAGCTGGTGCTCCTTGGACGGCGGATAACTCGCTTTTTGCGTTTTGGTTTGGGGTGAATGATATTGGCAATTCTTATTGGTTGGCCAATGAGACGGATGTCATTACTGCGATTTTCGATAGTTATTTTGCGCAAGTGCAACTTGTGTATGATGCTGGAGGAAGAAACTTTTTGTTTTTGAATTGTCCTCGTGAGTTACACACATTCCTCGTTCATCGTATACAACTCCCACGCAATGAAAATCATTACCCTGTGAAGATGCCAATCCAGAACACCCCCCTTCTAACCCCCTCTCAGCCGTCGACAAATCCCCCATGATGCTCGCCTACGGCGACTCCGTCACCTCCTCCGAAGCTACCGTCATCACCGCGTACAACACCGAACTCAGCACCCGCGTATCCGCTTTCGAAACCGCAAATTCCGGAACTACTACCTACGTTTTTGACACGCAAGTCCCATTTAATACTGCTCTCAGCGCGCCAGCTACTTATGGTGCTACTAATGCAACGTGTTTCGACGCGGATGGAACGACCTGTCTTTGGTGGAATAACTTGCATCCTGGTCAGGCTATTCAGAAATTGGTCGCGGAGGGTGTGGCAGAACAGTTGGCGGGGTCGTTTTTTCAGGGTAGTGCGAGCGCTAGCTCTTTGAGTTCTTCCTCTGTGGCGGTTGCAGCATCATCCAGTATTCCAGCATCTTCGACCATTCAAACTTCAAGCCCAACAGTAGTTGCATCTGCATCCGTGCTTTCGACAGCAGTTGCGTCGCTTGCGATATCGTCTGCGGCGGCGGTCGTAACGCCTGTTTCTTCGATCTCGAGCATGCCGTCGAGTTCGGTAATCGTCGCTTCGAGTACTTCTGTTCCAGCATTATCCTCGGCTTCGCCTGTCGTTAGTAGCGCTGCTGCATTACCTACAGTGATCGCTTCGAGTGGGGAAGATGAGTGTGAGGCTTAGGGGTTAGATTTTTTTGTATTTTCTCGTCAACTGGATGGCAACTTGATGTTTCCACCTCTTTGAGATACGCACACGGTTTGAATATGTACATTTTCTGCCCCCGGGATCTGGATATTGGGAGGGAACAGTGCTGAACATGGTTATAAGAATCTCTATGAGAATTTTTGTATTATAGATTTTGGTAGGAGATATATTCGTGTGTATATATTGTAGGAAAAGAATTCGAAATATTCTCGCACTTTATATCTTTGGATCTGAGTCACTTGAGTGTGTATCATATAATAGAACCCAACATCTGTGACCTTCAATTTAGAAATGTCAAGGTTACAATCTTCTGATATTTCTGGGATGATGATTATTGGCGATAGCGTAGAAGGTAGAGCGGAATCGATGAGATACGATGCTGTATATGTAATTTTGACCATACGTCTTATTAATCAACTATCTTCCACTTTGCGGAGATACATGTTGTGAGAATAACTAGAAACATGACTAGAGGTAAAGTTGCTTTGTCGTTTTTGATAGTTTTTGCACAATCACATTTGAGGATGGTATTATAAGTAAATTACTGGAATTTAATGAGTGTTGAGAGCTGGAGTCAGAAATGTAGAGGAAAAAGACCGGGAAAGGGAGGAAGAAAGAAGACGGTCATGAATTCTTTGAATTTGAGATTCCTCGACTAATAAGTGATTGAAAGATTCTTCTTACTGTTTTATAGTTTCTGTGATGCCTATTATTTTTCTTACATTTGTTGAACCGTATCGGTATGTGACTTTATTTTTATTTTTAAGACTAGTTGTGATAAGCGAGGAATTGTAACTTGTTGATGATAAGTTCTTGGCTGTTGAAGCGAATTGATGAAGAGTGAATATCTAAGCGAGATCATTTTAGAAGATCGCATGTCAATTATTTAGTGGAAGGAAGTGAGAACTTTCGGACGAGTGATTGGATTTTGTTTTTTTGCTTTATTTGTATATGGGACTATTCTATGTTTATGTTTTTAATTTTGTTTTGTTGAATATGTTTCGGGATGAGATGTTCATTACTGTGGTTTGCTAGATTGACTCTGTGTACAAATAGGTGATTATCTCACATGAATAGATTAGTTAGATATGAACTTGCGCGTTCAATCCTGGAATTACACAAATTTATGAGTATCATATACTACGGTTTATGAACACTATTTTATTATCAATTTAGCAACACTCACAGCAGGACAACGAAGTAAGCCAACAGAGCAACCTCCCTATTTTCCCATCTCATGAAGACTTAAAAAATCCTCACATAACTGCACAACAGCCTGCACCATTTTCCTTCCTCGTCCTCCCCTTTTCAATCTTCCCCCGTTCTCGCACCAAACTCTTTTTTCTGCGTACCGCCTCGTGCGTACGGTCGCGTCCTGCGACAATCCCGTGATGTGCGCCTTGGTCTAATAAGCACTGGTTACAGTTTCTTCGGATCTCGAGCTCGCGAGATTCGAAATAGGGACAGTGGCAGGGATCGGCTGTGGGGGAACACGGTTGTGGGTGGTGGGTTGTGTGTCCGCAGGTGTGGATGTGTTTGATTGAGAGACACATTTTTGGGGTTAGTTGGGTAGGTTAGTCTCTACCGGTAAGGGTAATTTGAGAATAGAATGATATGGCTACAAAGCAGTTGGGTAATCGGAGTAGTTCGTATATATACTGAAGGAAAAATATTATTCAGGGTTGTTCTGATATTGTTCTGTGGTATGGTAGATGGCTTTGCAGATCTGATGTAAATGGAGAAAAGATCAAGATTATGATAATACAAAACTGTTGAGAAACAATGACTGAATCGCTACTATGTTTTTCACATGTTGGCGTTGAGTTCTTGAGCGGGTGAAAAGGGGAAGAATCACGTGACGTACTGTTAATTCAATTTTGGTGATATGTGCGGTCTAGGTCAAATCTTAAGGCTTTGGGTATTATGTTTGTTCTAATTTCGAAATCTGAAAGGTTCTCTATGGCCAAGAAACATTTGCATTTGTTCGTACGCCTCGCTTCCCCAAATATTTTGATAAACTCCCCGCCATTTCTCGCTTCCGTTAAGATACCGGGCTTTTCAATGAGAAGTTTCGAAATCCAGATTGAAACGCTGATATGAATGAAATTTTTGTGAAAAGACATGGAAAACAATGATCATGTAATTTTGTTTTACAATTTTTGACAAAGTTATATCATGTGTTCTGAGATCACATTCTTACCCCATTTCTGCTTTGTATTGTTGCTACTACCCGTTCACATCCCCCAAACAATTTGGATTACATTGCTTACTTAAACTTCCTTCAACTCACTACTAGAAGTGAAACTTTCATTGTCTGCAGTTGAGAAAAAAGGAACCAATCACCAATTTTACCACAGAACTTTACAGGTAAGAGATTGTAATTCTCAAATAAGTGAAGTGACAATAAAGATAAGTAATCATGATAAACACGTGAAATATGCGCCGCCAAGTAAATATAGTGCTTAGTTTTGCCACTTCAATGACACAAGAGCTCAGCTTATCTGAAATGCGTAAATAGATATAATAAATAAGAATAAGAAAATTGGCGTCTTTCAAGGAGATTCACTCAATAAGACCAAGCTCACGCTTCTTACGTTCTGGCATCGGAAGCATTCTCTCCTTCTTGATCTCCTTTGCCCAAGCTTTTGCAAGCTGTTCATCGGCAATGGATATTTCTGAATCTCGTATCAACAACCTCGTCGGATTAAATGTCTCTGCTGCTTCACATGCAATCTCTCCAAGCTTAACACCCGTCTCGATAAGCCATATAAACTCAGGAAAGATGGCGTCGAAAATATTACCGAGCACCTCTCCAACAAGATCAACACTGCTAGCACAGTCGAAGTTGCCGAGCTCACCGAGGTCAAAGCCAAACTACCAAGAATAATTATTAGCTAAGTCCGACTGGGACATCAAAAGTCCCTGGGAAGCAGGTCTTGGTCACGAAATGATGAAAAAGTATGGCCGCTCAACTCACCTCTGTTTCAAACCACATTTTTGCCGTCTCCTGAATTCCATCGTAGAACTGTGTGTCTAAGAATCCATTCGTGTTGCAAAAGTGGGCACCTCCACGTTCCGTGGTGGGTTCTTGTTGCCCATTCGAAGGGTTGGCATCCCGTTTTTTCCAAGTAATCTCGTCCCATTCTAGTAACTCGCAATTATCTCCCGTAGCTGTTGCATTTGCTGTGGACGCAATCATCCTGATAAACATATCCAAGTAATCAGTCGTGTTATACTGTGCATCAGTAACTTTGATTGTGACTTTGCCATCTTCGCGCGAGTTGTCATTGAGCCAAGTGGCATCGCCCAACTCGATCGTGCCTGTTTGGCAGGTGGTCCAGGCGCCAGAAGTAGTGGGCGTCGGACATAAGCTGGTGAGAGCATTTGAGACGCTCGTGAAGAGTATTTCACCTGTCATTGAAGTCCCAACGTTGACCTTAGAGGAACCCATTTCCATAGATGCAGTGGGCGGGTTGTATATTACCGCCGCCGTGCCCTTACCTACACATCAAGATCTTGGAGTCAGCTTTGTCAAAAGAATTTGAAATAATAAGATAAACAGAAACCTAATGAACAATCTCAAACATGGGATTGGAATCACTCGAAATTAACGAACAATGGGAAAGACTTGTAACATACATTCCGTCAAGGTGTATCCTGCCAGATGTGTAATTAAGGTGCTTTGGCATAACTCGACTTTGCCATAGGGGTCCGTGTAGGTGAACTGATATGGAGCAGCGGTAGTCGGGGGTGCAGAAGGCTTTGTTGTCGTCATTGCTTGTGTCGGCAGTGTGGCCCAAGGGCAATATTTGCCTATTTTTCCAGCTGTGTTCGTGCTGATAATTGGCGGAATATTGATTCCGTTGCTACATTGACAAATGGGAGGTGTCCCGGCATCGGGATCTTCGTGCATTAGACATGGAAGTGCGCCGGTGATGCTTGGCAAGGAAGTTGAAGTCGTTGAGGTATGACTAGTTGGCGCGCTAGTGATAGCGGACAAGAGAATAGAAGATGTTGAGATGGCACTAACCGACAGACTGGTGTTGGTGGTGTTTTCACATCCCCCACAGCAGCCTTTGGGATCAAGACTCTCGCAAGAAAGTGACGCAAGGTCATCTCCGTAGTAAGGAGGATCCAAGGCAACTTCGTTCTCATCATTACCGGGGCTCTGTCTTTTACCTTTGTACTTGCGCGTAGGCGGCGCAGCCGCTACAAGACCGATGGGAAGAACGCGATTGCACTGGGCTTTGTCACTATACCAAAGCCCACCCGCGATGATTGAAAGTGTATCAGCGTTGTCGATAGATAAATAAGGGTCGCAAATGCCTGGTTCTGTCGGGTCTTCTTTGCTAGGACATCTGGGAACTCTGCCATTCTTCCCATTTTTCCATGCTCTCTCTCCGGATATTGAGTGTGAGCCAGCTGCAAGATTGAGACAGCCCTGAACACCATACGCAAAGTCAAGCGTTCTTGAAGATATTTGTCAGTGACGCGATACTAAAAACTTGCAAGGAAAACAGTTCCTTACTTGCTTGAGCTTCCAGTGAAGTAGCGTGTATGAGTCCATTCATGCAACAGCGTCTGACCTCTTCCCCACCAGACATTATCTAAATTATTGTACCCCGGCGATACCGCCATACACCCAGAAATGATGTCCGCTGTTGAAACCAAGTTCTGGATGTTTTTGAGGCTGGCCGCCGGTGTCCCCGTGATGTCAAACCACGCCGAGCAGAGATTCATGGTACCAGAACTCCGCGAAGTGTCTGACATATAGGCGTAATATCCATCTGTGCAATATCTGTTGGTATCGTCGCATGTCACAGTAAATTCATAGTTAGAGCCATCTTTCATAGCGGCAACATTACCGTATTCGTTTGCAAGCTGCGCAATGATGTCGGCACTAGAGATGAGATCTGGTGGGATGAAAGCAGAGGTGTAGAGAGCACCAGTTGTGGAATCAAGGTTTGCTTGGGCGTATGAGGCCATGCTGGCAGCGACAGTGAGCTCGGCATTTATGAGGTTCAAATCTCGAGAAGAGCAGCTGGGGCCAATAGTATATTGGCGTGGAAATAGATGTGTTCTATGAATTGCTTCTGATTAGGCTTATGTGTCTTGAAGTCAAAGTTTGACGGATGAACGAAAAAAGGCCCTACATACTCTCTTTTCAGGTACTCCCAGTTCCCAGTGTAATTTATTGTATCATATGATTGTTCATACTCATGATCATGGTCTTCATCGCCGTGAGCAATTACTAGCCCAGCCAGCCAGGCCAAAAACGCTAAGAGGAGTGTCACTGAGAGCGAAGAATTATACATCATCAAGAAAGGAGCTTTGCACGAAGCCATGTGGATGCAGAGAATACTGATAGACAATCATTTGAAGAAGATTTGGTCATTATATAGACAGATTTCTACTTCCAACGTGAGTCCAACTCTCAACTTCAAGTTTTGAAAGAAAGCAGTGTGTCAAGAAGTTGTGAAATCTGGCAAGACTCGTAGAGCAGTCGAAACATATCCCAACATAGCCAACTCATGTACGGCGTATTTGTTGGTAGGAAGAAAAGGATTTTGCAAAGTGAATCAACAGGAAACGAATAGAAATGGGCAAATGAAAAACAATTATTCGAGTTGCTTTGGGAATCAATTCGTGGAACTTTCGATCTACTTGACTATTAGTAGTAGTGATCAGCCTTGATAATACCCAGAATACAGATATTATTGAAGACACCTTTTACTTTCAATGTATCTTTTCTTTGATGACAACATAAAATAAGTGACATCTTGCAATAAAATTGGAGAACAGATTATATTTATCTTTTACGAGGCATATATGCCAGCCACCAAAAGTTGTAACATAGCCTCCTCACATTCAGCATAAAGCTCAGAAGAATAGAGAAGCTATTAATGGAATATGAAATGTAGTGTACCAGAACGCAGTAGAAGAAAGCACTTCATCGAAGCAATTGCTCTTTGAATACAATTTAAAACCTACAGCCCTATAGCGAGAGTCCGTGCATAGCACGACCAAACCCTTGTCTGTAATGGTAGGGCTTAATTCTGCATCAATCCCATTTGAAACAATTTGAAACGAAACATCAACAGTTGGAATTGCGCCACTGAAACTAGCCAATCAAGTCTTCTATGTATCATTGATATTGGTGCCTGGATGCAATTTCTACGGCACATGGAAACCTCAGAGTGATTTTCCTCCATAAACTGTTGGATAATACTTCCCATTGGTTTTGAAGTGTGACTCCTCGTACGGATGATATCATGGGATCACATCTCAATTTGTATCCTTGAGAATTTTAGCGACTATCGATGTCTTAATTGTTAAGGAAGGAGTCAAGAACTTACAATTCTCACTAATAGAGACACAAATACGCTCCGTCTATCGCCTTGAAGGTTCGAGGTTCTTACAGTCGCTTTTCCCCATTTAATTCTTATTTGATTGAATTGTTTTGAATTATCTCTTTTGAATATCACATTTACTGATACCATCCATTTATCGCGTACTATATATTGGTATTGTGGTGTTTAATATAATCCAAAGCCTGGTTCCAGAATTCATTCATCTATCCCTATTTCATGAGAATTTAGCCATTTCGAAGAATAAATTCACCAGCTCAACTGATCTTAATCAACCTGTCAAGTAGCTATACCCCTAACTTTTAATCTTCAACTGCTCAACGTCCTTTTAGGAACCCAAAATGACAGCCCCACCCACTCACCAACTTCCGTTTGATTACATCCACCTCCTCGACGCACACATATCCTCCCTTCCAGCAAACTCTCACCGTATTCCACAGCAAATAGCCCTCCGCGCCGTTCACTCTGCAAAATTTTATTCTCCTTCACAACACATCGCTTCTCCACAACTCTTCTCCGTCATTTCCTCACCCTCTACTCTCACCATTGGCTCTCCATACATTATTACCATGACACTTCGACACGTCGAGAACCCCGCTGGAAATCCAAATTCTTTACCTGTTGTGTTTGACCTGCGGGAGTTTGGATTAACATTTAGTGAGAAAGAGACCAGTAAAATGGGAAACTGGATCTTACTGAGAAAACGGAGTTCAGGCTCTACCGAAGATAGAAGACAAATAGAGGGAGAGGAAATCGATTTATCACCCTCCAACCCAACACCCACAGAATTCGGTTTCCCAATCTTCTCAGCAGATTCTAATTTTGAACTCAACGACATGCAACTCGGCGTGATTGAAAGAGAAGATGAAGAATTCATATCGTTAGGGGTTGGCGAGAGTAAGACGTTCAAAGTAAATTGGGCGCTGAGTGAGGAGCAAGAGGAGAAGTTGGAGGTGGGCGAAAAATATAAGTTATGTTATAAAGGAGGGTGGAATTTCTGGTGGGATTTTGGGACGGTGGAAGAAATGGAGGAACAAGAGGGCAGGAGAAATACGTGGAGAAATATGAAGAAGGGCGAGAAGCGATTGTGGATTCCTTGTACAAACTTGGTGGAGTTTGAGGTGCAAGACAAAGGCGAGTAGACTGGCGAGGTTTGATGAGAAGTCAAAGGATCGATTGACGGACGTGGACAACTTGGAAGAATTCTGATGCGTAATTGGCGATCGAAAACCTTCATACTGTGGGGAAAGTAGAATGATACGGAAGTTTGGTAATTTTATATGTTCTTAGAAACCCTCAAACAAGATCTCTAAAGAGCAATTTTACTTTACAATTTTCATTGAAAGATTCATCTTGAGAACTTCCACATCAAGCTTCTTACCCAATTCCACATTAAATGAAAATGTTGTCCTTCTTATAACACGCTCTGATAGACCGTGAGATCAAATTCTCAATTGTTCAAAAAGAACGAAGATAATGATGCCAATGAACATGAATCAATGCGTAGAAATTGACGAGCAAGCATTCTTTCAAGTGAGGTAGTAAAATTGTTATTCCAACTTGATATGCTTGAAACACTATATGAGTACTTCGTATTCTGATACCATCACTAGCAATAAAAGAGGCTCGGAGCATGGCCCATAACACAGAAAATTTGATTGAGATCAAAATAACAGAAAAATTATGAAACCAAGCAAGCAAACTGGCCATATGTCATGATCATTGTCATGGCCGACTGAAATTCAATTGGCGTCTTGAGTCAAATCCCCAACGGAGAAGCTGAGCGACGGGACTAGCGAAGTGCATCCTTATGTCTTAGATACTTAGGTGCTTTTTCTACTGCTTCTACTCACAGTTTCTCAGATATCTAACTGCTATCCAATCAAAAGTATTTACATATTCTTTCCGTCTCAGTTTGAACCCTTTCATCTAAAGGTACAAATTCGAGTGACAAATTTAGATAGATCATTGAATACTTATTTGACAATACCTGTTCAGATCTCCTGTCTAAAAACAAACCAAGCCATTCATTCAACCATCATTCAACCATGCCTACATCACTCAAAGATCCCCACTTGCAATGCACCCAATCTCCAAACCATCTTGACGAAAAGTATTTCTCCAAATACAGATTTATAACAAGACTGTCAGCTCCAGAGCCCGGATGAAACTCATACAACACTGCTCCTGAATAATCATAGAAAAACCTTCAACCCAAGAATTTGGACGATCCCAATTAAAACTCATGGTCTAACTAGGTACCGCAAAGAAATATTTCATCGACAACATCAGATAAGATCTATCAAAATCACTTGTTTAAAAGAGATACTAGATCTCATGTATTGCACTCATGAGAATATCTGACTAGGACCAACCAATCTCCTCTCAATTTACCATAAAACGTCTCAATAAATACCGTCAATGAGAACACACGAAGATCCTCTAACGTCCCATAAATCCATCCAACACCCAGATAATCTCCCAACTCCCCTTTCACATTGATCAATTGTACTCTCCGCCATATTTCTGCCGTTTAATCAACCAAACACCGACTTTACGAGCTCAATTACTCAAAAACACAGAGCAAACACCATGCTGAGGAGTAGCCTCATTGATGTAAACGTCTCTGAGTCAACCCCCAAACCATTTTCACCACTTCTGATTCACGAGATCCTTTTTCATAGCAAGAGTATTTGACTAAACAGATATGAGCAAGCTTTTGTAGAGGAGTATCAGCTGTGATGGCTTCTTGGATGATGATTCCGGCCAATCGATCGACTGGGATCGGCAAGACTTGCATGCCTATTATAGGATCGTACGTCAAATACTGCGTTGTATGTTCACACCAAGATTTACAGATAGCGTTGGTAGAAGGTATTCTGACCGAGATTGGTTGACCAGATAATGGTTTGGTAGATCCTAGTGGGCTCAGAGAAGAAGGTGGTAAGATCGCATCAGTGGAATCTAATGCACAGACAGAGGCTCCACATTTTGTGCCGACAACGTCTGAGGTACCAGAAGGATCTTTAGCTTTGAGAGAGGTTTCGAGAGACAAAGTGACATCATCGATCGTAGGCAATCGAGGTTGACTAGCATTCAATACCTGTCTGTGAGAAACTTCAAGGAGTTAGTTATTGAGACTCCCAAGATTACATCGGTAGCAAATTAATGACTACTTACCATAAGAGTCTTCTTTAGGGCGAAAGGTAAGCGCAAAATGATCCATCTTTATCCTGTTAAGCCTGTGAACTGTAATTGACCTAGGAGAAGCGTTTCGAGGGGAAGCAACGTAGCCACAACTTTCCTTGATTCTGGCTGTGAGAGAAAGGACCGAAAGATTATTTACAAGCTAATATCAGGGCAATTGCCTCCGGTCGAGATCAATGGTTGTAGAGTAAATTTCTGCGTCGCCAGATTGTATATCCATTAAGCAGATGAATACATGTCACGTGACTTCTAAATTCAATAAGGTATACAGCCTTGTCAGGTACTGACTTGGACGAGAAATGAGTGAATATCTTCCAGCACCTGGAGAGACTTTCATGTCCAAATTCTTCCATTGTATAATGTCAACCAACATTGGTATACGCATGACTCTCACGATATAACCTCCCTAAATAGACGACAATGCGATTTGTAATGCCTTCAGAGAGCTTGTGCGACTTTTCCAGGAGACGTTTTCATTATTAAAGCCAAGAAGAATAACGCTCCAGCGAACGTCGATCATGTTCCTGCATGATAATATGCTAATTGCCAACAACATCTTATTGGCGCGGGCGAACCAATCCTCATAAAGAGCGTGGCAACATCCCGGTATCAACAAGTCGACCAACGTGGGCCAAATCTGTACATCAGCGGACGTGTACGTGCGAAATAAGCCGGGTGAGGGGTTGCATTCGGAAAATATCCGAGATTTTCTGGAGGATGCATTTTATATAAATTCGGGCCACTGTCAGTCAAGAAAAGTTATTCTTCAAAATTGCGGTTTCTATGCTTGAAAATATGGCTTGTCGAGGCAAATTTGACAACATGGCTCCTGTATTTTCTTCCAAAGGAGAAAAAAGAAAGGAAAATTTCAATAACATGATGGCGAAAAGGTTCGGTTCAAATGGCAGAGATGTGGCGGCCGAGCTGCGCACTATTGGTGAGTTCCCGAACATCGAATGCTCTTTTATCATGCTTTATCGCTGACCGTTACTATAGCGGACGCCTTGGAAGAAACTCTCGAGTTCCAGCGTTTGATGGGCAAAAGATCGAGAACAGAAGATCCAGAGGGTATGAAGTTTGATTGTTACACAGCGCTTGGAGACTTCAAACTAACGTAATGGCAGATCGACCCCTTTCACAACTAGCGGATCCAAAACCCAAGGGCGATAAAATAAATGGCGTGCTTGACCACCACCCACCCCGACTATCAACGCCATCTCAAGAGAGGTCTATGTCTAGAGATTCTTTACGTCGTACCAGTCGGTCGGTAAACCTCAACGGAGTCCATGATGGGCAATCCGATCCTAGATCATATGGAAGAAGTGCTGCGGAGCGGCTACCACTAAATAGACACTTCTCTGAAAACGATATTCCTCAGGAAATTTTGCGCCCAAGCTCCACGCAACCAGGTCACTCAATGGCGCCGCAACCCGCTAGGGCAGCAACTTTTCCCTTTGTCAGATCAATGACCCCACAGCCAGCCCCCACGAGTGTTCATTTTCCCTATCGTTCAGATATTCGGCAACATAGCCAGCCACCGTATGCTCGTTCTCCAGGCTATACATCTATCATCGCTCGCGGTGGTCTAGACCGACATCGCAGTCGACCGCCACCCTCTCAACGCTTATACGAAGTACCTGATCCTCCGCAGACATACAGTCTCGATGTCCCTCCGCAACTCGACCCGAATCCATATTACAGACCCCAAATCGCGTCCCCTGCTGAACGTGCTTCCCGAAGGGATCGTTTTCCTCGAATGTCCGAAGAACGTAGGGGAAGAAAAATGGAGCCTACTGTAAGGCCAAAGCATCACGAGACAATATATCAGGTTGATTCAAATATCATTGAGCGAGAGTATGATCCCGAAAAAGACGAAGATGCTGAATCTATCGGATCCTTGGATCATGTCCAGTCGTTTGCATCACCTCAAACAATCAAACCTCAAAACAGAGTGACTTGGAATGGATCATTCAGATGACAAGGACCAAGTGTTTGCATGAAGACTTCTTCAAAAGTTACTCGTTGAAAATTCATCATAAACTCGGCACTGGTTAGGAAGCGAAACATCTGTACTTTATTCTGGGTGCCGTTGTCTTTCCCCTCTACATGAGCATTTCACTCGCTTTCTCTCTTTGTAGCAACCAAACCTTATTCAAGGCTCACAGCAAAGAATAGTACTCTGATAGATCATCAGGCCCACGTCAGTTCTCTAGACTTTCTATCCACAACTGTAGGAGAGAAATATCAAGAATCAAATGTTCAAACCCTAGGGAAAATGTAGATATAGCAACCAGTTCTATTACCGAAGCTATCGAACCACTAGAAATGGAGGTGATAGAGCTGATGGGTGGATCAAGTGTCTTTGGGTTGTCATGGTACAAATAAGCATGCGTAAATTGTCTGAGGTCTTAAGAAGAGCAGTTGTAGTTGAGATTGGTTCTGAAAGCATCTTCGGGCCGACAATCATCCGAAAGTCCGTGCAGGAGAGTGTTCTTGACCATTATTTCTTACAGAGGTAGTTCCTTTAGGGAGCTTATCAGATTATACAACACAATGTAGCAAGTTTCCTTATCTTTGGAGTATGTGAAGTTTGTTAGACAGAAATTCACTAGTGGAATCCATTAATAGAATGTTGTAATGCAGTCCCTCATCCAAGATCGTCAAGCTCTAAATAGTACCGGATTCAGCAATGTAAGTAACACAAGTATTTGTAATATGACATGAAGTTGAATATCTAATCCTGAATCAATCGATCGTCGGTAGAAATTTCTTCATGATTTTTGGGTAGTATGTGGTAGGATGTCTTGAACATTCGTGTACACGTCAGGAAGGGCCAAGAGATATGGTGGGTAACACAACATCGTTTGATGATCGCTAGTTACACTGAATGTCACGGTGAAATAGCCCGCTGGACTTTTCTAATTCAGACATCTTGGATATTAGATAAATCTGCTAGTTTCATGCTTCATTCTGACCAATCTCATATGTATGATGAATCAGCCCATTCCACGTAGTCCATGCTTTGAGTGAGCTGTTTGTGTCAGAATCTTTCAACCCTCCTATGAATCCATCCTGATGTCTTGGATACACCATACCGGGTCAAGTATTCGTCATGAGATGGGCAAACAGATGAAACATTGGATAGCATAACCGGGACTGTGAGAAGACATGCCTTTCCGATCTTCCTTGTTTCCGACTGAGAAATAACCAGGCTCTTAGAAATGAACTTTCGGATCTAGAGCGCAGGTTACAAAGCCCGTCAAGGTTTCATGATAATTCGTGGATGCCTTTAAAAGACGGACGACAACGAAAAATTACATAAACTTTGAGAAGAGTGAAACCACCTACCTACGACAGTTCATACTCACCAGGAATAAAAGTGAAAGTGTGTTGTGAGTGGACGATCATTCATAATTGCTATTCGGGAAACCCAATAGTCGGCTTCGTAAAATATGTCCCCCATTCCCTTAGACCCTTCATCGGAATATGCAATGCCCTCAGGATGACTGATTTCGCCTTACTCCCCAACAATTCATGGTATCATTTTCCGCCAGACTGTAATTTCATTTGTCCAGTCTCTTAAGCAGTGAAATCATTTGGCCAGCACTTCTCCTTGGTCCATCCCTTGTCTTCGTGCTTTGCAGCATGGCTTATCAATTGTGCCCTATTTGTGTTGACCAACTCCATCTTGCAGAACTCGCACTATAGGTGGAGTTAGCCTCAAATGAAGAAAAAATGGTATGTATTCTGAGAAAAGGATGTCGCAAGAACTATCCAGATTGGAGACGTACCTTTGACTTTGGTGCGGCTGGTTTAACTGGAAGACCATTTGCCTTGACCGGGGCGCGGGTGCCTTCCTTATCGGCCTTCTTGTGCTCACGAGCGATCTGTATGCCAAATTAATAATTGCTCTTTAAGTGCTGCCAATTATCAATATATACGCACTCTGTCTTTCTTTGAAATAGGCATAGTGAAGGATAGACTTGTGGATATGAAGATAAAAAAGTGATGAGTGAGATTGAATATAAATTTGAACTTTGCGAAAAAGAAAGATTAACCCATCGTTGAAAACGCTAGCCTAAAAATTAATGCCGGTGAAAATGTCACACCGCTCGGAAGTTATTTTCCCCGATAGTGATTTCTATTTCCTCCTCCAACTTTGACAACTTTATACTTAGTCAGCATTTGTTTTCTGGGGATCTAATGTTCTGCTATTTTGAAGTCTATCTTTAGCAAAGTCCAAGACATGATAATCTGTACCAATGGAAGTCTCCAGAGAAAATTGCGACTCATACAATGAATCATTCCATTAAGAAGCGGCCTTGTTGAACCAAGGAAGCTCAACTCCCTGGCTGTAGATTAATCGAATGTCCCGCAATGTGAACTTGCTATCAAAGTCGCCGTTGAGCTCTTATGGTTCCCTTCGGCCCTCTTTTCTTTCTGTAGTTCTGGAAAGAGTTGTCGAATCCAGTGGATTTAGAATAGCACAGACTTGGTCTCACTAAATACCTAGATCTCGATTATCGCTTGCCAATTTCAGAGTGTGGACACACGAGACTCGTTCCACAGCACGCTGAATTAGGGGGCATAATTTGCGTCTTTTTCGGGTGCTCAATATCGGTCATTGTTCGAAAGTCAGTGATTGTTACATTCTAATTGGCGATGACTGCATTCAAGGGGCTATAAAGGGAGAAGCGATGGAACCGATATATGATGATTTACTTTGGAAAGGAATATTGTCTCTGCACTGATCTCCAAGGCGGATAGGAGCTTTGGCTGTTGTTTCGCCCGCTCGAATAAATTGGCAATTTATGCCGAAGAGATGAAGCATGACACTCACCATAGCTTGTGTCCAGTGTCCTTTGGGCATTTATATGTACCGCTCTTACTTTTTTGAGTTTCACCACATTCTTGCATCTTACACAACTTCCTATTCTCATCATTCAACGTATCGATCGTTCTAGCATCTCATGTTGCCTTCCCTATCTTCTTCTTCGCCCATAATGCCGTCTCTGAGTCAATCTATCTTAATTTGCTTTCATCGTCCATACTCCGCTGCATAGGACCTCTCCCCAAAATCTACATCTTCGCGGTCAGGGTTTTAAGATAAGGGCCAGCTGTTCATGTTACAGCTTTTGAAGCTGCTTGTTCCTTGGAAAGCGCTGCACATTAGGTGAGTATTTCAGCATCCTTCACATCCTCCGAAAACTCCGCAGATTGCATTTTTGAAGATCTGATAGTTGAGATATACTCTTCCGTGCTTTTGGTGGGTGCCCTAATGGGGGGGCAGGGATGAAAAGATAGACATGCGATTTACACGATGCTTTTCTAAGCAGGTAATATTGCTGAGTTAAGAAACAAGAATTTTATGTGCCATAAATCTGGAGTTAGCCCATTAGTATGCCATAGTATCGCTAGAAGTATACATGACGCAATAACTTTCTCGAGAAGGGGCATACACAAAGAATATCAAGACTTCAAAATAGTGGTAAAGATGGGTTGGATAAACATCATTTAGGGATATCAATACATATAAAAACGAATTTAAAGAATTTAAACAACCAAAACTCCCACTTGCTGACTTCCGATCTAAATTCATCTCATGCCTCCCCCTCTTTTCCTCTTTCTCGTAACCGCCTACGCCATCCTCCAATCTCCAATCTCCTACTTCGAATCTTCACTCTCAACCAACTTAAACGTTAAAAGGCTCCACCTTCTGGACTCCCGAATAAACGACCTTACTCGTCATCGCCGGCGCAGCCGCCGTGGTACTCGAAGCCTTAGCCGAAGTCGCGAGTGTACTCGACGCTTTAACACTGCTTGACAAAGTCGTCGGCTTGACACTTGTTGCAATCGAAGTATGAGCACTCGACGTTACACTTGCCACTTTACTCGAAGTAGTCCCCGAAGCAGGATGTGTCGAAGATCCAATAGCGGATGTAGAAGTAGAAACGAGTTTCACACCACTGCTGCTTGAAGATTTGACCTCAGTAGGTCCTGCTGCAAGGACTGAGGTACTGCTACCTCCATTAGTTGCTTTGATACTCGACGTAGCACTGGCAGTAGCTTTGGAGGGAGATCCGCTTCCACTTCCACTCGCGTTGACGGTAGTATATATTCTTGTCGTGCTTGAATCCACAATCGTCGTAACCGAGCCTGAAGCCGATGGTTTCGCAGAAGTGATACTTGTCTTTGAACTAACATCGCCTGTGCCCGAAAGACGGAAACTTCCAGTTGCAACAGGATGAGTACCATTTTTTCCCGTTCCGAATGCTCCGGTTCCCGATGGTGCTTTTCCGGAACCAGATGGGGCTACTTTGGAGGTAATTGTTCCACTTGTCTTGACACTTTCTTTTGTGCTAGTACCTCCGTTAGAGATTATTGGCGCACTTGTTACTCCTGTTTTGACGCCTGTAGGGGTTGTGGTTACGACAGCCGCTTTGGTGCTTGAGGATAGAGGAATAGTGGTAACGACGCTTCCTGAACCAGTAGGGGTGGTACTTTCTGTACAGGTGGTATCGATGCTGGATGAAGCACCTGTTGTTACGACGGCAGTTACGGTAGAAGGAAGATGAGTGACGGTTGAAACATGTACACTTGTAATCTCACTAACCGCTGTAGCGGGGTATCCTGGGATACCAACACCGCCAGTGACGGTTTCTAAAACTGTTGCAATGACAGTTGCTGTGTGAGCGTATTCTTGTCTTTTGTCGTTGTTTTTAATCTTGATACGGTCAGTAATGAGATTAAATTTTAAATTTTATCAAGAGAAGAACCTACAGAGTCTGGAGAGACAGATCCAGCGTCTAACTGATCAGCAGGAGGAATAGTCTTTCTCTTCTCCACAGTTGTAATAGCATCTGGAGCCATCGATCCAGCATCTAATTGATCCACAGGAGGGATGGTTTTTCTCTCCTCCAGCTCCCCAACATCTCTAGGCGTAACCGGAACAAGTTTCTCCAATTCTCTCTTCGAATGAGAAGATACAACAGGAACAAGCTTCTCAAGATCCCTTGGCGTAACCGGTACAACAGGAACGAGCTTTTCCAATTCTCTCTTCGAATGGCCAGTTACAACAGGGACAAGTTTCTCCAGATCTCGCCCCGTAATTGGAACAAGCTTCTCCAAGTCCCTTCCCACAACCGGGATCAAGACCTCCACCTCTCCATTAGATCTCTTTTCCTGACCTGACGTCCACGAAGTAAGAGAATCCGCCTCTCTCTTAAATTGCGTGATCGGAACCAATGTCTCCAATTCTGCTGCTCTCTTACCCACTGAAGTGAGCGGAACGAGTTGTTCTACATTAGCCCCCGTGTTGACCGGGAGTGCTGAGATCTAGGGTTATGGGCGTTAGAATTTTTTTGGATAAAAGCATGTCAACATCAGAGAAGAGAGGGGAAATTTATCTTACCAAGTTCGGTAAAGCAATCAGCAATAATGCTGCTGCTTCTCCTATTGTAAGACGCATGTTGAAGTAATTGAATCTAACCCTCAAGACCTCTTTCCGCAGAATGAAATAAGAGGCAAAAGTAACGCGCTCGAACAATATATATCAATCTTTGATATCTCTCAGGAACTCATACGACTAGAATAGAAAGCTTTCTACGAAAAGAGTGTACGAAGAAAAAATAATGAATGTATACCACCACGACTTCAGTAAAGAATGACAAATTGCTTCTGCAATGTAAAAAAAACTCAAAACTTCAAAATCACCACAGAAAAGATAAACCACAAAAATCAGTAACGAAGAATTCTCAAGGAAAACAAAAGAAAAAAGTGGATTGAAGAAATAAAACACATGATATACATATCATACCTCAGTGCCTACCTACATCGTCCCTACTTTTCCCATCCCATCCCATCCCATCCGTCAGCAGCAGTGTAACCCAATTGATAGGATCAGAAACCATAATTTCCTGAACAAGCAGGGCATGTCTCCTTCCAATAGCATAGCATATTATGGCATCGCATCGCATAAGTCAAACAGTCATCCATCCCTCTAGAGATCAACATACTAAATCTCAATTTCCCTTCGTCTATTCCGGAAATCCTCACTTTTCCTTTTCATTTCCATTCCCATTTTCTCGACGACGACGAGTGAGACAATTTTATCCTACGTAGCTACATACTCTTAGCTACCATTCACCCTCTCTCTTGACCTCTCCGCCACAATTCATCCATTCCCAAACCATCTCGTACGACATCACCATCACCATCACCATCAACCACACACCCCACAATCCCCTCCTCCATCTCACCACCTCACAACTCCACCATACCGTACCATATATCAAACCCTCCTTCCAACTATCATCCACGAGCACTCCTCCTCTTGCCTTGTACTCCTCCACCAAACCTCCATCCCAAACCTCCCCATCAGCAAGGAACTACAAAAGTCGCAGGATTCTGAAGACTCAGCACGCATTCCCACCACTACCTTTCTTTAACCTTTAATCCCAGCCCATCTCATCCCATCCCAGCAAATCTCATCTCCCTCTCTTCCTCAAGCCCGCACTACAATCTCCCTCATGAAACCTTATCTTCCCTTCTTCCCTCTAGATGATCCAGATCATTTCAGGTCAGGGGTACCGTTCGTGGCGGTGCATGCTTATATCGCGACAAGGATTTACAGATATATATAGCATTTTCGTACCACCTCAAAACACACCAAATTATCAATCACCTCATCATACCCAGCACGCAAAAATTACACCCTGACTTTTTATCCTCACAGTGAAAAAAATCAATCCGGATATATATGTATATAAATCCATTCCCGAGTTTATACATTTCACACTTATATACAAAAATATACATACCCACTCAACAATCCGTCAATCCATTGAAAGGATTGACGACTCAGAAAAACAGAGCTTGCTAACTTTCTCACCCATCCCTGAAAGAAGGATTGTTGCTTACATTGATGATTTACCCCGAGGCTTATGCTGGAAATTTGATATCAGACGGGAAAATACAGATAACGACGATTACTGAAATATGTGAGCAAAGTCGTGATGAGCTTTAGATTAGGTATCATATATATGTGTGTATAGATTCTATGCATACCTAAACACCAACATAATAACCTCAAAGCCCATCGGCCTTCATCCAAATATTTGTCTGTTATTTTTCTATGCAACTCTATCGTGCCATATACCGTGGCTGATGCAAACTGATTATAAAAATCCATCCAAAAAGTAATCACTCAAGTATGCGTGATTGTACTGTATCCCAGTCCAAATGCCAATACACGCATCTTTCGCTACGTGTGCTGTCAACCATCTTAATCCCCAACGCCAGCATGCCAGACCACCCTTTACAAAAGAAAATCGTGTATCCAACCACGAGGTATCTCATGAGCTACTCAAAGTATGTACCAATAAATGTCTGTTATACAATATGTACTTAAGACAAGAAGAATAATAAATTAAACACCAACAACTTGTTCGTCATTGCGAACATCTACACTATCCATAATTTCTGGTGAGCTTGCTCGTTTCGGAGTTTCGGATTCAAGAGAAACTATTGAACATCAGTAACCATATATATGTTTATATAGATAGATAGAATTAAGCAGGGAGGAACATACCATTGGGTCGAATAAACCAACTGAAAGTAAAAGCCAACACAAAACATGCCGTTAAAACCAGAAATACTGTCTGCGTATAGGTGCCAACAGTTTGAGCATAAATCAGATTGAAAATCGTAGGGCAAACAACTCTCGCTAACGCGTGTAATAAACCCGTAGCCCCTAGAAGTTGTCCTATTTGATCGTGGGGTACGTGCTTGGTTAATGCCGATTGTAATGTTGGGGAACCTACACCACCCATCGAAGCCAGAATTCCAGAAACCACGAAAAGCGGGCCACTACGGGCTACTGTGAACCCTAAATATCCAATGATTTCGCAGATAATAGAAAGTCGAATAACAATAAGATCTGTTGAATCGGCGCCAGAGTGATTTTCTGGAATGACGAGCCCTGATTCTCTGCGCTGTCTTCTACGAGGTATAGTCCGGACGAGGTAATTGAAGATAGGGAGGATAACGACAAGCGTAAAGACTCGAGTACTGTTAACCACTGACATGTATAGACTTGTCTCGGAAGTCTTCCATCCAAATTGAAAGCCTGAGTAGTAAATGATAACAGTCATGACTCCCATGGCAACGCCAAAGATAATAGTATCGACAGTTGCAAGTAGAACAAGATTTGCGCGGACGTGTTTGGTATTTCCGCCACCAGCGGGCCACAAAACTTTGAGTGTTGCAAGAGGATTTTTGCTTATCAGTGTTCCCAACCAAGTTTGATTAGCTGTAAGCAGACCTTCAACAGCATGCTTTTCACGGGCAATCTCTTGACGTTTTTGAGTGAGTGACTCAGGTACTACGAAGAGTAAGAAAAGAATAAAGAAAGTATGTATGCCGAGGGCGACATAAAATACCGTGAGCAGGCTATCGGTTAGGCGAAGTAATGCTGCTGCAAGCAGAGGACCAAATGCGATTCCAGAAAACAAACAGGCGTGGAAATAGGCAAAAGCTACCGCCCTTTTAGGGGGAGCGGTGCAGTCTGCCGCATATGCATGAGTGAGTGCCATTCCCGCAATAAAGGAACCACAGAGACCGTCAAACACGGCACCGGCAAGCAGCCACTTGTATGAAACAATATCTGGATATTTTCCAGCAAGAATGGTAACAATTTCTGTCAAAAAACTACCAAAACTTGATATCACCAGAATCTTCTTTCTTCCATATCGATCTGACCAAGCCCCAAGTAGTGGGGACATAATGGCGCTGATTATACCAGTAATGACCGTGATAGCCAACATGAACTTGGTGACCAGCGATTGTACTTCAGGAATCCTGCATTGCGGATTGTCGGATCCGAGTAACACAGGTGCGAAAAGGAAGTTTGGATCTTGAGAAGATCTCTCTGCGAGATACGATCGACACACGAGGGTGAGGATAAGATTGAGTTTTGGGACGATGATTCCACCAACTGCGAGAGCTAGTAGGAAGAATGGAAATAAGAGCCAGTACACCTGAGAACAAACATATTAGTATATATTCAGCCAAGAGAGATTGTATAGAACATACAGATGGTTTATGCCACCATGTTAGCCCCGCAAAATCTCCATGCCCCTCCCAAGATGTCTCCTCACTCCCTCCGCTGCTTTGCCCCTCATGTGCCCGCCCATTGCCCAGTAATGGAGCTGTCTCAGACTGCGGTGTTAAGATCGATTTGCGAACTCTCGTATGCCTCCTCAAAGCAGTCATCGCGCCCCAAATGGTCATCGGCTCCTCTGGCCGTTGGTCTGCATGTTCGTTCTCCATTCTCATCGTCATCTTATCGTTGTATCGCCACTCAGTATAAGTTCGATTGTGGCATTGAGTTCCAATGATGTCGCAGCAACCAAGTAGGATATTTGTTGACAGTGATTTCTCGTGCCAGCAATGTCAATACTGGCAGAGACTGGAGGAGATTCTATGTTATATACCAAAAGGAATAATTGATTAGAAATGAGAGTGAAGCAAAACCAAGCTTATCATCTAATCCAGCTTGCCCAAGATAGGAAGATAGTTAAGCAGAAAAGTGGGCAGGCCTGGCTCTGTTTGTGCGCGTTGGGTGATAGGTAGACTGGTAGCGGAGATAATCCACGATAACTTCTTTTAAGGTTCTTCGCACGGTTATCAATCAAATAGTGATTCTCAAGGTCTCGAACTCTGTTCCTTACTCAGTGAAAGAATGAAGTTCGAGAATAGAAGGAAGCCAATGCTACCTATCTATCACCCACACCCAAAATATGGCAAGGTAGATCAAACATGACGACACCAACTGATATATTAGCAATATGAACTGAGTACGGAAACATAGCAAAAGGCGACTTCCAACATAACATACATATCAAACCCCAGCAAGTTGATAGTTTGAACACCATATCCTACCTATCACATACTGACCAAGTAATCTTACTACAATACATTGTTTCAAGAATGGAAGGAATGCAATAAAAGGAGATTTCTTGATTGATAATCGCGGTTCCCACTGTCCGATTGGTTCAAGACATCAAAAATGTTTATTCGGGATGGGATTCGATACTCCGTGTGTGTACTCTGTGATGGAAATCTTTATTCGATGACTTCATCACTATCTACATAGATAACGAGGTATGCTCAAAGCCACACTCACCAGGCATGTATCGACCAACACCAACACACGTGCTGCATCCATTGTTCACATCGCACACATCGTACATATATATTAATAGCTGTACAACTGTGAACCGTACAATCATCTAGCGAGGTGTCAGTTCGGTTGGGTGATTATAGAAGATATATCCATTCATCAATGAAGCAATATTCGGAAAATCAATAGGTTGATCGTTAGTCTTATTAGGGTTTGAAAGCTACCTAGTTACCTATCAATCTTATATTTATACTCTTCTCTGTTTCATTTTCACATCAACTAGTTCC